GCGCTGCGCTTGCTCGCGCCGCAGCTCGGCGTAGCCTACGGTTTCCACTTCCGTATCATCACGGTAACAGAAAGTTTAAGCTGAACTGTAAGAAGAATCTCTTCAGAACAGCAGGACAATAGAATCCGCTCGTTTTACTTGCTGCTCCGCTCGCTGCGCTGCGCTTGCTCGCGCCGCAGCTCGGCGTCGCCTTTGGCTCCGCCTTCTGTTCGTGCGACCGTATCGTTACAGTAACAAAAAGTTTAAGTGAAACTGCAAGAAGAATCTTGAGCGTACGGACCAACCACAAGGACTCCCGCCTTGGGGTCAAGCAACACTCCCAGTTAGCAGAGATGGAATTGGCATCCGCCGGTCAGAAGAATTATCCCTACCAGCCTTCCTGACTTCGATTTATTCTGTTTCCGGTCTGCTGTCCGCGCTGCTCCCTACCCACGGTATTACCGACGTCGCCGGCGCAGTGGAGTCCTGGAAACTAAATGCCCGTCAGGCTGAAATTCCCGAACCCGCTTTCCGGAAGTCTCAAAAGCCGTGGGACATGCTTTTATGCAACGTTCCCTTTCTACTCTGTTGCAGGTGTTCGAGGGCGATGAAGTCAATACAGCACGCCTGCTTGCCCAGTCCAGGCCAGAAGCCGGCATCTGGTTAAACGCCCAACCTTCCGCCCACATCGGCAACCTGCCGGGAGACGACAAACTCATGATCAGTGCTGGTCTTCGCCATGGCGCTACGATTTGCGAACCTCATGATTGCGTCAAATGTCTCAAACGCGTGGATGGTTACGGGCATCATGGGCTGTCATGTGTCTTCTCCGCCGGACGACACACGCGCCACGGCGGATTAAATAGCATCATTTGTCGAGCATGTGTATCTGCCGGCGTGCCTGCAAAACCGGAGCCTCGTGGTACTTCTCACACCACGGAGCGCCGTCCGGACGGCTGCACGGCATTTGCCTGGAAACGTGGACTGTGCCTAGCATGGGACGTGACATGTGTAGACACGGTTGCGCCGTCACATGTCAAAGCCACCTCGATCACAGCGGGAGCGGCCGCCGTGCAAGCAGAGTATAAAAAATCCAGATTTGATTTGTACCTGGTTGGCCGCTACCTGTTCGCTTCAATCGCCTTTGAAACCCTGGGCCCGTGGGGCCGTCAGCAGTCGCAATTGCCAAAGAACTGGGGAAAAGATTTCAGCAGCCAACCGGCGAAGCACGCTCGCATTAGTTTTTACGTCAGCGTTTGTCGATAGATGTTCAACGGGGTAATGCGGTGTCTGTGCTGGGCACTGGGCACGATGGAAGGCCTGGGTAAGCTGAAAGAAATTTTCCTGTTGTAATTTTTGTTTCTTTCTTTATTTTGCCAAGTTTGATTTGACCAATAAAGTCACATACCTTCAGATTAACAGAACAACAGAACTTTTGTTTTGCTTGCAGCTCCGCTTGTTTTGCTGCGCTCGCTTGCGCCACGTTTTGGCGTCTCCTTCGGCTACGCCTTTAGTTTCAACAGTAAAGGGACATGATACATTATCAAAAACAGACACAGTTACGGGAACTTGTTACAGTTAGGCAAACGTATCACTTATTACTGATAACGCTTGGTTTGAATGGTAACGCCGGTAGCGGTAACGCGCAACGATGAACCATCAGAATATGAACAACAACAGCGGCAATGCAGGTAACAGTGTTAACGTTAGTAATGGAGTAATAACTCCTGACTTCGCTGGGTTTCTTAAATAGATGTTTCGCTATGGCAACGTTTCAAAACTATTTCCAAAAATTGCGCAGAAGCCTTAGAATCGTTTTGATTTTGTTTAATATTTTACAACTTCTCGAATGTGCGCTTCCTAAGCGTACTCCTTCAAATAAATTTGTAACTTGCAAGGCCCGTGAGCGCGAATTTCTGTAGTTCATCTTCGATGAATAACGGCGTTAGTCATTCTAAATCCATTTCAGGTTAGGTTTTTTCAGAATTTTTACATTAAGTTTATTTAAGCAAAAATTAAATGATTGTTCGGGCTGCAACTCGGCGGCGCCCTCAGCTCATTTATAAAAGCGGTTAATTAATAAAGTAAAAGCGTTTCATTAAGGCAACTGTTTATCTAAAGGGTAGCAGCAACGGTTGCGGAAACCCAAAACGGTGACAATAACATGCACGGTAATCCATTACGGTAACGGTTACAATGACAGTATCCCGCCATAGTAATCCATTACAAAACAGGTTGCGGTAACGGTAACCCGTTACCCGAAGGATTAATTATTATAGAAATTCGGTAATGATCACCCGTTGCATAAAAAGTATTCTGTTATGGTAACAGTAATCCTCGTCTAAGGTAACGTATTGCGGTTACGGTAATTTTACTGATAGTAATTAGAAATGTTTGCGAGAGCTCTTCACGGTAAAAGTTACCTGTTGCGGGACCCGTAAACATACTGTAATGACACAGGTTTAAGGAACACGAAAATACCCTAGGTCTGCTTGCAAGCACCCGGGGCCTGCAGCTACGTTTAAAGCTGCTCACTCAGCACTGAAAATTGAAATTAATTAAAAATAGAATCAGATTTCGAACTTGCTATTGCTCATTACGGGCAACTATTTCAGTCTATATTACTCCTTCTTTTCTGGATATCCATGATTATTTAAAATGTTATGTTACGAGAACTGAAATGGCAAATTCGCATTGCTTACTGGCCAACATTGTGATTCTACTGCAGTGCTGAATTGTGTGCCAGTGGCTGCCCCTGGCCAGGGGGTGCTCTAGGGGCAACGTTGTCCCTCTGCGTTTCTGCAGGTTCTGTTAGGTTTTCTCTGTACTGTATCGTTTGTTTTGGTTTTCTCAGTGCTTAGATTCTTGATTCAATCATTATCAGGCAGTCCGAATTTGCCTGTGGTGATTTGCACGAGCCTCAACATCTACCAATGATCATAATTATTTCAAGGTAGGCTGCCGTTCCATGACGCTCTAGGTTAGGACGCTGATGGATTTCTCTAGGTTTTCAAAATTAATGCATTCAGAATTGGGCACTGTTTTTGACTGGATATCCAAAAAAAGAAGAAAAAATATCGCTCGACGACAGTTGACGTAAAAGCTTTTAGAAATCTAGGTGATTATTCGTAAAGTTCCCTGCAGTTGTGAACAGCATTGTCAGTGAACGAGTTTGAATGTAACTGCAGGCCCCGGGTGCTTGCAAGCAGACCTAGGGTATTTTCGTGTTCCTTAAACCTGTGTCATTACAGTAAAACACTCCACAACCTACACCGGGCAAAATCTTCGGACCGGGTCCATAAAACGAGCTACTTCTACACTTGTACAGCGGACTCTTCATAAAAATGCATAAGTATGTAAGATTGAAAAATGTATAAGTAGTTCCCAAACGTCAATTCCCTAAAACGACACCAACCAAGGGTAGCTAAAAAACCTTCCCGGGTCCAAATTTTACGGCCACCCGTATATCACTGCGAGTTCGTCAATAATGACCAGGTTATATTTTACTTTACCGTTCCCCAGTACTTCTCCACCCGGAAATCGCTGAAAAAATCCGCCCTGGGTCCAAATTTTTGTACCCCCGGTACATTACTACGGCGGGATCGTCAATAATGACCGGGTTATAATTTACGTCACGGTTTCCCAAAAACGCTCCACCCGGGGATCGTTAAAATAATCCGCCCCGGGTACAAATTTCCGGACCCTTCGTACATTATTACGGCGGGTTCGTCAAAAATGACCGGGCAATAATTTACGTCACGGTTCCCAAAAAACGCTCCACCCGGGGGTCGTAAAAAAAACCCGCCCCGGGTCCAAATTTCCGGGCCCCCCGTACATTACTCGGCGGGTTCGTCACTAATGACCGGGTTAAAATTTACGTCACGGTTCCCCAAAAACGCTCCACCCAGGAGTCGCGAAAAAAATCCGCCCCGGGTCCAAATTTTCGGACCCCCCGTACATTACTACGGCGGCGGGTTCGTCAATAATGACCGGGTTATAATTTCGTCAATAATGACTGGACCCCGGGAACACGGCTCTCCGGTTCGTCACGTCACACATTTTAAATTAAAAACGCTTCGCTCGCTCGCTTGATTAGGGTTTGTAGAATTAACGTCACTGTCTTTACATCGCAGAAAAAAAGGGGGTCAGCATGCAAATCACAATTCTATACTGTACGCGAATCTATTTATACTGCAAGTCTGCAACAATTTGTGCATGCAACGAAACAGTAAATACGTTTTTTGTTTTTGCTGTTATTGTTTTATTCCTTACGGCTTACAGTACAGGTACTTGTACATCAAGTTATTCGCGTATCGTACTCGTGCATCCTACACATATTATTGTAATAAGCCATAACAATGATATTACCGACGCGAACCATAACCTTTTGTAATCCTCAAAATTATCATAATTAGAGGCACCTCATTTCAACGTTCAACAAAATTACTATAAGTACAATCTAGTCAAATGTGCAGTATGTAACATCTACGCTATATTTTACTCTGTACAGTGTACAGGTACCTAGTCACCTATCTCTCAAATAACAGTACTGTGACACTGTCCATAATGGATTACGAGTATTCGTAGATTTTTTGCTCGGATTATAGCGGTAAAGCTCGTACTTCTGCTTTTTCCTACTTGAACCGTAGTTAACCGCGATTGGAAAAAACGATTTGCGAGCGGCGCCTTCTGCCAATGATGATAAAAGCCTCTGAAGATAACTAGGAATTAGTAAGTGTTCACCCAGAGACTCTCAGAAACGTTTTAAAACTGGCCGATAACTTCTTACCAATTTGAACCTAATCGTTTTACACTTAGAGTGTAAAACGATTAGGTCACAAATTTGACACCACGAAGTCAATGTACCACCCGATTTCAGTGACATTTCACTAATCAACAACCGCATTTCCGGAGGTAGTAGTAGTAGGTACCAATACCGGCAATATAGACCCTCTGCTCAAGACATCAGAAGAAATCCAACTGGCAAAATACTATACTTTTCATCTTTAATGTATCCAACTCGATCGAAATGATTATGTCAACAAATAACAAATCAGCGCTGCGCAAGCTAAAGACAAGCTACAGAGTACAACCGACCACCACACCTCAATAAAAGCTGAAAATAATGCACTTCTGTACAAATTCTAAGTACTGTACTGCACAAGATATTAACAGGGGATGCGCTGAGCGCCAAAAGCGATTAAAGAAAGTGATTAAAAACTTGAGCGATTAAGAGTTTTACGAATTACCAGGAGCGGCTCGACTCAGAACTCGGACTCAGAACGCTACTATTGGTAGGTTTCGAGCAACCTCCTAGTGGCAGTTTTTAATCACTACCGATTAAGAAACTTTCGATTAAATTAAAGAAATTCGCGAATTTCTTTAATCGGTTGGTAGCAGACCGATTAAAAACTCGAGCGATTAAAATGTTTCTCTGGAACACCTTTTTAATCACTTTTCTTTAATCGCTCAGAATAAATTGCTTAGCGCACTCCCCTGTAAATTTAGACCTACAAAAACGGGAAACTGACGCTTACGCGCCCCAAAATTGTAAAATATACCAACAATCCGGAACAACATTCAGATACAAACCACACATTACTCAGAAATCGACATGTAAAAATACAATACCGATAAACAAGCACAAAGCCACAATTCCCACAAACAATCTCGTGCACGGCTGACTCCCTCAGATCTGCAGCGTGTCCCTTTTGAGACGAAGGGATTTCACCCAGGAACTATTCTGGATGCTCTCCAGCGGCATTCGTTCGTTCCCCTTCAGCTTCAGCATTCCCTGGATCATCCAGCGGGCGTCTCGTGATACGTATGTTGGAATCTGGTATTTTAACTTGGTAATCCTCTCATACAACTTTTCATGGTTTTCACTTTGGTTTTGGTCTTCAAATGGGGCGGAACCGACAAGGAGTTCATACCTGAAATTGCAAAAATAAAATACAGTAACCAGACAATAAACTTATTTTACATGTGTATCACAGAGTCGCAGACCACCTGTAACTTTTCTTGGAAGACATAACATAAGCACTTTCTGCATAAAGCGAAATTCGGAGCAGTGTGATATGTACTCATTACTCGATGCAAAGCGATGTTGAATTATTTTACAGTTTTACTTATTGAACAATTTAGAGCATACTCTGCCTGAATGCGGTGCTGGTCTCCTAGAATAAAATTTTTCACTAATTCCGTTAACAGAAACGTGCATTTTCAATCAACTTCCATTTCGTCATGTTTAACTGAACAGCGCAGTGGTAGTAGCCAAACGTTAATCATTCACTGAAGAATTCAAAATTAAAAGTGCCAGTTTCGTGCAAAAACGCTTTCACAACAGACTTCTGCAAGTATTGAAAGACAACTTACATCAAAACACCGACACACCAAATATCGGCGGTTTTGTTGTGTTGGCGCGTTGTTATCATTTCCGGTGGCAAGTAATCCGGTGTACCGCACACTGTGCGACGGTTTTTATTACCAGCTGCATTGACTGACCAACCGAAATCAGCCAGCTTCAGCTCTCCGTAGCCTAAAACAGTGTGATCAAGATAGCGAAAGTACTGCACAGACACCAACCTACTGTAGCAAGACCAAATACAATAATATGCTCAATAATTAATAAGACACTTACCACCCAAAAGCAAATTCTCAGGTTTGATGTCGCGATGAATAATGTTTTTCGAGTGACAGTAGATCAGCGCGTCCGTCAACTCAGCGATATACTGTTAAAGAAAAGAAATTACGATTGCCACGAATGGCCCACGATCAAAATTATATCGCAAAATAACCGTTTTAAACTACCGAATCATAAGCTGTTGTCCATGGCTAGCTCTTCAACCATTTTGAAACGTGAACGAAGTGGTTTAAAAAGTGGAAACCGTACCAAAAAAAATATAACAAAATACAAAAAACACCCTTTACGGCACAGTATATTACTAACAATTAATGATGAGTCGTAAACATTTGAAAACTTCAGAAAATCGGTTAACAAAAGTGACAAAACGGAAGGGAAAATTTAAAACCAGAATTTTAATACACTTCACTAATTATTGTCATTACATAGTACGCAATGCTCATTGCTCAATACACATGTTAGAATTGTTACGATTAAATTGTATCATTTTTCTAACTGATACGCCAGCAACAAGTTATCAAATTAACAAAAAAAACTTCCAATCGCCTGGAAAGACATTAATAGGAGCTGGCTACTGTAGTTCGATAAAAAAATAATAATAAAATAATAAATCCACCGAAATCTCCCTCCAGGCAGTGAATAACCGTGGAATTTTTAATTTTTTACTACCAGAACATTTTTGTATATCTATCTCACCGTAACTGCCTCCGGCTCCTGAAATCTTATAGCCGTTCGCAGTTTTTTAAACAGCTCCCCACACGCCGCATACTCCAGGATCAAATACACCCGCTGCTGATCCCAGAACACGCCGTACATCTGCAGAATATTGGGATGCCGCAGCCGTGCCTGGATCTCGATCTCGCGGCGCAGCGTCTGCTCCTGTTTATTGTCCAGCAGCTCTTTCTTGAACAGCACCTTCAGCGCCACAATATAATCCGATTTCTTCTCCTTGGCCAGGTAGACCCGGCCGAATTTCCCCTTGCCCAGGGGACGGCCGATGTCGAAATCTCTGTACGACCATTTGCGCACGGTTCTCTTTCTAGCGTCGTTCTCTTTGAAGGAGCCGGTGGATGTGGCGGATGCCCCGCAATCGGTGGACCGCGCGGAGGGAATGGCGGGGATGATCGGTCGGTTAACTGGTCGGCTGAGCGCTGGAGTTTGGAAATCCAAGGCTCGTCTGTTGCAAAAAGTCAAACGCAATCGCTATTTCGCTCTTTACGCTGTGCGTTCTATTTCGTTGCTATTATAATAGTATTATTTTACAGCACAGGGAGCACGCGTCCAAGCAAGGATGCTGGGAAGGATAAGATTTCCACTTACTGCTCGAATCGTTGAGTTAAAACTGTGACGGTCTTCTTAATATCCATATCGCTCGGAATACTATTCATGAAAACTCCAGAGCTTCGAAGCAACAATTTCTCAACCATGCGCAAATGTTAGGTTCCTTTGAAAATACACAGGCCAACATACAACTTACAGAAATTAACAGAAAACGATTACAAGAACAGAACTTGACGCACCATGATAACTTGGACGGAGATAAAGTATGTAACTATAAAAAAGCTTTAAAGTAAAACCTAAAATGGCTTCGAAGCGTACGAAAAATTTCGCTGTTTTGAGTTTTGACTTTTGAGTTATTTTATGCGTTTCAGGCTTTCAGTTGCCGTTTGCCAACGCTTTTGTTACTATCGAGGCTACGCTTTCCATTTCCAATTTAACTTCCGTTTCCAGTTCCCGTCGGTGGATGCCAATCACGCAGCTACCGTCTATAGAGGGTCGCCGTTTCCCAATGATTGAGCGCTGGAAGTCGCATGTATGACTCACGACCTAATGGAAATCCATTTCCGCCGACCGATTTCCGCTTTTATTGTCAGTGCAACAAGTTTGCTCTGCGAGTCTTCAACGCTCTACAAAGTACAAACTACAAGCCTACATTATTTTTAGTTTAGAACTTTAGCACAAAGAAAAAGCCTACAAATCTTTGCTTATCCCTTGATTTTGATTCTTGAACTGTTTCTCTGAGTCTTTTATGACTTTGCCTTGAGGTAACTTGCTAATCCTTCGCTCCACTGTTAAACCATCAGCGAGAATGGAGAATCATGATAGTTTCCCTGAAAACGACGAGCGCCAAGCTGCACTGGCTAGACTCGAACAGGCCTTCTCCAGACTGAAAGCCCACACTGATGAGCGCCAGCAGGATAAAGCGGCGAAGAATGCCGAAATCCAGAAACTCCAGGCTACACTACTAAATAAACGTCAGGAGCTAAAGTTGCTGGAAGAACAGGCAAAGTAAGTTTTTCGAACGTGTAACCAGTAACTTCTGCAACTCTTGCGTGGGACTAGACTTATCTCCGATTTATTATTACTGTAACTCTTGACGATGATACTGTAACTGGTAAACATAAGCTATGACATAAGAATATGACGATACATTGTAATGCCAGTAATATTAATGCTGAATGCTTAAAACGATACACGATACATCAACTGACGATACATTATAATGGGTAGCGGTTTTCCTTTTTAGTTCAGTATTACTTTAGGGTTTTTTTATCACTTACCAAAAAAGAATTAATGGAAATACTGTTTTTATTGAGAAAAAGTTTATCTTTGAATTTTTAATCAAAATTAAACTTAAAACTGCCGCGCTTTGTTCGGGTTTTTTATCGCTTATCGAAAAAAGAATTACTGGAAATACTTTTTTGTTTTTATTAAAAAGCTTAGCTATGGTTTTTTGAATCGAAATTCGGTTGGTACGGACTTATTACCGTTTAAAACTAGTTTTGTTGTGTAGGAAACTGGAGGATTGTCAAACTGTGGAGGTGGTTCAGAAAGAAGCGGAACTGGCGGAGGAAACGAAGGCACTTGCTGAACTGGAAAACCAGTTGAATATCTCCAGGTGAGCAACAACTCCGAATGTCTTTCGAACAAGCTTACCTCCTCGTAGAACGTCTGTACGGCCATAACCGTTTGGTTTTTGTTTTTAGTGAACTGGTTGATTTGACACAGAAATGTGTGCGGCTGGAGTGCAAATTTAAAGATGAGGAAAAGCCCGCTGAAGTCACGAGTGCTTGTAAGTCCACTGTCTAATTGAATGTAAGTCCATTGAATCGAATTGATTATTGCTTGACGGACTGAAGTTTTTGTCCGTGAAACAGAAATAATTTTCAGCCCCTTTGCTGTATATTGATGATTTTACATTTTTACTAATGATTTTCCGGTTTTTGCTCTTTACAAATTCCGTCTTTTTTTTAAAATCCAGGAATACTTAAACATTATTTTGTAAATTACTGCTGCAGATTACTGTTTTATAAATTTCATTTTGTAGATGAGGTAATTTTAGAAGAGAATAATTGTTCTACAAAAAGGTGGAGTAAGTAAAGCTTCGTTTTATCATTTATGGCAGCGACATCTTCATAACCATTATCCCCGCGCATCGATGCTTTCATTACTTTGCGCTCGGTGTAGTAAAGAAGAATGATCTTTTTAATTAACAAATTTTTTTCTCTTTAAAGCTAGTATTCTCACTCTCTAGTGGGCGCTGATACAGTTATAAAATTCAATATCACAATGAAAGATTTGTTCTGTGTTCTCTGGCAGCGTTTTCATTGCATGTAGCAACGCTCCTACCATTTCACATGTCTGTTTGACTGGTGACTAGTCTGACAACAATTAAGTGTAATTCCTTTATTGCAGTTTTGATGCGGTACAGCGGGAAACAGAACGCATTCGTTCCGACGCGCTGTGTTCCGATGGGTTTGCCATACGATGCGGCACAGGTGGGGATGTTGTGGCAATGGTTGGAGGAAATTGTGCAGAAGGAAGAAGCGCTGGAGCACAAGAAAGACCAGCACATGGATCTGCTCAGCACCGATGTTCACATGGTCGAGTAAGGCGGACGCCTGGAACGCCACGTGCTGATTAACGGCATTTTTCAGGAAGATTAGATGCCTTGTCGCCTGTCGGTTTCCGGCATTTATTTCTTTGGAGATCTTCCCTGCTGATCCTGCGTGATGACGAATATTTGGTCTCTTTTACCAGCGCTGTTTCTGCATGTTATTACTCAGTTTTATTTTATATTGGTTTGCCCGTTTGCATGTCGTATTTTAGGCGACAGTTTGTGCTACAAAAGTTGCGAGCAGATTGGGTTGAATTCGGACTTGGTCTGGTTGATGCACTTTTTTGGGATCGGGTCGCGCCTGTCATATAACGATGGCGCGTTGAGCAGAATGGTTAATGTGCCCACCAGCACACCGATCCCGAATAAAATCAGGAACAGCCGATCGATCACGCGGGCGACGTACTTCCAGTCTTGAATGCTCTGTAAAAGGCAAATATCGGTTCATCGCACAGGTTAATCCATAATATCTATATAATAAAAATAACAATTTTATAAATATGCTTTAGCCTTTAAGTAAATTTAGTGTGTCAAATTGGAATACTACAGTAATTTACTAAATGTTAATTAATAGTAGCAATACTGGTACCGGTAATTAAATTTTCTAGCAGACTTAGCGGACAATGACATTCCGATGGCACTTAATTTAATTTAACACTTGTGAATGCCGAATGGTAATTAAACAGGTTACCATCAGTACATACATTCTGCCTATCAAGTTCCCTTTAAATTATTACAGTATATTACTTACAGAAACCACGAAAACTTTAAGATTGACTTACATTTTCCTGTTCTTTATTGTCACGGTATTTGTCCGCGATGTACTTGAGTCCCTCAATGGCCCGCTGCACTTCCGGTGAATAGGTGTGCTCCAATTGGAATTCCGTGCTGACCGGCAATGGGTCATCGTCGTAGGAATACGATGCCACGGACAGTTCATCCGGTTCCAGAGTGCGCGCCGCACTGTACTCGCTGCGCTTGACAAACTTCTCCCGCTCTTTATCGACGCGGCTTTTGTACTCGAATTTGGGAGCGTATTGCCGGGGTCGTTGGATGCGGATGATACGCGGTAGAATATCCACGAAGACACGGCGTATCCACGGGGACATTTTATAGTGCGTGCTAGGATTGCGGAACTGTGAACACCCCCATCGTACGTATTAGCTGCGGAAGAAGGATAGCTGTCGTCATTGCAAGAAATAAAACCTTTACATGAACGTCCAATACGGCGACGGTAATCATGATGCTGAGCGTTACTAGTACCATGGTGAATACTAGATATTTTCCAATGAGGGGTACAGCAAGACTGGTTGGCGGCACATTCTGTAATAAAAAACGACGTCGTCAAGATCGATCGTACTGGCCGCTTCGCGCGCATTATTTTTGTTTTACGAAAAACGAAGGTGATTATACGTGAAGACGTTTGTTGAAAAACTGGACCCCAGGTAATCGGTAATCAAAGTCTTAACAGTAAATTTAATTTTGCAGATTGTTTATGCATAAGTTTCGGATGACATTGTCCCTGGTATAACCGCCCTTGCACTACAGCCAACGATACAAGACGTCACGCAACATATTGCAACATAATACTCGTATATCGGTTGCATGTTTTGCGTAAGTGTCTGTCCATCGGTAATACGAGTACTAGCAAAGTGAACAAACTACAAATGTACGAGTACTCCAAATTTTGTAACATTTTTATCCATCATAACAATTACGCAGCTTTCCATTAATAAAATATACGCAGCAAGGAGTTCATTAACGATGGTTTTTAGAGCTGCGTACGATAAAGCGTTATTTCGATGCTACTATCCTAACTGCAGTGAGATAGGTACTTACTTCGGCAAGGAGAAGAAAGAACACGGTGAGGGACATCAGTACGGAAATGCTCAATGTAATCTGCAAATTGCATTAGATAAGCAGTTAATTAATCACCAAATTAAAATGTAAAAGGTTGTTGGAACTGACCTTTTCACCACTGTCGCTGGGCAGATAAAATACTAGCACCGTCAGGAACGATATGGCCACACAAGGAAAAATCATATTCACTGCAAGAAAAGCACACTTCTAACTAATTCATGTTTTGTATATACGCGAGTATGGGATCTTTCGGAAATGGACAGATAAGATTTTTTCTGTCTAATATTTTGCCGTTTTACCGGTGAAGTACATGGTCTTCCGACGGATGGAGAATTCGTACGTGATATCGATGTACGGCTCGGGACAGCACGAGTACGAAATTGCACTGCGTTTGGCGGTGACCTTTTCAAAGCAAATCGTTCATTTGGTACGAGTAAATAAAATACGTCGTTCTCGGTTCTAAACTACATAACTTTCTTCCGGCTTTCAGTGCAAGTTTGCAGATACCAGATGTTCATAGCAAAATTATTCTAAAAGTCAGTTTGGTATGACAGGAAACGTATTAAATGATACGAGATATATCATTCAGTTCTCATAACGCCGTTACAAGCTAACGCCTATATCACAAAAATGTTAAAAGCCGGGAAGGCATCCTTACTTTCATGATATCCCATTCAATGCTGAGATAGTATTCCGATAAGTCCATACCGTCAGGAATAGTGGTGTTGTCGTCCACATAACCGTGCAACGGCAACAGATTGATCTTGAAACCATCGTAGCTCCATGTTCCGAACTACAATATGTACAGAGCCAGTAAGATATGCACAAATAAATTCATAGTAAATTTCATGCATTCATTGCCGTCAGACAAAAAACTGAGGAACTCCTATAGTTTACAGTATTTACAGTATAAATATTATTTGCAGGGATACGCCAGGCTTGATTTATTACAACTTCCATGATTTACTGTAGATATTTAAATTATGAGACTACACAGTCAGTTTGAAAAGCTTGCAGTACTCCGTAAAAGATGTCACGGTTATTCATGAAATCGATCGCGTTAGATTTTTTGCCGTGCTACGGCGCGCTGGATAATGCGTATGTTAAATTTTATAAAGACTATTGTGTTATCGCTTCCACGTGCCATCGATGGGAAATTTCTGACGACCAGGGTCAATCTAATCAATACGCTCACTTTTTCTGAAAATGCATATATGTGGATGTCGAAGCAGACTCACCTTAAGCCTACAGGTTTGTTCGTCCTGAAAATAAAATCTGGCTTTAGTTAAATGCGTTCCAAACCCTTTTTGGAATTAATTATTCGGTTTTTAAGCAAAATAAAATGTGGGATGCCGAATTACTACTGTACTATATCTTGGGTGCAAGAGGAAGCATAGCAGCCTGCACTTACGTAAGGAAAGTATTCCACGAAGATCATACAGTAGCTAGAAGCAATGAAAACGATTTTATTTTAATGTACAAAATACGTGCTGGATTAAATGAGAAGTAAATAAATAACAAGGGAAACTTTATGAACTCCTTAAATGCTTTACCTACGATAAATAGCCGGTGGCTCCCAGATCAGTTCGCCAGTATATCGCACAACGGCACGCGTTTTCAGCGTTATTTCATAATTCCCATCAGCGCTGCAATTTTTCAAAATCAAGCATATAAACTCCGGCAGGGAAAGTTTGCTAAATTTTACGGCATAAGTATTTTCAAGTAAGTAAACTTTATTCAAAACTTATAATGCTATTACAATTGTACGCTAGACTGCATATCATTTCGGCTTCACACTATAAAAGGTTTTTCTAAAACAATCTACTTCCCAAATCGCCATTTTTACATTCATATACATTATCGCACATGCTGTTCATATAATGTATTGTACAAAGTATCTGTGCTATACAATAATTATACTTATTATAAAGAACGATGTCCGGTGTCCATAACGTGTCGCTGAGGATTTGAATGGTCTCGATCCCATCGTATTCTTTCGGATCCCAAGTTAGACGGTAATCTTTCCATTGCTGCATCAGAACCCTTCTCGTTTTATTTAACCATACATATGTAATTCATTTTTCTTCTTAATGGTTAATTCTCAAGACAACAGACGCAATTAACCCACCTGACGAAGCCACACATTTGTCATAACTGAAATAAACCCAAAAAATTATCGGTATCATCCTACGAATATCCAGTTCGTTATGGTTTTCTACATACATTTATGTTTTCTGTAATTGTGCACCTATTCACTCAAGTAACTATACAATATATACACGGATAATACACCGTATCTCGTTTTATGACAGCTACGACGCTCTGCATCTTGCGTGTATAAAATACAATATGTCTGCAGCACATCGGTATGTAGTACTTAAGCAATAATTATCGCTGTATAATAAAGTACGAGTATACTTAAGCAGACTTAAGCAATGTATAAGCATTGACGCTGTATAAGCAATCGATTATTGTAAATAAATGTGTTGCCGATTATTCGACTTACCTACTTGATTGACCTCATCCTACAACAACAATTCAGAAAATGACAATTAAACGGGTAAACAGAATGTAATTATATAGTACTTAGTCAGGTGTGAAGTTGTAATTAATGAAAAAGGCTAAATATTGAAAAGTTAATTATTGGGAACGATGCGGTTGTCCTCCCTGTAGCTGGTCGTTAAAGTTAGTTTATCACATTTCCATCTGGAAGAAATTTTAAAATTCCGATCAATCAGTCGGTGTAAAATTAGAACGACAACATTTGTGCTCTGGCTAATAGCCCGAAAATTGTGCGCCGACACATAGCAGTTTAACACTTGCGCTAAAAATAATTGTGCTGACATCGGAGAAGGCCGGTTCACTTGCTTTTAAAACTGAACGCAAGCAAAATCTCTAACAACCAGCAGAAAAAGGATGCTCTCTTTTCTGCGCAATTATTGCATATTTTATAAGTAAAGCACTGCTCCTAGTGTGCCCACTGCGCACAGTTTAGCTAACTACATATTTGATTTATACAAACAGTACAATTTATTTGGAAATTTTGCATTGGTTCTAGCCCAGTTTTTTTCTGCACCAAAATTGTGCACGAGTTGTTGCATAATTGTATTCATATGAATGGCCAAAATCATTTTCCGTTTTTGAAGCAAAAATTATACAGCAGCATTTTTGTAGCTCAACAAAATTTCACTGGCAGCTTATTCAGTTTAGATAAAAACGGTATATACGTACTGTTCAATTCTAATATCACAAAATTTGAATCATATACTGACTAACTGCGGCGCAAAAGCTATTAATTAAAACGTGCAAGTACAGATCTGCTTACCACGTCGATCAGTTGTGTTAGTTTGACTCCCAAGAAGACATCAAGTGGCATCGTATCATTCTCCACCGGACGAACTAGTTTATTGTAATCCCGCATAAGCCACTCATATAATCGTCGACCATCCGAATTGGCCGCAATCAAACTGGGCAATACCAACACAACAATCGCCGACAAATGGCTAAATCCCATTTTATCCCGGTTAGACCCAATGGGTACGTGCAAAAATATTGGCATGCGATTGTCAGTACTTTCGGCGCACAATGTGAAATTTCATTAATTTTGATACTTCGCGGTCCAGTCGGAAAAGTGTATACGTAGGTACACACATATGAAAGATCAGTGTGCCACGCAGATTTTCGGGAATCATCAAACTTTTACGCCCGAGTTTGAAGTGATCTTGAAACCGGCAAAACAATCCAGTCGGGAAAATGTAAGAAAACCTGAAAACATAACATATCAAAGGTTAGGCTTTACTGTATAATGCGGCATTGCATTAAAAAAAGTGAGCACCGCATCCACCGATCGATTTTTTTGGATCGATACATCCTAAATCACAAACAAGGATTTTCTGCATAATATGTATTATAATTTGTGTGTCCGTCACCGCATCAGTCTGCGTGCGTAATACCAAGAATGACCACCAAATTCTAATGTACATAGTAATTAATCAAATTAAACAGCAAATTTTAATAGATCCCAATTCTGCTTTGGTTTCTCTTAAATTTGAAAATATTATATAGCGTAGTTTGATTGGATTAAAAATAAATTAAAATAAATTTAAAACAGTATTTTCCGTTAATTATCGTCACATATTATGCTTTGCAATACCATAAACAGCTTCCGTAGAAAAAAAATAGCAGTATTTTGAAGGCACTTTTCGTTTAATAAAAACTATAACCGGGCATAAAGATCAACAAAACATAACCGGTAACACAAAGATTTCCGCTACCGGACTTTCAACCAGCCAGACTGTTTAATTTATAATTAACTTTTTTCTTGTTACCTAACAGAATGGTTGTCAGCTTTTTCTTGGTATGAGCAAAAAAACGTATTCTTAGATAAAACGAACTTATAGGTAATTATTGCTTACCGCAATCGGATTTCCGGCAAGTGGGAGCTCTGGGATCAACGTTTAAAGCAGCACTAGAGGCGTCTTTTCACATATCCGGCTGAATGTGGGACCGGGATTCCCATGCACATATATATATTGTCAAGAGGGTCACCACAGACGTTAAGATAAAAAGGTTTGATGCATCTTGGCCAACATCAACACCGGCTAAGACGACACTCGGGCAGACGTAAATATAATATGCACTGCCACTGCCAGGCCCAGACTCGACCAAATATTAACCCATAGAAAAATCGAAGAGTTGAGAGTTCATGTGAAACTGAAGGATCTTTCTGCAAATATTGTGCCAGGGCTTCTCCAGATGTTTGGTTTGATTAATGGGCCACCGCTGTACAGTAGACGTCTTAAGTAAATTTCTCCATGGTCCACATTTTAAAAATATTCACCAATAAAAATTCATGGATCATCCCGAATATATCGTGTATATCCGGTTTGAATCACAACTGCAGCACATCTTTATTGCTATTCTGTATTGATCACAAGATTATGCAATCCCAATTTTGTGACACACTGCACCTTCATAATCATTCGCTAGATTTACTTTTTGCGATTAATTTCGACGATACGGATATGGATTCTTCGGATTCGTGATACCATTCAAATTTATAGAGACTACAGTACTTCAGCTTTTTTGTAGCGGTAGTTTTAATTTGCACAATACATACACGGCGGTTTAGCGCCTCTTAAATTATACGTCAAATATAATCAGCATTTCAGGGCTGCATTATATATTGATCGCTCTCTTACTAAATTTACATTCTGTTAATCTCACTTTTTCGTTGATCTATAGCTGTTATACCTTGTACTACACAGAAACATTAGATTTTCATTACTTACACATTTTATGGAAATAGCTTGGATACATGATTTTGCGCACTAACATGTGCGGAACAGAAAAGGCTACGCATATCGATAATTATTAAGCAACATATCAGTAATTTCCACGCATATCAGTCATTTCCACGGCATCAGTAATTATTAAGCAACATGCTCAGCGATTTAACTAGGCCGCGATTCTACAGCCGATATACAAAATTAATTGGGATAAACCGATACGTTCAGCCAGCTATAATAACCAAATCACGTACGCAGCGGGAAATTCAATTCAAATGATTACACCATGCCTAATTGTTTTCCCATGATACCTTCGGTGTTATCAGTAGGAGAACCGATTTCCCGCATGTGGTATCGCTTGCTGATCCTACCCTAGGATTTCTGGCTTGTTTCCGGACGAATAATTGTGGAGGCGTCGAATCTCACTGCCTCGTTGCCGGCCGGCATCAGTTTTTCGACTGGAAAGGATTACACACGCCGAGAGTCCAGAGAACAAGGTCGAAGATGCCGAAATGTACAACCATCATTCACAGACATTATACTCGTAGAATCGATATCGCACATTTAGTTGCTTTAATATTCTTTATGATCGACGTGATGTATGATGTATTGTACAGAAATTAGAAATACAGTACGAGCTCGTACTGTATCATAATATTATGTAGAAAGAAGCGACACTTATTGTACGCGTACGAATACCGCTCCGAGGTTTAACGGCCCTTACATAATATAATTAATTTTAACCTTTAAGCACCGTTCCGCAACAGATTTGACACCGATCAAGCATTTGTTCCGAACGTTTATCACACATGTACGGTGATGTACCTAGTATGGTATATTAACATTACATTATTTAGAAAAGTAAATTACTGATTCGATAAATGTAAAAACAATAGATCCGGCAAACACGTGCAATGTCTAGCCGACTGCACTTTATCCTCGTGTATAGATATATGCTTGATTTACTCGATCGTAGTATTAATTTCTGCGGTTTTACGATAAATAAAGGGCATGCAGCCATGCATCTTGTATTTGATAATGAGAGAGCGAAAGTACTCACCGAAACATCTATAGACAAATTAGTTATAAAATTATTACTCCATAATCCATAATTATATGAATCATGTGCCAAGTTCTGCAACAATTTTAACGTTAAGTACCCTTTAACTGTGATATGTTACAGATCGTGGCGGTTGGAATGGCAAACGTGTGTGCAATGAGTGGACGCCCGGAGATGCTGTTTTCATTAATCGTTATTTCCATCGTGCCCTTAGGTCTTCTGCAAAAAAATTCTGGAAACGGTTCACAAAGCTTATGATCTAATCAAATAAAACTTCAGAATTAAAACTTTAACAGAATCTATTTCAAGTATTTGAAGTTATTATAAAGACTTATAAAGAAAAAAGTCGTATGGACATGATAGTATGATAATAGAGTCATAAAGTTCTTGAAATGGAGTCTGGATGTCAAAGCCCGATTTTAATGTTGTGATTAAAGCCTCTTGACTCCTTGATTGTCACACTGTTTAATACTGTGTGTTTCATGCGTGACAGCGAACTGCAGAGTGCAGACGCCAGAAAATTTATGTGAGAGCTTCCCCCCAACTGATCTGGTCACAGCAGCTGTGCCACGGTGCGGATTAGTGGGTAGAAAATTATGGACCCCTCCTCCACGGAACCCTTGGATTTGTGCGGCGTCAGTTTTGACGAGAGCTACCGTAACGTCCTGGAAACCCGCGAAGAACTGGAGTTGCTGCTGCCTGCAGCGCTGGATTTGGCGGGGAACCGCGATGAACTGCTGCGACTGTCCATGACGGTGGTGAGTCGTCTGTTTGGATCGAACGCTCGTGTTAGCTATCTTTTTATTAGGTTTATGGTCGACCACTAAACCTAATAGAAAAGTAATTAGTTTGCACTGTACATGTGTATAAGGACCTATAGGCTATAACCTATAGGCTTTTCTTTGACATCTCCAGCAACGACAGCTTAACTCACGCGCACGATCAGATTTGAGATTTGGTCAGTCGACATCAGATGTCTGGATGGGTTTTTATTTTGGCAACGGCTATACCTTGTTCTTTGATTTGAAATTTTGTGGATTTTCAGTTAGCACTTGTGACGCGTGTGGTGACTGATCCCGTTATCCGTACCTGTGTACACTGTAACAGTAGATTAAAATTGAATTTGTTTTGCTTGTAGAATAAGATGCTTCAGTCGTGCGGGACCATCCGGAGGGAAATCCTTAGCAGGTTGGTTTTGCTTTTTGTTTTTTGCACCAGTTGAGTTTTGTTTCTGTTGCTGACGTTTTTCGTAGTTGCGTACTTCGACGACACTAAAGATATTGAGTTTGTGCTAGCTTTCTCGTGTTGTGACGTTTTCATGAGTTTGTATTGGTTTTTTTACTTTTTTTGCAGGGAAATTTTAAAATAAAATAGTTATTAAATTTTTTAATTGCATCGTTCTCTGATTTCTCAGTGGAAGGGTTTTTGCTGTGAATTTGATAGTTTTATAGTTTTGGCTGTTGTTTTACGGTTTTTTATTGGTTTCTTAATTTTTTGCAGTGAAAATTTGAAATAGAATAGTTGCTGATTTTTTTAACTGCATCTTTTCTGATTTCCGGTGATTTTGTAAATTTTATATTATATCTGTTGTGCAGTATGATTTTTATTGTGCAGAATTGTCCAGATAGACCATAACAGTCGTGATGCCCCCTCCCGTCTGCCATCCACCATGGTCCCCACCACACGCTCCTCACCGGTTACCGTGCACTCAGCCAGTAATTTTACTCAACCGCCGTCAGCCGCAGCAGTCCCCGTCCAATCCGCTCCCAGTGTGCCTTTGGGAACCGCGCGTTCCACGATGAGCAGTGTTCCCGCGCCTGCTTCCTCACGTTCCAGTTCGGTTACGCACGCTAAATCCCCCATGTCCGCACCCGATCAGGCCGGCCAGTGCAACGGGGAAACGGCGCTCAATGGATCCACTGGCGCGTACTCGGATGTGCTGGATCTCGGCAAGATTAAACCGCTGCCGGTTAATGGACTCAGCGAAGAAATGCTCGACGGTCTCCCTATGTACGTATAGTTATTTACATCGGGAAAAAAACAGTTTGGTAATGTAATCAAGATCGGCAGTTTATCTCCAGCTTACCGCAGATCCGCCACAAATTCGGGAATGTATTTAGTGTACAGTATTGTAAAAATAAGAAATTTACTATTTAAATTTATCTGTGTTTCTCTCGTGTACCTGATAACATACCGATTCGCAGTGATTTCGTTTGCAGGTAAATATTTGCGGTATTAAATTATTGATTACGTTGTCTGAATTCCGTATTAATTTTTGTTTTCCTGAACATTTTTTCCTGTGTTTAGGTTCTGAAAACTTAATATGTTTTGCATGGTTTTTGTTACTTACTTATGTCAAGTCCGGTTTCTTATGGTTGCTCATCTTTATATCATCTATAAGTATATAATACAATGAAAGAAATTTCATAATCATGGTTACTGATGGGATATTTTAATGCAGAATGCGAGTGTGGTTCCCCTTCTTGAATCCGGCAACCACTCCAGAATCGCTGCAAGCCGGACTGAGAGCCCTCGGTTACGTTGTGAAGAATATGGAGCTGTATCGCTGGCAAAATAACAAATTCCGCGGTTGTGGTTGGGTGGAATTAAACAGAGCACATCACATATGGGAATTGATTGGGCGATCCGATGTGGTTATCGACGGATGGATTGTTACGCCGAAACTCCGCATTGTATGTCGAACGACATTTGCATCTGTTAATTTTCTATGAAAGAGATTACATCTTGTGTAAAAACTAGGAAGTGACGTTAAATATTATAAGCATTGCCGAATACGCTTCAAAGAAAAACGACGCTATATCAAACTCGAAAGGAAAATTTACATTTCGCTCATGTTAATTTGGTTAGACTGTCGCTTGGCATGACAGTAATACTGATTATCTAGTTCCCGATAGTACTAATTATGTAGCTCCCGTCATCTAATACAATTGCAGATTTTGTGTTATTTGCGTTTTATCACATGTTGTCGTAGGTTTCCAGTGTATTTATTAATTTTTACAGGAAGAGATGGAAATCCCGCACGTAAACGGCATAGGACCGGAAGACATCCAGGAAACGTTGGATCTGACACCAAGAGATATTTTTGGACGAGATTTATCGGATCCGGAGGTAATAATAAAAACAGTGACCAATACGTTATTTTTATATCATATTCGGATTTCTTTTGAATGTATAAAAAGTTGGCTTTGTGAAGAATATTTTGTGTGTTAAATTCCATAACACCGTACCGCTTTTTCGCCAAAAATATCGGACACTATTGCCTTAGTTAACAATACCAAAATAATATCTTTCCAAAGTTCATGTTTGTATGGATAATGGCGTTGAATAGATTATTTAGCATTGTTGAGTTGGATTGTGGATAACCTGCGTGAAAACATCAGTCATATTAATCTGATGGTAGTTTCACAGCACTGTCCGTGTAAATCAAACTAAGGATTGTAACTGACGGTTTGGAAAATATTTTTTGTTTAGGATCTGGAGGCCTACCAGTGTCTACAGCTGTTTATGTTGAACAACTGGCTGCCGGTTACGCATCCACAGGACAGCTACACGCAGCGACGAGCAAAGGAATTGCCTTTCGAATCCGATGAGGCTGGTTTGAATCATAGTGAATAGAAGAATGAAGAAAGAGAATTTTGGGCTTGGTTACTTCATTGTACAGATTTACCGTTTGCTCCTGGGCCGAACTGTCCTGGATCTTTTGCACAAGACTGGTTAACGCTTTTGTTCGATTTTCATAATATTCGTTAAAATGCATTTTTTAGACTGTGGTTTAGACTCGTGATAAAATGTGTGCAAAACAGGTTTTGCCTTATAAGGCCTGTTTTTGGCTGGAATTTACTCGAAATCTGGGTTGTGAACCTTGCATAAATATTAAAAGGTTTGAACTTGCCTGCGTATGTCGTTATCCCATAAGAAATGAAGTGCAGAAAATTTTTCCCCAGCCAGGGTAAGAATATTTAATTGCGTGCGTTTACAGGGAGAATTGAATCTTTTAAAATACAAAATCAAGTTGCGACTTGTGATCATTCAACATTGCTACCAAAATGCGCAGTCAAATGCAAATACAAATACATTTCGCCAAGCTTACGATAAAACAAAAAAAATTTACTTTTCTGGCTGCGTCACTGATCGTAAGATGGCCTTTGGGTTGACATCTTTCTTTCCGTTCGCCGATTGCGAACGACGAGCAAGCCCCTTCAGTAATCGAGGAAATCGCAGCAAAATATGCAAATACCGCAGCAAATACAAATACAATTCGCAGCAAATACCGACTGGATTGCGTTGACAACTGCGTTGGAATAGGCAGATGCCATCATGCCACTATGTCTTCGACATCATGACAAACGAACCCTATCCCGACATGATGGCGACATCCTATGGACTATTCGACTCCTATGGACTATGGAGCCTATGGACTATGGACTATGGAATTCGACATCCTATGGACTATGGAGCCTTAAGAAATACTGTAATGCAAGATGTATAAACATAAGTAATCACTAGCGCAATTATTACAGCTATTTTCTGTAGGCATTGTTTTGCATTATGGCAGTTTCAGCATAGAGGTTGCTTGACCTTTATATAAGTACACTGGTCTAGCCTAGTCTACTAGCTAGGTAAACGTTTTTGGTACTGTACATTCACTGTCATACGATTGTCTGTTGCTTTAATGCGCGACACACAAGCGAGGCAGGGCAAAGCAGGACTTATGAATTCGGGATACGCGAGGTGGACTTGCGCCAGGTAGTTTTCGCATCAACTTGAGCGCACATTTTTTATCTGTCGCTTTATCGCAGCGAATAATGTGGTGGAATTTAGATTCTGCATGTGTGCATGCTGCTTCAGGACGGGACTGGATTTTGTGCTCGAAAATGTCTGAGCTTTCGAGTCGTTAATTTTCCCCTTGCGTCCAGGTCAACTGGAAGAGTTTACCGGTGCCGTACGGTTTATTGTATAGAATCCCTTTATCAATTATGGCACCACAATTTTTCTGGATGGTGGCTTCCGAAACCCACTAAGGTCAAAATATGCGTACAACGGTACAAGCAAAACACTACGAAGAACAATGATTTTTTATTTAAGGCAGTCGTAATTCGTAATTTTGGTGATCTAATTTCGCTATGACCTTGTCTTTTACCACAGCGGTTAACGCGGGAACGCCAGTTACGTCTTAGCAATAAACCGAACCACTTTCCAAGTTTCGAACTTTCAATAAAGTATCAATCTAAATCTTTGCAGCATTATTGTGTCAGAAATATCTAACAACAAGGATTGTCTTCGTTTTGCTGTTTATCGCTGGCGCATTGATATCAATCGAGTCATATGATTTCTTTGGACCAACACGTTTTCGTAATTCAGTGTTACACGTAATACCATAATATTACTAAACAGTATTTAGTAATATTATGGTAATACCTACAGTCACTTTCGAGTAAGGAAGTAAAGCTGACCATTGGACATTTATTTGTGTCAATACAAGTTTTCTTGAAAGTTTTTCCTTTTCGAAATCCATGTACAGTCTTATTTTGCTCCTGAACTTCCTTTACAAGAAACCAAAATACTACATCCCATCATGTGCCTTTAAACCCCTTTCTTTTGTTTTTGATGGTCCGGTTAGGACCTTGTGTTATTTTATGGGTTTTACATTTCCCCCATTATTGTTGCCGAATTCGGCGGGGTTGGTTCTGAAGGAATTCCTTCACATTTTGATTTGGATGTCCGAGAACAGGGATATCCGTCACTCGTACGTACATTATCGACTTTTGCTTCGAAGTCCGAGAACACGGATTTCCGCATGCGCGAGCGGTTGATTGGCGCTGCAGCTTTCGCTAGCAGGCACTTTTACACGTCGCCGAAGAGGGGTACCATGACATAGGATATTTTCACCACCGCTCCTCCTAATCTATGTTCTTGCACCGGTTTTATACTGAACCGTTCGTTCCGTAAAATTATTAAATTTTACAATGAAAAGAATGATTAATTTCTGGAGTTTTCAAATAACTTGAATCGTAAAAAGCGAACCCATTTCTCGTGCGCTTCCGCTGGTGCACTTCATTTTTTAGCTTAACCATACTCGTAGGTTTACAGTCAACGATCACATTTTCTGAAGGCACGCAAATTACCGATATACTCTGCTTGTATTCGCAGGCGCTGTACGTATACAGAGTAGTGGGTAAATCAAGTCAATCATAATTGCAGAAACTTCTTGAGTGAAATCTCACTAATCGAATTAATCTTTGGCAGAATACGAATAAGGTACAAGTTATTCTTTTGAACAACAGAAATCTGTTTTTTTTTCTTGCAATCCAGCACAAATTGTAACCTCAAAATCACAGCTGTCAGCTCGAAAGCCGTTAAAATTTCTTTTCATACAGGCAATATGTGATTGTACTCGTAATTATTTGAAGTTCTTTTCGTAATTATTTGAAGTTCGAGTGTGACTACCCAGTAGGATGTACAGTAACCAGATGCAGAGTAAGCGCTAAAAAATGTGCAAGTGCTGCAAGTGATGTTCCCAAGATTACTAAAATTTTTTGTTGTAAAAGAGCGATGTTGCCCTGATAATGGTCATTCAGTCTCTTGGTAGCACAAGCTGAAAACGGAATGTTCACCCAGACTGAATTCGATACTATAGCATCCATTTCCTGATTTAATGAACTTTTCCTTCGTTTGGATCATGTATCAGGTTTAGTTCCTACCTAGTACAAGTTGTCGCAAATTTGTATATAGGATGGATTCGGTGTCAACAGAAACCGTGCCTTACCCAAACCCAGAATTTTAATTTAACACTTAAGTAATTCCGTGTTCGGTATCCGGCTCGTTGTAATCAACAGAAATAAACTGTGAATCCAATACTTGCTTTCGTTACTGGAGTCAGACGTCTGGAATTTCCACAAAAGTAACACATCGTTTGCAATAAAATGATTAAGTCGTCTCTTCACTATATAAGATGCGGTCAAGTCTTGTTCTTATTACTGATACGCAGCCCAGAAGTAGTTGTATCAATTTGGTATTTTTGTTGTTTGAATCACGGCTAAACGTTTGCGACGTACGAACGAAGCAAGATGGACCAGAACGACATTGTGACGAATTTGTCCGCAACTAGCACATCAAGCAACGCCACAGAGCTGCAGTACACATGGAGTTTTGTCCCGGGAATGGAAGTAATAATTTTCCCAAGCGTACTGATTCTCAACGGTTATGTTTTAGCGCTATTTTGCATTACCAAACGTTTGCACACTCCGTTTAATATTTACTTGGGCAACGTCCTAATCTGCAACATCGTGAACGGTATCCTGAATGATCCCTTGGACATCCTAAATTTCATCTCGTCGTACTGGTGGCTCGGAGATGCCTTGTGTATGGTCTACCAATATTCCATCAATGTCTTCGGTGGCGTCGTAATGCACGCTCATGTCCTCATCACGATCAACCGCGTCTGGGCGGTGACCTTTCCACATCCCTATCGTCAATAGAGTTCGTAATTCGTCAAGATTTCAGCAGCGCAACGGAAATTTTCAGCCTTTTGGAAAAACTTGACGAAACCTAACTGTACGCAAATTTAGAAAAATAATAACGAAACTTAGCGATTTTACTAAACCATTTAACGAAACTTGGCGATGACGGAACATATTTCACGTACTAAAGAACGAAACTGAGCGAAAAATTTTGAAAGAAAGATTACTTATTCAAACTGAGCCTAAATTTTGCTCCTATACGCTTGAAACCAAGCAAAAACTGTTGAAGGCAGTAAATTTTGAAAAAAATCAAAGAAAACATCATAATTTCGCGCGCAGCGCGAAGCTGACGGACAGATTTCTTTAAAATCTGCCAGAAATTTCCGAAAAAACCGAAATAAGTAGCGAAATTTTTAGCGAACGAAAAAAGAAGCAATACCTAGACGAAACGAAAGGTTAAATTGAAATAACGAAGCTAAGCGAAGCGGTGTCCATTGCCCTTAAAACCTGCGCGAAACTTGACGAACCGCTTCGTTAACTATCGTTACGCTTCGTCATTTTGAGGACTTACGAACTCTAATCGTCAACATCACTCGGTGCGTTGCGCTGTTTTCTTCATCGTTAGTATGTGGTTCTACGTTCACCTTGTGTGTCTTCCGATCTTCATTGCCAATGTCATCCTGTACCCACAGGATATTGAGACAACGGGCTGTATGACGGCAGTGATGCCGGTGTGGACCTCCCTGATGCAGTTGGTCATCTATTTGCTGCCTAATCTGTGCATTATTGTCGCCTATCCGTATCTGGTCGGTTTGGGACGTCATCAGCGGAAAGTGATGGCTCTGAGTAAATTACAAGCAACATCGACGAGTCATACTAATCGTGACACACTCAATGTGGCGTTAGCATCGGAATCTGCAGCTGCGTCTGCTGAACAGAAACAGGAAAGGTCGCCAAAGAAGAACAGTCGGGCGTTTGCCGTTTTTACCGCCCTCACGATTAGCATCACCGTTTGCTGGACACCCGAAGTTATGTTTTATTCGGTTTCTGACCTTTATTTAGATCTGTCGGCATACGCAAAAACCCTGGAGTTTTGTGAGATGTTGTTTGTGCTGCAGCCGGCGTTAGATCCTATCTTCTTTGCGGTCATAATTCCCGATATACGAACGCACATTATGCAGTGCTTCCGGAAACGTTGAATTAGGAAAAGATAGACGGGATTCACTAATTACAAGAAAGAAAGAAAGAATTCTTTGTATGTGCACCTAGTGCCGTCTGCATCTGCACTTTGCGGTGCGCAGCAGCTTCTCGCGTTAAGAATTCCTCTCGAGGGGAAGCAGTTCATCGATCTCAACCTTCATTCTAATATCACTGATTTTTCAAGCACAACAATATTTTTTTTTCGTTTTTCGGGCCTTTCTGCATGGTTCGTGTGCACCCTGAAGACATTGTTCAGTATTAATTAGGCTGTTTTGTAAAGCAGACTAAACGCATTGTTTTCTCGTTCTGTTGTTTTCATAAACATAAGCTGGGACCAGGGTAATTAATGAGGGTATTGTCACTTACCTTTGGTGTAAAACCGAAGATTAACAAGCCTTCCTTGTATTTGTTGCGTATAAATTTGAGACCGATTACTGTATCGGCTACTGTGTTGCTGGTTTTTAGTAAGCTCAGAAGTATGACTATTGTAATTATTTGTATGTACGAGTACTAAACGGAATATTCTATCCGCATCGATCGCGTTATGCGCGGGGTGCTTGTTCTAATCCTAATTTTAATAGCTCTCTGTATTTTGCGCTCTTCATATTTATTTTAATGGCTCTGTGTATTTCGCGCTCCTAACGGTCCAAAACAAAGATGGTACTGCGGAATCTCACGTATAATGGGACAAGTATTATAAAGCTGAACTGGAAATAGCCGATGCGCGTCTAAAGCTATAAGGATTCGGGCGCAGAGACAATATCGGTCGGATTATTACTTATCGATAAATGTATGAGTACTTCTACTTGTACGAAAAATGAGCAACTTCAACGTGCTGTGCAAGAGTAGGCGGATATCGAGACTGTATCCACTGGATTCGTCTGCATTTTCACGCTTCCGGTATTATTTTACACATTCAGGAAGTCCCGGAAATGAGCGACGTATAACCGGAAGTCTTCCAGAAAATGTCATAATAATGCTCAGAAAACCATTGTTTCAATATGATCTGTCAGATTCGGATCATCACAGCTTTCTCTGAACACCAGTCTGCAATACATCTGCAACTAGACCCATGGACCTTTCCAGTGATTACTTTTTTGAATGGTCCGACGAACTGGTCCAATAAAAATAAAAACCGAGTCTACGACTGAAAGTGAAGCGTCTAAATGTACGCAGCTACAGTACATTATAAATGCCGCACAATCCATGTGGCTCATTTGAACGAAAGATCGCAGATTCGTAGTGTTCTTTCTAATTATTACGGAGTAGAAACCTTAAGATTGTGATTTAAATAGTACGAAAAATGAATGTTGTTATTACATCATAATAACAACATGCGATAATCGCCCAGAACAGTCATCCCAACTGCTGATGGAGGAAGCCGAATTCCATTAATTCCCACAGTTTGCTCGCATAATAGTTATTGTGCCCATAAATTCTAGCCTTCTTGGAATATGTACAGCTTTACGAAGTTCTTCTAGTTCTATCAAACGGCGGTATTCGAACACAGCAGTTTGCATATCAAAGTTGTCGCTGGTATACAGTGACTGTAGTACTTTCACATATATCTGTACAATTGTGGTCTTTGCCGGCTATGCGCGTCATATTATTCGAATAATTTAATGGCGATCATCCGGTCTATTCCACAGGGCACACAGTTTCAGGAAATGAGCGCCGACTATCATACATTAACTGCAGTTATTCTGTAAGTGTGAAAGCGAGAAGATGCCTTCAGTACCCTGGATGCTACTTATTTTATTTCCAAAAGTGCTGACGCGGGAATTAACAGTTATAGCGAATTCTTAATGTTATCGATAATCGTTTTGTTTTGGATAGCAAAATCTTTTTCTGTCTGCATCGGAATTTTGCGCAAAGAAGCTTCCAAAAGTAACATATGGTGGATCCAATATTATGGAATCCACATTTATTATTCATGAAGTTACCCGTAATCTTGTGTACCTATACCGTGTCCGGATCAACATAATGTTGACCTAAATCCACATTTTTTGGAGTTTCAGAATGATCATTGCACTCTGATGTTGTTCTTGTAAGGATTACTTCGGAATTTTTCCGACGTGCTTACCGAAAATGAATACGACTGTGAGTGCCGCAACCTGGTCTACAAGCAACGCTACCAACAACTCCACCAGGTTATTTCAATACAGCTGGAGTTTCGTTCCGGCAATAGAAGCGATTATTTTTCCCTGCGTATTGCTTTTTAACGGTTCTGTTCTGGCGTTATTCCTCATCACAAAGCGCTTCCAAGTCCCGTTTAATATTTATCTAATCAGTGTCATGGTCTCCAATATCGTGTACGCTGCTCTGGATAATCCTTTAGATATTCTCAACTTTATCTCCTCGTATTGGTGGCTGGGAAATGGCTGGTGCGCTGTGTATCTGTACTCCATATCCGTATCCAGCGGAATCGTCATGCAGTCCCACATGCTTATCACCATTAACCGCATCTGGGCGGTGACCTTTCCCTATTCTTACCGTCAGCATCACTCAGTGCTCTGTGCCGTTCTGTTGGTCATCGCCGTTTGGTTGCTCGTGCACATTATATCGCTACCGGGTTTGGTAATGGATATTATTTTGTGCAGACTGGCCAATACGACAACGGTCTGTGTGATAAATACGGCCGAAACGCCCGTGTGGAGCACTATCTCCCAAGTGCTGATTTTTGCAGTGCCCAATCTGTGTATTATCATAGCCTATCCGTATTTGGTCGTTATGCGTCATCGTCAGAAGAAAGTAATGGCACATACCAAATTGCGCGGAACGTCCAATGGCGGTGTGACAAGCAAACGCGACAATCACACTGCAACTTCAACCTCGGTGTCTGCAGTAGCGTCCGTTGCCCCAGGCCAGGAAAGGCCACCGAAAAAGAGAACGCGGGCATTTGCCGTCTTCACCGCATTGACAATCAGCATTATGATTTGCTGGACGCCGCTGGATACGTATTATACGGTCTGGTATTTTATGGATTTGTCCAAATATGCAAAAACATTGGAGTTTTGTGAAATACTTTTCGTGCTGCAGCCGGCCTTGGATCCTATATTCTTTGCTGTTATTATTCCTGATGTACGATCGCATATTTTAAAATGGTTTCGATGTCGCTAAATCTTAGAATGTGGTGATTTGTAGTTCTTCCACTGGAAAATCCCGTGTAACCGCTGTCAGTGGAAGTTATAGCTAAGCGACGTTGTGGAGAACCAATTTATCGGATTGTAGATTTGGTAGCAAGGATTCATCGTTTATGTATATTCTATACAGTTATGTGACATGTGTCATGGTAAAGAATACGCACGATGTTTACCGGTTTTTCTGGCGTAGTTTGTCAAATTGGTTAACAGATATTTGCTAAAATGGCGCGATAGTCACAAGCTTTGTGCGCTAGCAAGATAGGTGTCTGAGTCACTTGCTGAACCTTTTACAAGCCCAATATGACATGACTATCGCATTTGTGACGTTATCTGTTTACCTCGATTGCACCTAGTAAAACAAAATGCATATAAGTATAGATAAACCTTTGCACAGTGCTAGTACCCAAAACAAATACCGAGGAACCCGTTGCAATCTGTAATCAAACGATAACGCAGTTGCACTGTTACTTATTAATATAGAGTTTTCTGGATTCGGTACGCATATTATTACCCGTTCAGCCGTAGCCAGCAAATTACTTTCACTACTGAAAGTTTTCCTAAAGATGGCGGCACACAATACGATTATACCGGTGGAGTCTATGGATAAGCTGGGCAGCCCTACCGGCGTCGGCAGTCAAGCGGAAGTTTTTAGAGCAATTCGGATAGACACCCAGGAAATCATTGCACTGCGGATACCCTTCTTAGAACGTGATGCGGATACTAGACAACGACAAATCCAAGAGCTGGCACAGCGTCTCGAACCTTTTCTTCACCTCAGCCATCCGAATCTTGTCCGCCATCTCCATTATCAAACTGTGATACCAGACGAAGCAGCTCAACGAATGCGCGGCGGTTTGCCTGATTTGCCCGAATACCAAATGCTCATGGAATTCTGTACAGGTACTTAAATATTGCATCGGCGAATACTCGCTGATGTACTTCGAAAGCCTAAAGAATACAATCCAAATCCTACCTTTATAAATGAAAATGATAATACAGTAGCATCTGCACATTTTAATATACCGGTGCTGTATATTACAATAATCTGCATAAAATATTCGGTATGGGTATACCTCTAGAATATCCGGACGAATAAAACCGACATCTGCATAATACGTACGCAGTGCACGCATTAATACATTCTACAGCAGCATAGATATCGTATACTTCGTGAAGCACCTAAAATAATTCCTTCATAAAAAACATTACATTCACACATTGCATTATATTAAATATATATACGTTAGATGAACGTACGTTCACATGAAGCATGCATTAACAGGTGGCACTCTCCGGAAATACATCGAAACCAACTGTTTAACCATAGCCTTGCTGCAAAATTTGGTCCAGCAGTTAGTCAGCGGTTTATCGTATCTCTGTCAACAAGGTTTTGCCCATCGTGACATCAAGACCGAAAACATTTTCATGTCCCAACCCAATGCCGAAAATTGCTTGTTAAAAATTGGTGATATTGGTGATGTCAAGCGCATCGTTGGCGAATTCACGCACCGTGACGAACTCTCCTCTGGAAAGGGCACGTACGAGTTTATGTCACCCGAGATGATCATCGGCGACGCGTCGCCTTTACATGTCGCAGCAAACGACGCACGAGAAGATAGTGGCTTGATTGTGGGACGGCGCAGCGATGTCTGGAGTCTTGGCTGCGTTGTTATTCACATGATCACCGGTCGGTTACCGCGATTCTATAAAATTTTACCGAATGGCGATCGCATGCGGTTGAAAATACCTATGGCCATAATGTATTTCGTGGGTAGTTCAGAAGGATCTCCAACGATTCCCAGGGAATTGCCAAAGGAGCTTCACAATTTTATCGAGAAGTGCCTTACGCGGCAGGTTAAAAATCGACCATATGCTACAGCTTTACAAGGGCATCCGTTTTTAACGACAGTAAATGTTTCGGAATGGAGACTTCCGGCAAGAGAAACGGATCCATAAGACGGAGCCCATCGCAGTTGTACACACACGATGCCCCAAGCTGTGTATCTAGATCTAAAAGTATGTTTTGTGACTCTACGGCAGCTTTGATTTCTAAAAAATTCTGATACCTCCAAATTGCATCCCACGCGCACATACTTTAATTTCAAGTTTTGGTGCTTCGATACTTCCGTTTTCGCATGCCGTACATCACCAAAAACAATTGCCTTGTATTAAAACATTACATAAATTTGCACTGTTGGTACAAATTCTTCACCTTTAAAACCTTTAGAACTCTTAAAAACTCACAACTCTCAAAACTCTTAAACTACATTTGCACGCTTGTATTGTACACTTTAAAGTTTTTTGTTGCTTTTTTGTAATACAGTACAGCCCTGGGCAGCCAGGTTGGGGCAGTTGTGTTAATCAAATTATAAAATATTTTGTTAGCCGTTTTTGTTTAACATATAATTATTGCACTTTTTTATAAAAAAATTTTTCTAAATTTTTTTTTAATTTTTTGTTGCTTTTTTGTAATACAGTACGTAATTTACCGCTTTAATTTCTGTCTTTATACAGATTTTTTGTTCAAGTAATACACTTCTATCTGAACATCGAATGCGAAGCGGCTTGTTTGATTAATTTTGTTAAACAATTATTCCGCGCTTCCTTGATGCCACAATACGGTGCTCGTCGATATATAAATCTTCCGGTGTATTTCGTGCACGACTCGGTGCAATGTTTCTTGATATGTTCTTCGAATTTGTTTATGTAAATGCACTCGGAAAAAGCTGTACAAAATAGTGAAATAACGCAAGCGACATGGATGTAAATAAGCTTGAAATTAAGTACAGTTATTCTTTTTTGACGATAAATAAAGCTGCCAGTAGACGTAAACGCTGCTACATTAAGCGGGCTTTGCGTTAGCGACAGAAAAATTTCAAAGAAAGCACGTCGGATGCAGCAAGTTGCCCGAAAGGTCGTCACAAAGGAAGAATAGGTAACAGAAAAAGACAAGAAGACCCAACAATAAATCCAGGGCTCAGAATCGCATCATAAACCCTGGATTTCCAAGATGGGAGAGTGAGAGGAAAGCATAGTGAAAACGAAAGAATGAAGAGCGTCTCTCTGGGATCAGTGAATATGCATCTGGTTTCAGTGCATCCAAACGTAGGAGCAACGCGAACAGTCCAAAACCAATAGTCACAACAGACCGATGCGCAGATTTCCTCAAATAAGAACCGGATTGTAAAGGACTCCACGCGTTAGAAAAACAAGAGCGTCGCAGAAAGAAGACCGAGGGACTGCTAAATCCGTTGGACGACTGGTTCTTAATTGCCGACGGCGAATTCAAGGTTGTCGGCGTGCATTTATTGGTACTATGACCAAGGTGAACACTATTCACCTTGGTATGACTTTGCAAATTGCAGTAATTATAATACAGAGTAATGTATGGATTTCGTCGCAAAACCAGTGCTAGATTAGTTTTTCTTACGCTTTATTTGGCCAAAATTCTAGTACAAGGTGATGATGATTTCATTGCATTCTGCGTCGTGTCATTTCACAAGGAAAAATAGCAATCCCTTATTGAACGCTAGTACACTGGAAAATTTCAGATTACACCTGATCAGTAAGCGACGATCTCTTTGAGATAGGATAAAACGGATTCGCAGATAATGCATGATCATGATTCGGCGAGCCCCTTTGGGGAATGAGACCATGGAAAATGCAGGCAGTTATAGGATTAATTTGATCTAATCGCTGCTACTTTGCCCTTTCAAAACCACCAAAGACGCTGACAAGAGGACAGTTCATAGAACATGTCATTCTATTCTTTATATCTGTAATAGTTAATATTCGTGTCGCTTATACGCAATTCTACTTGCTTAACTTGGACCTGCTAAGGCCACAAATGCACTTTTACGGTTCGTGCCAGCTAGGTAGGTGGCATGCTTACATGCCAATAGATACGTTATTAGAATGCACGTAGTGTAGCCAATAGTGAGAAACATATAAGTACATAGTTAAGATGACCTTTTTATGTTGATACCTGCGTTGTTCATGGTAGTGCGCCTGCGTCTGTGTCTAATGTGAATCGGTTATAAGAAATTAGCAATCACTACGTCGTTATAGAATCTTTTAGCTCCGACGTCTGCAGATTGATTCCCATAGTCTGCATCGCAGAAAATTATTTGACTGACTCGCACTTGGACCTACCCTAGTCTTGCATTGCATCAGCATGTAAGTGGATACGTCTTGTAGTGCAGCTGCGCGCTAACTGTGGAACCTCATCTTTGGCTGCGCGCGGTACTCCTCTGCTGGATTCCATCATGTTCCTACAATCCGCTTCGGTATTTGCCATCCTCTAAGCAAGCAAAGCACATTATCTTTGTTACATTAGGTATCTGCGTATAATGGAGACAATTATACAGTAAGAGCCGCTCGATTTATCGAGTATGGTCAGTAATTACGCAAGCTAGATAGGTGTTTTCGTGTCGTCTCGCCTCCACGGCAGCAGTCAGTCATCAGTAATATTTTTTACTATCGCATATAATTATCTGAAAGAAAGTGCGTATAACACACCAACAAAATTACTGACGAGACGAGGACTTTGTTTTACAGTGAAGAAATATATTGTGCATACCCGGAGTAATACGTTGTGGAGTACTGTTCAACCCTACAGTGCTGAATGCGTTGTGTTTAATGCAGTGAGTGTGTTGTGCTGATGATTAAAAAATACTGCCACAAACTTTAGGTAAATAAGTTTGTACATTTAGCAAATCGCTTATGGAAGATACCTAAAATGTGTTCAGAAATTAACCGTACGTGTTTATCTAGCAGAGTTTTTAAAATTAACAATTTTTTTAGTTTTAAGGTGAATCCCTCAATACACAATAACTATTCCAATCTTACAAGAGGAACACTGGCAAGCTGTGCGTTAATACATTTTTATAAGTACATACTGTACTTACTTTATATCTATATGGTACTACCGTACTACGTTGTACAATTCAAAACTGCCCCGGATCCATTAAGTCCGAACGCCGTCTGACGCCTGTGTTCCAGTTGCGTCTTCTGTGTTTAGAAAATCGCGTATTGTATTTAATTCCTAATGAAATGTTCCTTTCCTGATGTTTGCATCCTGATGGGAAAAATGGTGTTCAGTTCTATAATCTGATACGAAATTGCTTTTGTTAAACTGTTGTTGTAGCACGTGACAAGTGTAAGATAGGTTGAGGATTCAGTTTACAGTTAATCTGCTGAGCAAGATGTGAAATGTAAAACGATATAAAGGGTTAGGTTTATTGAAAGTAAATCGGGATCTCTTCTGATTTGAAAGATCTTTTATGCTACCAGAAAGCCTGCTTAAAACCATGTTTAGCAAAACTGTTTTAAGGACGAACATATTTCATCATTTAAAACGTCCCTTGAGGCTTGAGGTGACGTTTTCACCTTAACCGTGTTGGCTTCCGGTGCTCGTAGTAAAGCAACGGTTTCCGATAAATACTCTATTCTATTTGTCGGATCGTCGGTCCCTAGTTTTCAGGTAAGAATCAAAAATGTCAATGCCGGGAATATTCGTAGAAGAGTATGTTTTAAAATTTATATGGCGTGGTGCTTCTTTCTTCGTAATATTATAGTACAATTAGTCTACCTCATCACTCTTTTTTATGAAGCATGACATAAAACGTTGACGGTGCCCGTGATTTCAGCACTCCCAGGTGACCTTTTATGCTTTCCGCAGGCTACAACCAAGATAATTTAAACTAAATGGGAATAAATTTTAATTTTTAGGTCTAACGAAAAGTGGCAGAAAGTGATGCAGGAAATAAGTATATGACATAACAAATTAGTATCAATTAACTTTCGAAATAAGAGAGAAGCCCGACCATTGTATTTGATAAGCAAATAGTGTGTGCATATTCTTTATTTGGATTGTGGACAGGGAAAGTTACTACGAGAATTTTCCAGAAAATGACAAACTGTTGGGAATATATATGTACGAGTACATGAATCATAATCCTGAATGAAGGCTGTCGTATCGCCAGGGGATTTTATTAACATACCCGATTGCATAATGGCTGCAGTCTAATTCTATTTTTGTACAGGTAACTGCTCCACTTTTCCCGTTTTCATGGTGCAAAATGGATCAGAATACCAGTGCAAATTTTTCCACAACCAACACAGCCAACAATGACACCACCCTGCAGTTCACATGGAGTTTTGTTCCGGCGATGGAAGCCGTGATTTTCCCGTGCGTGTTGATTTTTAACGGCTCCATTTTAGCGTTATTCCTCGTTACCCGGCGTTTCCAGATCCCGTTTAATATTTACCTGATCAATGTCATAACCTCCAACATTGTTTTCGCTCTATTGGATAATCCCTTGGACATCCTGAATTTCATCTCTTCGTATTGGTGGCTCGGTAACACTTGGTGTACCGTGTACCTTTACGCAATCAACGTATCCAGTGGAATCGTGATGCAGTCGCACATGCTCATCACCATCAATCGCATCTGGGCGGTCACTTTTCCCCATTCATACCGCCGCCATCATTCCGTGCGCAATGCTGCCGTGTTGGTCATCGCTGTCTGGCTATTGGTGCACGTTGTGTCGTTGCCCGGTCTCATCATGGATGCCACGTTGTACCGGTTGCCTATTGAAATAACGGGCTGTATAATAAACACAAATGAGATGCCGGTGTGGAGCATCATGTTGCAACTGATTATCTTTGCACTGCCCAATTTGTGCATCATTTTAGCCTATCCGTATTTGGTTTCCATGCGCCTTCGTCAGCGGAAAGTGAGGGCGGCGAATAGATCGCCCGCCACAACCAAATTCGGTGGCAGTGTGCATTTCAAAGCCAATCGCTACTATCACAGGGAAGCCTCAGCCTCAGCATCGGTCACGGTGACCAACAATAAAGCACCCGAAAGGTCACAAAGAAGGGACAATCGGGCGTTTGCCATCTTCACCGCACTTACTGTCAGCATTACCGCTTGCTGGACACCGCTGGATACGTACTATACGATTTCCTGTTTTATGGATCTGTCCACATACGTAAAAACGTTGGAGTTTTGTGAAATACTGTTTGTGCTGCAACCGGCTTTGGATCCTATCTTCTTTGCTGTTATAATTCCCGATGTGCGATCGCAGATCTTGCAGTGGTTTCGGTACCGATGGGCCTCCAAATAGCCCCAAATTCATTCTTAACTCTTGGAAACGCAGTTCAGTAACGCTTACCATTAATCGAATATTATGGGTACATACTATATAAAGCCACAAATAAAAAGTTAGCAAGTGCTATTTGCGGTCAGCAAACGGTTAAATATCTGTGTCGGTTAGTTTTAATTTTCTGGCAAGCCCGGTATGATTGTTGTGTGCATTTCACGTTTATTTCGACTTGTTGCAGCTGGTATTCCACAAAAAAATTTATGGCAAATCGAGATCTGTTGGTGATCATTGTACCGCAGTATCAAAGTTGAATGTTAAACTATGATTCTAATTTTGCTTCTTGTATATTTTGAACCGCACTCACAAGGTCAAAAGTGACTAGACGCTTAGGACACTGCTTTGAAAAATTGATGCGTCGTTTGCGAGGAGTAGAATAAAACACTGCCATACTTCCCAACTAATTCGATGAAGCAGTGCGCGTGTCTGCGGAGTGTCTAATTTACTTCACTCCCAAATTGCATGTTCTGAAGAAATAAGTACAGGGGTCAAGGATGGAATGATTAGTAATACAGGAGGATAGAGTTTACATTTTTAGTATGAGTCTCGTACTGCAATTGCCGAATGTCGGTATCACATCACAAAGATGTCACTATTTTCGCCCATCCTATTTGATTTCGCAGAGAAAAACTGCAATTCCGGAAATGCATGTCAGCAGACCGGAAGGCTTCTGCAAGATTAATACCTTTGATCAGTCGAAAATTCAATTTTTCGAAAACGATCTGCCGGAACCGCAGATAATCATAGTTCGATAAATACGTATTATCAGCTTCTGTTCTGATCATTAATCATGTGAAACATTAAGACACTTTTCCGGTCCCTGGTTCTTTAGCGGCACTTCAGTACGCAAACGATGACCGTACTCTCTAAGTTCATTTCTATCACAGCAGCCTACTTATCCTTTACTGTATCGGCAGTCACACTGGTTAGAATGGAAACTACGAGTACTTTGTATTATAAATGCAGGAAAACTACTAGATCTGCTGAAGGTCTGCGATTCATGAAGTACAAGGTACTTGTTCAAAAGCTATGTTACACAATGCAACAAATTTTGTTTTCTCCAACATTTATGAGATTACGACAAATTCCAGATATTACGCATTGTCCAGATATTTACATACAGTATTCAGCAGCTAGTGACTAAGACAACAAACTTATGTCACGGTATAAAAGAGATAAATCTCTTTTATACCGTGCTTATGTCATCAGTATTTTTTTGCTTAATTTGTTTAGAATTAGGTTTAAAAAGTTTCTTTCGCTCGGAATCAGTGCTTGAGAAGTAAGTGATCACTTTTTGCGGAATACATTGGCACCGACTACCAATTACGTGCCCTTACAAACATTGTTGAATCTGCAGCTGCCTGTCGACTGCTGTACATGTACAAAATGTATGTTAACATTAACACAAAGACCCGACAGAAAAATTTAAACTATCATAAAACAAGTAGTATTCTAAGTAGAAATTAATACTTCGTGACAATATTGTTGCAATCTGTTAAAAATTGGCGTAATTAATTGCAAAGAGTTTCGCCAACTATGCACGCGTACGCGAATGGCAGCTCTCGCAGTCCAACGTTGCTCGTTTTATATGTTCTTCTAAGATGCTGGCTGGCTGACATCAAATGACGTAAATTACTCTGTACGTACGGTAATAAACTGTTTCTGATACCCCTTTACTTATTTGATGCTCAGTTTTATAATTGGGCAGGAAATGAATAACTGTTGATGACCTTTATCCTATACTCGTGATAACTGTTTCTGTAGGTGAAATAGTTTGAAAATTCAGCTAACAATTTAGGGTTTTACACGTGATCTGAGGTAAAACAATATGAAGGATTAAATTTATTAGAATCAAAATTAATGAGAGAATCCCTCTTGGTTTGCAAAGTATTTATGCCGACGACGAAAAGCCATATCATTTGTGCTGAATAATTTCATCTTGATAACGCTTGTTCTCCTTGTGGCAAAAAGAACGGCTGTATAGACCAGAATAGTTTTTCAATTCGTGACTAACGTAATTTATTCCTTAGAGTGGCGATTCCCCTTTTGCAAGAATTTCACCAAGTTATAATTAGTGAAGTTATCAACAGATCGATCGGAAACAATGAATTATAGATTTTATTGGTCGCCACAATCTGATGTCTTTAATCTTGTAAGAATAACTGCTGGACTTTCCCTGTTTCCATGATTTCCAAAATGGACCACAACATAAGTGTAGCTGGCTTGCCAGCCAGCAACAGAACAACCCTTAACGACACCACGCTGCGATACACATGGAGTTTTGTTCCGGGAATAGAAGCCGTGATTTTCCCATGCGTGCTGATTTTCAACGGCTCCATTTTAGCGTTATTCCTCGTTACCCGGCGATTCCAGATCCCATTTAATATTTACCTGATCAATGTCATAACCTCCAACATCGTTTTCGCTCTACTGGAGAATCCTTTGGACATCCTTAATTCCATTTCTTCGTACTGGTGGCTCGGTAACACTTGGTGTACGGTGTATCTATACGCAATAAATGTATCCTGTGGAATTGTCATGCAGTCGCACATGCTGATGACCACCAATCGCATCTGGGCGGTGACCTTCCCCCATTCTTACCGGCAACACCACTCGGTGCGCAGCGCCGCCCTTTTGGTTATCGCTGTGTGGCTGTTAGTGCACATTGTGTCGTTGCCCGGCCTGATAATGGACGCCACGCTATACCGGTTGCCTATCGCGACAACTGGCTGTATAATAAACACAGTGGAGATGCCGGTGTGGAGCGTTATGATGCAACTAATAATTTTTACAGTGCCTAATTTGTGTATTATTGTAGCCTATCCTTATTTGATCTGTATGCGAGTTCGTCAGCGCAGAGTGATGGCACTGAGTAGATCTCAGAGAACAACAAGAACTGGCAGTGTTAAAAGTAATCGTTTCAAACACAGAGCGGCATCCACGTCACTATCCGCAGCAGTGCCCAATGCGCAAGGGCCGGTACGGTCACCAAAAAAGACGAACCGGGCATTTGCTATCTTCACGGCATTGACGATCAGCATGACTATTTGCTGGACACCTCTCGATACATACTATACTATTTCCTGTTTTATTGATCTGTCCACATACGAGAAAACATTGGAGTTTTGTGAAATATTGTTTGTGCTGCAACCGGCCTTGGATCCTATCTTTTTTGTTGTTGTAATACCCGAAATGCGATTGCCTATTATGGGCTGGTTTCCATACCGCTGAATATAAAATGAATGTCATTGTTTGTCTAGCATGGATTTAAGAATTTCAAAATTCGTATGATTCGCTCAATTCGCACCTTCTTATGGTTAGTAATTCGATTAGAAAGAAGACAAAGACTATTGACAGCGTGAAACTGCAAATGACGATTCGTACACAAAATTTCATATTGAACTACGCGTCTGTATATCTGTACTCTGCACTTAGTACATTAAATTGCCTGAACATCCAATAAATTTGGGGGGTGTAATAATTGTGTCAATTGTGGTAGCCGTAGCATGTTAATTTACCGACCTCCGTTTTGCTTCCCGACAGTTTGCTGACCGACATGTTTCTGTACCAGTTACGCCAAATAATTGTTTCTACAGCAGATCAAGCCATTAGTTAAAACTTAAAACTGATGCAGAATTTTAAAGTAGGTGTAAGGTATAACGAAAAATATTTTTGAGATTAGCTGCACTGCATAATTAATAATAATTAGTAGTTTACGTTTACTGCTTTCGAAAAGTTAATTTAACTTTTTATGTGTAAAGTGACATGCAACAAGTACAGTACTCATCAGCTTGAAGTAGCGTTTTCTTTTTCTTCTATTTAATTCGCTTACTAAATCGTCTCGATCCTCCCAATTAATGATGGTAGCCTTTGTATTTTAGAACAATCTCATGCTATCCAGTACCAACAGTATGATGTATGAGTACCACTCTGCTTGGCATATCTATATACGGGCACTTGCAATTAATTTAATTTTGACCGTTTTTATATACCGTAAACTGCAAAATCTTTGTACGAGTACTTTAGTTTCAACAGGGATAACGTTGCTTACCCTTTGGCATAAATGTGGTAGAAATTATCGCCCGGGTAATTACGAGTGCGTAAATAAACATCTCGCAGTTGAGCATATGCATCATACTGGCAGCGAATGAGCATCATACTGGCAGCGAATGACACATAGTTAGGTGTGATGAGCGGAAGGACGAGTTTATTTCGATCGAAAGTTCGCAATGACGGTCTACAGTCACACTCTACAGTAGATGTGCCGAAGGTCGGTACTTCAAAGTTGCAAATTAGGCGAATGTTTGCTCCGTAGAAAATCGTTGATAATGTGTGTTGTCTTTTATCGAGTGTATGACTAATTAAAGCATTGTTCAGTTTAAACACTGCAAGATGCATCTGCACTTGCAGTACTTTACTGTTATACGCAGTGGTCTGTTTTGAAGGAAAGAGCGAAACACTTGGTTGGTTTAAGACTTCAAGACCGTTCTTGGATTTCATGTTCGCGAGTTGTGTGCGTCTCGCTGTCTATCCTTTTTGCACCCATGAGTTGTTTATTTCTGCAATAGTAGTAGGACTGTTGCATGATTCTCTTCCGATATGGCTGCTCCAGACAGCCATTTTGTTGTTCTGCAGTTAATGAATTTGATCGATAGTGGTGCGCAAGGGAAGGTATATAAAGCCAAAAGAACCGACACGGATGTAATCATTGCTGTTAAATATGTCAACCTTGATCTCGAAAGCTCGAACCGGGAAAACCAGCTGGTAGCGCTTCGATCCAAGTTTGAGGATATTAAAAATCTGGATCATCCAAATGTAGTACGCCATATACATACGCAGACAAATGTGGTGGTTAGCCTCTACGAGCAGCCAACGTACCAAATTATTATGGAGTACTGCGAAGGTACGAGTACCGCATATCATGTATTTACTTTCGTTACGCTGTCAAGTTCAGTTACCTAACATCACATCAAGAATGCTTCTTATACAGTTATACGTACAGATACTCATGTGGTTGCTTTTATAAAATTGGCGCAAACCCCCATCGTGATATTTCTGGCTTTGTAAAATAAAAATTTCTAAAATGCTACGTGCCCCAAAATTTCATGGTGCGAAATGACTTTGAGCGTATAATTAAGTACAGACACTGTTTTGATTATTAGATTGTTCAGTTAAATTAGCCAATTAAAAATCAATTAAATCAAGCAGAGAAAACAACAGTTTAATAACTTTTAGGCAAAACGCTACATAATCTCGTGAAAGATTTCACGGTAACTCCACTACTCTTACAAAAATGGACCCGGCAGTTGGTCGACGCCATCACATACTTACACGAACAGTGCTGCGTCCACCGTGACATCAAAGGCGCCAACATTTTAACGACTTCGCTTGATGCCAACACGTGTGACTTGAAAATTGCCGATCTTGGAGATATTAAGCGTTTAATGAAGGAAGCCACGCAGACTAAAGAAGTGTCGCATGAAAAGGGCACCTGGGCGTTTATGTCACCGGAGATGATTAAAGGGGAGCAGACAGAGAACGAGCAGTGTGCCGACAGGATTAAACTCGGGCGACGAACGGATATCTGGAGTTTGGGATGTGTGATTATCGAAATGCTCAACGGTGCACTGCCGCAGTTTCACAATAAGAATGGAATACTGGTTGCCGGTGATATGGCGGTAATGTATTTCATCGGATCGGGAGGGTCGCCAACAGTTCCCGCAAAGCTACCGCAGAAGGTACATGATTTCATCACCAAATGTCTTAAGCGAAATCCGAATGAGCGACCTTTTGCTGCTGCTTTGAAGCAGCACGAATTCCTGACAAGCGCTCCGGAAGATGTTGCGACATGGATACTGCCACCGCGTTTAAAATGAATTGTTTATGGCCGGATACGAATGTTCATAAGCCCGTTCCGCTTGGTATCACATGTATGGTCAACCAAGTCCAAAGAAGGGGATATCCAATGCATCCCACGTAATTTTACATTTAAACGTCGTGTTACCCCTTTGCCTATTTTATGTATGTACCTTGTTACGTTTAAATCAGTCAAGCTTTTAAACTGTCAAGCTTGTCATTAATAATTTACCGGCGCTGCTAACTTGCAGCTAATTTTCCGTACTATGCAAAACTGGTGCGGCCATGGGCGACTGTGGCAAATCTGCACTGATTCTCGGCACGTGCATGAGTTACGAGTTATAAACCAGCTTAATACCGGAATGTGCGATATAAATAAACGCAAACAAAGGTTTCGTAAACTTTGCTGAACCGGAGAACCACGAAATGTTTGACCGACTGTCATTATAAGTTATAACTGGGAAATAGAACGGCACTATAAATCCTCACTTGGTACAGATAGTTCGTATTTTAGAGCTTTGAGTCATTCCAGTACTTTGTGTTAATCATTGAAGAAGCAGAAGTACCGGTAGTCATAAACTCATAATAGATGTGAGTTGACCAGTTCACCAATGCGATTACTACTACTACTTACTAGTACCAGAATGAATTCCAAGTCGCTTATCTGCATTGTTGATAATGCTTTACAGCAAGTTTGATGGGTTTTCAGGCTGCATATACCTCTTATAAATGTAGAATAATTAAACACTATTGCTACTGAAACCAGTGATTCCTTACGCTTACAGTAGCTAATTTCCGCTACCGTATACAGTACGTCGATTATCTTGACGTGCTTTGATATACGTTAGCTTTCGTATTGAGCTGTTTTTCAATTGTACACCATATTTAGCTAAGTTAACTCAGTATTCCACTCTATTACGCTTTCACTGAGGAAAACCCATCTATTACTGTAAAATGTTGGTTCGTAGAAGTATTATAATTGTACAAGAATGAACTCTCTTTGTGGACTTCGCTGTTCGTTAACTGCGACAATATGTTCTTAGCTCCAGGGTTCCTTGCCAAGCTTACTTCACCGTCTTAGCACAACTTCTATTATATGACAAGAAATGAAACGATAAATTAGCACACATGGCCAATCCCGATGATCATATTGTTTCTTTAGAATACATCCGTTTAGTCGCTAGTGGCGCACAGGGCACGGTGTTTGAAGCCAAAAAGATCGATTCTGGGGAACTTGTTGCTGTTAAGAATGTTTATCTTGATCCTGATCCAAAAAAGCGGGAAGTTCAGACGAAAGCTCTAAGAGCGCAGTTCGACATCATCAAAAACTTAAATCATGCTAATGTCGTGCGTCACATGCTTACTCAGACAGATTTGGTTAGACCTAATCGCCCACTAGCCTTCCAAATCATTATGGAATATTGCGAAGGTAATTATTTAAGAACGCCAACAGTTTTTGCTTATATGTGTTCAGACAGTGGTGTACATGTGATTAAAGTTTACGGTAGCACGTAATACTACTTTACACATTACGTAGCAAGCACGTTCGAATTGTACGCATGTAGTATGTATATGAAACCAAAGATCACGTTATCGAGTTAAATCGGATTACCCTCATTAAACGAGTTGTATTACCTAATTAACCTGTAACAATTTAACCGATACCATGCTACGTTGTGATGATGGGTACCTGAAATAAGGTCCGCGGTATAAATAAATCCGTTGTAGGTAAAACACTGCATAATCTCGTTCGAGAATTTCCGGTACCCCCGCTACTTCTGCAAAAGTGGACCCGGCAGCTAGTCGACGGCATTACGTACCTCCATGAACAACGCTGTGTTCATCGTGACCTTAAAGGAGCCAATATTGTAACGACCTCCAATGATCTTAACAGCTGCCATGTTAAGATTACCGATCTCGGTGATATCAAACGCCTGATGGCTGAAGCCACGCGAACTGGGGAATTGTCCCATGCAAAGGGCACCTTTGCCTTCATGTCACCGGAGATGATCAACGACAGGCAGATAGAAACGGAACCAGCGGGCGAGAAGGCTAAACTGGGACGACGAACGGATATCTGGAGTCTAGGCTGTGTGGTTATCGAAATGCTCAACGGTACACTGCCGCAGTTTTACAGACAGGGCGTGCTGATCACCGTTGACCTGGCGGTAATGCATTATGTGGCTAAGGGAGGATCCCCCACCATTCCTGCGGAACTACCAGGCAAATTATCTGATTTTATTGTCAGATGCCTTAAACATCATCCGAATGAGCGACCTTTTGGTGATGTTTTGAAGCAGCACGAATTTCTGACATCACCTGAAGAGGAGATTAAAAACTGGATTCTGCCAAAGCGATTACGTTGATGTCTGCCGATTGAGCGTCGGATGATTTATAACATGTTCAGGAAACTGCTCGATACAAAATCGTGGATAACATAATTCCGAACTATGATAAAACAACGTTTGCGTTTTCTCCGAGTACATAGGTGTTTTTAGTGTAAACAGCAGTTTGACCAGTGTCTATAAGGATATGCTGTAAGAAACGTCTACGACTCCACAGCAGAGTGCTCATTTAATAAAGTTTCAAAAACTTAACATTCGCATCACATGAAAGATTCAGTAAACCTTGGTTAGGAAGTGAAAATACAACCATCGTTTTCATACGCATTTTGCCACCTGTCACTAACATTAAATTTTATTTTAAGTAACAGACGAAATGCTATTGACAACAGATCTTACGATTCGTTCTCTATAACCCAAGAATTTCATCCAGCTGGTGAATTCTGCATCCACTGATCTTCCATACTGTTCGTACAGCAGGAAAAGAAAGGATGTTGAAGTAACTCACTGGCGGTAGGTCGATCATTTGGATCTCTAGCAAGACACTGCTCGATCATTTGCTTGAGGAGAGCTGGGATATCGCTGGGAATCGTGGGAAACCCTCCGCTACCGACAAAATATACAATCGCCAGTTCTCCCGTTATTGCCGTGACCTTATTGTCTTTATATTTAAGGAACTGCGGAATACTACGTGTGATCATCTGAATCAGCACGCATCCCAGACTCCATATATCACTTCGACGTCCGAGTTTCTTCGTTTCCCCAACGGGCTCGATTTCGACCTCGGAACCGGTTATCATTTCCGGTGACATGAATGCAAATGAGCTGGCTTTGTTGGTAATGTCACCGCAGTACATGGAAGTTGTTGTACTCGACAATAATTGTTTGAGATTTACAAGGCCCCCAATTTTTAAGCAGCAACAGTTTACATCGGGCGAGGAGAGAAAAATGTGGTCACCCTTGAGATCCTTGTGAGCACAGCGGCGTTCGTGAAGATAAGCCAGGCCATCAGCCAATTGCCTAGCCCATTTTTGTAATAACCGTGCAGCGATGGGGGAGATTTTTAAAAGGTCATGGAGCGTGCCACCTAAAGGGAAACATTAGTCAATCAAAAATAAAAATATTTATAATTGTATTAGTCACTTCTTATTCTTTATGCTGAGTTAACTGTACCTGAACAATATTCCATTACGATCTGGAACTGTGGAATCCGATAAAATTGGCTGTCCAGGGTGTTAAAGCGATGGGTCACTGAGGCCTTGATGATACCGATATCGTGATGAAAGTGCCGAACAACATTAACGTGATCAAAAGGTAAGATCTTTTTCATCACCCGTGCTATCCGGTCTATATCGCGTTGTCGTTTGCTTTCGTCATAATCCAGATAAGGTATTTTCACGGCTATTGAGTCCTTGCTGTTATACCATTTGCCAAGAAAGAGTTTTGCATGGGAACTTTCTTTCAGCACAGAGGTGATATCCCCAATAAGAGGAGTTTGATTGGCGGTAAATGTTGAATCTGCCATACTAGTTTTTATGTTCAAAACCGAAACAATAACTAACAGCGGCGTGAAACTGCACGCAATCTTTCACACTGCACGCAACTTTCTTGTAGACGCGAAATCCAGTTTGTAAATTTTTAGCAAGTCGGTTGTGCTTATATCGCTTATTTCTGCTTGCACCCACGGCAAAATTCCGGGAAGTGTCATACAATCAGTAAGGATGCGGTAAAAATTTAATGATATCTCCTCGTCATAGATGACGTCATTTAGATTTTAGCCTATCGGGAAGCGATCAGCTGTCGTTATGAATTATAATGATGCCATGCGATCGTAGTATGTATGAGCAATGCCAACACTCATGTCCTTGTTGATATGATGTTGTATGAGTTACCTCGTCCGTATACGCATTGTGCTCTCGGCTGACTGAGTCATGCATGCTGTTTATCGCGGTTAAACTGTGCGCCCGATATAATCATGACTGTAAACTTATTCTGATGATACAAATTTGTACTATGCATACGTACTACAGTATTTTGTACTTTGCATTGTACAATGTCATGTTATCAAAACAGAAGTACAAATAGATATTACAGAAATGTATTCGGTGGTTCTTTTCCTATGATGCCAGTCAACTGCAATACCCGGTCAAAAGCGCGCAGTGTAATGTAATGCAAACCATTACCATTAGCATTTATTGCAGTTCTTTGTCCCAACAGAGAGGATGGCAGTGCAGGCAAAATCGATTTCGCACCGCCATCTTTTCTGTTGTGGCAAAAAATGCACGCGATAAAGCCATGTGAATCCATAATTTATATGCTGGCACTGGAAAAGAAAGTTTACCAAAAGCAGAATCAAATTTTGCGATGGCATCTCCATTCCTTATTACTGATGCATAGTGTAAACTGTAAACTGTGTAATTACAAAGAAAAACGGCAAGATTGCCTACTGTCACCATAGCTACATACAGGAACATATCTCTAGGATTTCGATACCCACTAAAATCAGTTTCTTCAGACTCACTCTTTGTGAAATGGCCACCTACAGTACGTCAATGGGTGATGATCGTTCAAAGTGGTCATTCAAAGCAGACCGCCTCTTCAGCATGTACTACTATTGAACACCAAGCTGATAAAAGACCGTGCTGTATGCTGCACTTCCGGTAAAGGTCACGCGTGACATTCAAATTGGCTTCCTTTTCTCTTGAGAGGAAGTTACCCGTTGCGAATGGATCGTTTACATCGTTCGCACACATGCCTCAAGTTGTATCCATGCCAATAAATTTTAAAAAATCTGGTTTTTAGATTGATTGTTTTATCTGAATTTGCGTCGGCACACTGCACAGTGCTTCTACACGTACTTCTACACACATTATGCAACTGGCAGCTATAGAAGCCAGTTTTCAATTTTTAAGCGCAACTGATGTCACCATGAGCAATTGATACAGATATTACAGGGCAGTGATCACATACGCAGTAAAACTGAAATTCAGCACGTGTTACGCATTTATGTTAGAGCTCATAACGTGTTCAACCGTTTGCTGGCCCGGTAAACAGTAAATGCCATAAGATACTTACAGTACATATGATTAGACACATAACTATCACAAGATAAGATACTTGATTATCCACCTTGGTAATATGTACGACTTACGAGCATATCATATTGCCTCACTGCGTTGCTAGCTCTTGTCTGTCGTTATACCGCCCGGGGTTCAAAACTACGGGTACATATAGCACTATCTTGCTAGAAATTTCTCAGTTTTTAAGAATCAACTGGTTAATTAGAAAACGAACGTGAAATTAAATTTCAAGATGACCGGTGCGCTTTTTCATAAATACATTGTGCGTCAGAGGGATACGCGGATTTACAAGGCTGTACGGCTTGATACTAATGAGGTTGTTGCAGAACAAATCGTGCGCCTTCATCTTTGCGAACTAACTAGGGTTGAACAGATCCAACGGCTGGGGAAGAGTGCGGATCCTTTGCTACATTTTCGGCATCCAAACGTAGTGCGATATTTTCATCCTCAGCCAGTTTTCCCTGCAGGGAGGAATGAAATATCGGATCCTTATGGGATTCTGCTCAGGTACAAGAAGCATGAAAAAGCTAATAATACAGCACTTCTGCCCGTGTTGTGCAAGCCGCAAGGTAAAGAAAAAAAAGAATATTTACTAGGGTAGAGCGGTGCGTTATGGTCCGATAGCGCTGGCAGGCCATGCCAAACTGGACATGCATATGCCGTGCGTAAAAGTAATTGCAAAACGATGTTTCCATAAAAGCAGGTTCTGAGTTTTTGTTTTTCTTAATTTCCTAAAGGTTTCTTATGTTATTTTTTTGTTTTCTGATGTTCTCTTTTCTCAGTCTTTTGTAATAGACTATTTGTTTGATAGACGATATGTCGGAACGGCCTCGCGGCGAGATAAAGTGACGGCAAATCGTCCGTGACCAAATGGCCTGCGACTGGTTGTTCTCGGAAATGTCGCGGTGCTTACTTGAAATACTATTCAAGATTATGCCTTTTGCTGCATACATAGTATCCTCCTGATTCCAAAATAAACTTGTACTAAACAAAATGATCAAATCTGTGACCTTTTGTAGATTATTCTTAAGAACAAGCGAATACAATAAATATACTTTCATTTTGCAATATTGTGCCGTAATTAAAATAAGAACGATTCTCCTTTCAAAAGGTTTACGACTATACGTCGTGCCACATAGCATTAAACATATAACTGCGATAAGCATTAACCTGTGACCTTTTGTAACGACGATGACGACCGAGAATGCATAAACTGCAATGTGACGTTGTTATTTTGTAGTTTTACGCTTATTGACGTTTGTACTCACTTAGGTGGAACGCTACATGATTACACGGCGAAAGCTCCCGTAACGCGACCACTGTTGGTAAACTGGACGCGCCAGCTGCTCGACGGCCTGGCTTATCTGCATGAACATCGTTACATCCACCATCAAATCAACAGCACGCATGTACTACTGTCCTCAGCGGATATCACAAGCTGTTATTTGAAAATTGGCGGCTTGATTCATGCGAATAGGGCCCTTTCTTACGACGGTCTTTCGATGGATCCAGACTTTGGAATAACCACACGCTTCAAGGCTCCGGAGGAGATCATGGGGAGAGGTGACGAAGTGGAAGAAAGTGTGGCACAAAAGACGGACATTTGGAGTCTAGGATGCGTGATCATTGAAATGGTTACCGGGAGTATGCCAAAATTTTACAAATCCACTGACGCCGGTGCATTAACTGAAATCACTGAAGATCTGGCAGTGATGTATTTTATCGGAAGTAACGGCTGCCCCACGGTCCCGAGTGAACTATCCGCAGAATGTAAACATTTCATAAATCAGTGCCTAAAGAAAAAGGCTGCACATAGGCCAAGCGCAGAAGAACTAAAAGATCACCCCTTTTTGTTACCTAGTAAAATAAAAAAAGGGAAATTTCGTTCGACGGCAGGCACTTTTTTGGCGTGCTTTAGACATCGTCGATAAAAGCTTTCATGAATGCTTTATGGCCATCGTACCTCAAATATGTGGGTAAATTTCTGCCTTTGCGCAGGCCACTGTGATATCTCCTAAATAACTTGTTATGATTCAAACTGTTTGAAAATTACAAAAATTATTCAACCTTTTTATTGTTAAATTAGAAAATTTCACGAATTCTTGTCCACAGCTAGCCAATGCATGCGATACGAACGTTGCCAAAAATCGCCAGTACTTCACCTGTGACTGTGTGTATGGGTATTACGTCACCAGTTAGCGCAATTTTTTCATTTGCGGTACAAGAATACAGCTCGATCAACACATCATCATCACAGACGACAAGTAGATAATGTGTTTCATTCGCTCGTTAACCTACTCGTAGCTGTCAAACTGCAGCGTACAAATCATAAAAAATAAAGCAGTGTGCAGATCAATTTCTTTGTGCATTGTTTCTTTGTGGCATCGTCCACTGGTCAGCCTCCCTTTCCAATAAAAACGCATCGCCTTGTAAATCTGGTGCATACGGGCGCTCCCGGACACTTCGTATCAAACAGCGCTCAACGAATCTACGCATCGGTTCCGGCAAACCATTCGGAATACGCGGCATCCCTCCTAATTTCCCCACGAAATACATGATTGCTGTTCCGCTTGTAAGCTGCACTTCTTTCCCCTGAGGAAGGACTTTGTAAAAGTACGGCGCATGCCCCGTGATCATCTGAATCACCACACAGCCTAAACTCCATACATCGGTCCGCCGTCCAACCAGAGCCGGGTTACCGGTGATCATCTCCGGCGACATGAACTCGTACGTGCCTTTTTCACAAGAGATCTCACTGCTGTCGGTAAACTGCGCCACGATACGCTTCACGTTACCCAGATCACCGATCTTCAGATCACAGTTGTGAGCGTCCGGTGTGGAGAGGAAAATGTTCTCGCTCTTGATGTCGCGATGGACGCATTGCTGCTTGTGGAGATAGGTCAATCCGCTGACCAGCTGCTGTGTCCACTTTTGTATTAATGATGCGGACATGATATTGTCGCGGGCATACGAATGCAACGTTCCACCTAGAAAATGCAGTGGATTGTGGACTGCTTTTTGCGCGGTGCCTCGAATTTTTATTACTGCATTATTGCATATCGTCACTGATGATTGCTTAATCGCATTTACCAAAAATATTCACAATTATTCATAAATTATTGCACACATTAACAGCATTGCTGTTGGTCAACACTGTGCAAAGCATTAATGTTTAATTTTTTTCGAACATCAAATCTGAAACACAACAAATTGACTACCGTAAGCATTGTAAATGTTTCGGGCGCACAGCAAACAACTATGCGCCGAATCTGTCGAGCGTACTGAAGGAATTGGTAGAACAACCCTTTTACAATTTAATTTGGCTGCAAGCAGTGCAAACCGTCCACCTAAAGCGAAATCTGCTATTCTACCTGAGCAATATTCCATTAAGATTTGGTATTGTGGCATGGACGTTTGTTCTCCGTTTCTTTGCTCGGGCAGCTGCCTCGTAATTACCGTTTGGTGATGCAAATGCCGTACAACGTTCACGTGTTTCAGGTGCAGAAATGGCTCGAGACGTTGCGTCAGCTCCCAAATCTCTTGCGCTCTCATATCCGCATTGTCATCCAGGAATGGTATTTTTATGGCGATCACTTCGTCAGTATCGGTTCTACGCGCTCTGTACACAATAGCCTGAGCACCATGGCCGGCTGGATTCTGTAATAGTTCAACAGGGATCACGTCGGTGCTCCTTTCTACCTGATTGCACTCCATACCAGCATGCAAACGAATTTTGCAGTCAAGCAAACCAAAAACAATCCGGTTTTACGGTTTACTTACAGCAGCATACGTTACCCATTATCGCTTGCACTAACGCAGGAGTATATCTACAATATATGTACACTGAATACAGTACAATAATAATTTCACACACACCAAATCACTTACAAGTTACAGGCTACAGAGTACAGCGCTCGCCGTTAATATTACGTGATCGCGTGTTGCGACTTGCGAACATGTGTTGAAGGTTGTTTTTACGATAATACGGTGGGAGACGATGAGTCATCGTAGGTTAAACATAGCGCAAGCGTTTTAGTAATCCAGTTCCGGAATAGAACTATAACGTCCGAACGGATACGCGTACAGTACTTACTTCATAAAATAACGCGTGTATTAATATGCCGATAAGAACATTAACATTATCGCAAGCTGATAATACGAGTATTGTTATGACTTTTAGTCTTTGCCATGGTATAGACATAATCATATTATTTATACCGTTTAGATATCGTGTTCCGTTATCCTGCTCGAAATTCGGATCGGATAAGATCGGGTGTACGATCCAATGTTCCAATCCGTTGCCCATATTCTATAATTAATCTGCAACATATGCATAATGATAAAACGGTTATGTGTAATTAAATTTTTGTCTAACGTCTATGCGTACGATCGAGTATTACGCATGCTAATAATGGGACGTACTTGCGGGTATCAAATAGAAATACCTATACAGATATGTCGGCTATTAATACTGCATATTAAGGCTTGTATTTATATACTTTGCATTGAACATTCGTAATTTGTTGATCACTAATCAAATCGTCTTTTTATAATATTTATATCATTGAGCAGATAGCCGTCGAAAAGATTAATGTTAGGCGTCGGATCGTCGACTGTATGGCCGGTACACTGTATAGACAATTGTGATACAGTATTCTTACTCGTTAATGTCAGAAAGTTCAAGACGCAAAATTAATATACAGAAACATAGGCATACTGTTTACGGCATTACAAGTGTTATCGACATAATGATATTAATAGAATGCAAGTGAAATATCGAAAGTTAAGTCATGATCAGTGCTTATAATTTATACACAATAGTGTGGAATAAACTTTTATGGTCCGTATTTGGCTGTTTTTGTAAAATCCGTCATTAGATCGTATCATTCTAACCATGCACGCCCAATCCAAGAGCGCAGAATACAGTAATAAACTCTTTATCATGGCATCTAACATTATATTACACGTACGGACCGGTACGGTAACCCTTTATGTACTCGTAGCTCGGTTAATCTCATAATAATTATAAAATGATAAGATAATTTCTGACTTCATTGCAGCCATATGTAGCAAAAATTACGGCCAGATTATTATTCATCAGAGTAATGAGTCATCAACCTATTGTATCATAACTAGAGCCCCCGAACAGTAACAAATTTTTGTACGGCTACGTACGGTTTCCGCTTACGGCTCCTACGGCTACGGTACGGTTACGGCAGAAATAACTGGATTCACCGTACGGTATACCGCATACGGCAGTACCGTATACGGCAAGCCCATTGTGAAACCGTGTTTTTGGCTTACGGTTACGTACGGCACTTTCGTTACCGTACCAATTTTCGCTACGGTTACGTACTGTTGTGCCGTACAGTATGCCGTATACGGCAGTACAGTATACTGTTTGGGGGCTCTAATCATAACCGTCTCTTCATCAGACGGTATAGGACTATATAAATTCAATAATTATACGATGCTCGGATGCTGTAAATGTCGGCGATTTTCTTCACAACGTTAAAAATTCCAAACTTGTTCTTTGCGTTATTTAAGTATACTGAAGGCTCCAATAACGCCGTGTTGTGCATACAACACGCACAGTTACAGTTTACAATACACGGTTTCATTGAGTTTGCTCGTCTGCTGTAGCACGTGTGTGTCAGCTAACAGATAAAATTTAATTCAGGCCGGCTCGCGCCGGGAAATACGGGCTCTTCAACAAAACATTGCGAAAATAATGTTTTCGTTTCGCGCAATATCCCCTCTTGCTAATCCGCTGGGCAACGGAGGCAATGCCAGTGTCTACAGAGCCCAACGGACGGATATCAGAAATGGCAGCGATATTGCGGTGAAAATTATTCTCTTTCACGGATCAGATGAGCAGCAGAAAAATATTGATGAAATTAATCTTCTTACCGAAAAACTGGAACCGATCCTGGCATTGCGCCACCCGAATCTGGTTCATCATATCTTCCATCAAAGGATGCTGCAAAAAAACCAGTTTACAAAATGTGGATTGCCTACGGAGCTGCACTGCCCGCAGTATCAAATATTTATGGAATACTGCGCAGGTATAATTTTAAGTAAACAATGTTGCACAAAAATACACTGCAGAATATAAATAACTCGTGCAGGTATATTATATAGAATATGCTGACAGAGTACTATACTTGGCAGAATTATTTTGATAGGTAGCTCTATACAATACGTCATGCTTTTAGCTTTCATAAGCGAAATAATTCATCAGCAAAACTATTTCAATATAAAGCAATAAAAATTAGGCTTTAGACTTTAGTTCTGCAATTACTTTTAAGGTGTTTTCTGGCTGCAGTAATAACTTATTAGTCTTAATTTTAACATAATTAGATCCGTAACACATTTATGTCACGAAATTTTTCACATAGATACAGTATGCCGAACAATATTTTTAGTTATTGTTAATAACTTTTAGCTTTAATTTTAAGTACGAGTATGCTCTAATAATTTTTACTATTTTCAGTGTGCTGCTGTTGCCATTGCATTATATATTGCACTTGTACAGATCTAGAAGTACCGCTAAATGTGATGCTATAAATATTTAAATTGTGCATCCTTCAGCGCTATTCGTGATTAAATTTTGTGATTTTTCTTGACTAGGTGGAACCTTACACGACTACGTCAAAATCAATCACCTCACGGCTCCCCAGCTTCAGAACTGGACACGACAGTTAGTCAATGGTTTGACATACCTCCACGAGCAACAGTGCGTCCATCGCGACATCAAAGGTGACAACATCTTCCTGACCAGCGCCGAACCCAACAGCTGCCTTAAAATCGGTGACCTGGGTGACATCAAACAGCTGGTGCAGAGTCTCACCGCCCGCAGAGAGGTCTCCCACGACAAGGGCACTTTCGCTTTTATGTCACCGGAAATGATCCTCGGGGAGCAGAATGATGATAGCTGTATTGTGGGGCGGCGCACGGATATCTGGAGTTTGGGATGCGTGGTCATCCAGATGATCACCGGACATGCTCCGCGCTTTTATAAGCCGGTGGTAAAAGGGAACGGTTATGTGGCGATTAAGGAACAACTGGCGATTATGTACTTTGTCGGTAAAGGTGGATCGCCGGCGATTCCGTCTGACCTACCGGAACCGATAATGGATTTTCTGCACAAATGTTTCCTGCGCAAGTCCACGGATCGACCGTATGCCCCCGATCTGAAGAAGCATCCGTTCTTAACAGCGGATGACGTTGACCACTGGACACTACCGATAAGACCGGATGTTAATGAAGGGTTGCGGTGATTTTGCAATGACTTCAGCTTATACTGCGCCAGACAAACTAAGTACTGTGATAAATGTACAAGTATCGTTTTTGTAAGTACTGACAACTATTCTAGCTAAGAGAGATGTAACCTTTAAAGTGTCCGCAGTAGTCGTCTTTCATCAGGAGCGTGTGCATTTTGCTTCCTATCCAGTTTCTGTCTTTCGTAAGTGCCGACTCCATGGAATTTTGTTACCGGGGAGTGGGTCCGAAACGCCAGCGCTCATACACTGCAGAGGCATGAATGTCAATTTGGCTCGCGATTTTCGCTACTATCTTATTACTTGCAAGAACTTGCTACAATTTTGAACACACAGAGCAAAAATTCTTTATGTTTATGTTTATTTAGTCGGCATAATATCTTCGACAAATCGTGCTCACCTTTCATCGCTTGATCGCTTTCCACTTCGCGCATATTCGTCTAACTTAACATTTTTAGGCTGCAGGGTTTAGTCACAATTTTAGTGGTGCACCCAAGCAGACTGGAGATTTCGAGTTTTCAATGATGGGAAGCACCAAATTTTTTCAGATTCACCGTTTGTGAAACCTCCCGCGAAATTTAGCTCTGCCAATCGCTTACATGTTAGACTCAACAAAACGGACCGTAAAGACGAATGAGAACCGCAGCTTCTACATTGCATCTTGTGCGACGTAAATATGCGATGTACTGCAAATGCCGGATATACAAGTACGTCATACCTTACGATTAATTTCGTACAGCAGGGAGTTTGGAGTCGACGCATACCTATCCCTGTTATGGCGTTATCGGCTATGGGTGTTAACTCCAGATTGAAGAACCTACTGCAACACACCTTGTAGTAAAGAACGTGTTGCACACTTCCGGTTGAGGTTACGCTTTTATCTAAAACCTGGTTTGCCTTTCCTTAGAGCCCGATTGTGAATAGCTACATCGGTTGCACAATTGTCAAATCTGCCTGAAGTGGTCTGCCAAGAGACTTTGAAATACTTATATTTTGAGATTACCCTAATTATTTTATCTGTTAGCGTGAACTGTGTGCATGTAATCGTAGAAACCGCAGTTCGACCATGGAACTGGCAGCTAAAAACCAGTTTTAGCCCAACTGATGTCACAATGAGTCAGTATGATAAGCCGGTGACCACACAGCGCAAACAGCGAAGTTCAGCATGTGTTACTCGTTTGTTCGGGCGTAGGGCGTATTGAAACAGCTGCGGCCCTGGTTAACATAAATGCAACAGATACGTGTCATCATAACGTAAGCGTATTTCATATTGACCAATCACTGCGTGATTTTTGTCTGTCCTTTTGCCGTCCTTGCTATATCAATACAGAACCCTCGATATATATAACAATTTCAAGTTAAAAGTAGCAGCAGTTTTCAAGAATTTGCTGGTTTAATTAACAAAGGAATATGAAGCTTGCATTCAATATGGATGATATCTGTACGCGTCATCAGGAAAGCATTCCGGTTGCACTGGAAATGTGCACGATGCAAGAGAGGGATACGCAGGTTTATAAGGCTGTGCGAGAGGACACTAACGAGATTGTTGCAGCCCAAATCCTACTTCTGCACGTCGACAGCAGCATCAGGGATGAACAGGTTAAACGGTTGGAGAAGAACCTGGACCCTCTGCTGCAATTTCAGCATCCCAACGTAATGCGATACTTCAACCATCAGCAAGTTTCCTTGCAGGATGAAGTGAAATATCGGTTCCTTATGGAATTCTGTTCAGGTAATTATACGCAAAAAATCATAATATTACTGCTGCCTATACTATACGTACTGCGGCATGCAGAAGGTTGCACGAAATAAAAGAAAACTTTTACGAGAACAGTGTGCAAGTGGGCTAACAGAAACTTCTCTTCTTTTATTGCGAGCTACAGCAAGTTGAATATGACACACCGTGTGTGTAAACAGCTGCATATGTTTTGCATTGCATTGTAATGGGATTATTATTGTACTCTGTATCTTCGGGATACTGGAGAAAAATGTTCGCTAATTTGACAACGTTACAGCAACTCTTTCCTTTTGCAAGCTTTACTCTGCGTGGATGGGTTAGCCGTTAGGATAGAATTATTGTACATATGGTCCGAAATACAACTGCACGAAGCATTAATTAGATCACTTTTGTGACCTTTTTTTGTAAATTATTTCCAAGACAAGCTATTTCATATGACCAAGCAAGCAAGTTGATGGGCATGTATTAAAGCAAGTTTTTGTTCCCATCAACGTTTAGAATTATAATGGAAAAAATAAAACTCTCTCCTTGTAGAAGGTTTAATTATAGCTTTAAGGTTGTGCTAATATTAATGTGATCGGACCATATATATTATCCAAAATAAAACTGCATTATGAATTATGATTACCTAATTTGTGACCTTCCTTTAACTTGCGACGAATAACTGCATTAAATAAATCAATTATCAAAAACACAATGCGTCGTGCTGCTTATTGCATATTGGGCCCATTTAGGCGGAACATTACATAATTACGCGACGAAATCTCCCGTGACGGGACCATTGTTGGTAAACTGGACGCACCAGCTGCTTAACGGCCTTGCGTATCTACATCAGCACCATTACGTTCACCATCAAATCAACAGCATGCATGTGTTGCTGTCCTCAGCGGATCCCGCAACCTGTCATTTGAAAATCGCCGGCTTAGCTCATGTGAAAAAGGCTCTTGAACACGGCGGACGGTCAATGGATTCAAACTTAGGAATGACCACACGCTTCATGTCTCCGGAGGAGATCATGGGGTTAGGCGACGAAGTAGAAGAAAGTGTGGCACAAAAGACGGATATTTGGAGTCTGGGATGTGTGATGATTGAAATGGTAACCGGGACTATGCCGAAATTTCACAAATCCACTGGCGCGGACGCATTAATTGAAATCACTGGAGATCTGGCAGTGATGTACTTTGTCGGGAAAAACGGCAGCCCAACGATCCCTAGCGAAATATCCATAGAATGTGAAAATTTCATGAAGCAGTGTCTAAAGAATAACGGCACAGATAGGCCAAGCGCAGAAGAGCTTAAAGGTCACCCCTTTTTATCAGCCACTTAAATAAACAGAACGAAATAAAATTCCATCGCATTCGTACGCTACTACATATTTCCAAGATCTTTATTTCGGAGGTCAAACGGTTCGTTCGAAAAAATAGGATCTACGGTACCGGTCCGATTCAAAACTAGTTGATTAAAGTGAAAAAGATGCTAGAAATTAGGATGCTAGGAATTTGTGCCTTATTCTGCTAATCGACTCCACAACTTTATGCAGGGATTGCGACGCATATTCGGTCGCTGTTGACCAGTTTCTTTAACAATCGCAATCAGTTATTATAAGCTACGAGTAGAACGCCAAGAATTGAAGTCAGTGGAATTCTTCGTTTGCAGAGATTATTGACAAGGTCAATCCACGTATATTCTTGTATTTTACATAATTTCGGCAATGTACATAATTTATTCGGCAGTTTGTCCGTGGTATGGTCTTATCGCGTACTATTACGCCAGTATGTACTTACGGTTTCCGAAAACTGAATTCACTTCCATTTAGACAATAATATTGTATATGTGTCTACTATTACAATGACTGTTATTATTTGCAGTAAATACTTTTGCAGGCTTATAAAGCGAGTGCAGGTTTTACATAAATCCCATTAATTATGTCGTGCTAATGGTAAAATAAGTAGTCGGGGTTAAGCACCTTGACATATCATTAAAGACTGTGTAGAACAAAGTGGTTCTGTGTAGAACAAAAATATATTATGCAATACCGCAAAACTAGAAAATATTTCCAGGAAAACAACTTTGACCAAAGGTGTTTATGTTTCCATAAGTTTTCATTCCTTAGTCATTTGGGACTGTGACTGCAATAGCAAAAACGTAACGTAAATCTTCTTGATAAGCTGTTTCACTGAAAATACGTCTTCATAATAATTTGGTGCAGTGGTTACACAAAACAACACTAAGGGTGGGTCTCACATTCAAAGCGAATCTCGTTATGGTACGGTTGCTCAACCGCACGAGGTGGTTGTTTGCAGTGGCCACGCCTACAGATACGGTACGCGAAGCCACCTCGCGAGGTGGAGTTGCTGTATCGCAACTAGATTCGCTTTGAATGTGAGACCCACCCTAACTGGTACAGTTACTTGCCTGGCCAGGACACGAGAACAGGTTTTCTTCTGCGTTCTTGTAAAACTACTTGTACGGTAGTGTGTTGTCACTGCCAGTTCTTTTCGGCCACTTTTTCTGATGAAAAAGCGGGCCCACTAATAATAATTAGACTTATGAGCACACATGTAAACAGGCTCCCAAAGAGCGGACCGCCGGTTTCCCGTGAGCACGAGCTTTAATTCCTAGGTACGCAAAAAACGGGAAATTATGTACGTATGGTAGCGAGAGCACACGATGAACGATTTGACTTGCAATCGTTCAGATTATTTGAGAATTCCAGAAATTAATTATTCTTTTTATTGCCATCTTGGAAAACTGCGCAAAACGACCACTACATTAAAAAACAGGAACAAGAAAACAAATTGGGAGGAGCGGCACAAAAATATGACAAGTCATGGTACCGTTCTTGGCGCAGTGAACCCGTTGCCTGCAGCTTGCGCTGCAGAGCCACACGCAAGTGTACGCTTACGGCTCTCAAATTCCTGGATTTCCAATGTATTATTGTCTGATATCAGAATGCGCCGAATTCGGACGCCCAATGGCAGCAGTAGCTGGCATCGCGCCGAATAAAAGGCAAAAATACTGAGGGCAATGTAAAATCCAAAAAATAAAACAAGGTCCTAATCGGACCATCAAAAATAAAAGAAAGGGGCGGAAGTCAACTGGTAAGGAAACGTATACAGATACATTTTAATGTTTTAGTCGACCGTAGGGAACCGAAAGAAAGGTTAGGTTCTCTATGTTCAAGAGAACGGTTCAGTCCACCCAAAACTCACTTTTCTTAAAGGCTGGGCCGGCGACACCGAAAGTCTCAAAAGTTAAAGGAACAAACCATTCGAGTGAGAAAAGGTCCCAATCAGAAGGAAAGTTGTGCCAACGCAATAAATGTTGAAATTAAATAACTTTTGGATCGAGCAGCTGCATCTGGCATAATTCACGGCGATGTTATTATGTCATCCGCACTGAGAAACGAATGCTCTTTCAGCTCTACCGCAGACGGTCGATCGGCCGGGTTGTGCCGCAGGCAATTGCCGATGAAATCAGCGACCGGACCTGGCAAATTGTCAGGAATGACTGGCGATCCGCCCATAGCGACGAAATACATTACAGCGTGCATTCCGGTAAGTTCGCGACCATCGCTTATGTTGACAAACTTGGGAAGACGCCCAGTGACCATTTCGACGACGACACAGCCCAGACTCCAGATGTCAGTGCGTCGTCCAACATTATGCTTGTCTAGTTCGACGATGATCTCCGGTGACATGAACGCAAACGTTCCCTTATAGCCGGACACTTCGTTCACTTGTGTCGTTTCGGAGCGTAAGAACTTCATGTCACCCATATCACTGATTTTCAACTGGCACGTGCTTATATCCATGGATGACAATAAAATGTTGGAGCCTTTAATGTCGCGATGGACGCAATGCAAGTCATCATGCAAGTAAGCGATTCCTTCCACTAACTGCCGCGTCCATCTTCGCAGAAGTACCGGTGTCATCGTGATGGTCTTCACGATGTCAGAAAGGGGTGCACCTACGACAACGACCAGAATAGTTATAGTTAGTTTATACCATAGCAGTTATCTATCTTTTTGTAACATCTACCGTTTGCTCAATAAGAAGACTACGCTTTGCCATTAAATAAAACTCCAACATTCTTAGGAAGTAAGTACTGTTATCCGTTATCAGTTATATAGTGACAAGCACCGCCAGTAAATCACGGAGTGACCTTTGCAAAATTCCATAATGATGTGGTACTGTGGCAATCCGCTTTCGTGGCGTTCCGCATCACGTTGGCAATGGATATGGCGCACCAAGTTGGGATGATCTAATTTCCCAATTTTTTGCAGATGAGTTTGATAGTGTTTGATCTTCTTCTCCTGAGCGCTTTGGTCGAAATCCAGTAAAATACATTTAACAGCAACAACTTCATTGGTGTCGTTGCGTACGGCTTGATATGTTCTGCCTTCTTGACCTATCCCAATAAGTTTTTCCAGCCGAAGCGGTATAATATTGCTGCAGTCCTTTTCGAATACCATCTTTCTTATATAAAGCTTACTCGTAGTATTACTATTTCGGTTATTACTTACGAATTTATGATTTAAGTAAAAGCGCTTTGTTTCGTTTAATTAAAAGCAGATGGAGCGCTGCTGTAAAACAAGCGCGTTAGGGATAATTGTTTGTACTTTATATAGCCGATCCTACAATGACTCATGATAAGTTTGCTTGATTTAGCGGCACCTGTGAATATAAAGGTCAAATAACCTCTCCTATCAATGCTTGCAAACATGATAGCACCAGCATAAAACAAGCGCTGTGCATTCTGCACTTAGAATTTATCAACGAGGTTAGGCCAAACGTTTGACGATACATCAATTAGCCCTTAAGGTTAGAGAGCAACGATTGATAATTTAAGTTATCAACATTTCCTGTGATGAGTACTTACTGTTGGCCGATGTATATTCGCATTTGCGGAAACCTAGAGTACCCTAATTAATGCAAGAGGCTCGCTAAGGTTCAGTTCGTTTGGTTGGCGTATTACCGATAGATACGGGAGCGGTTTCGTAGCCATACGCGGTACAATAGAACACTTTATATTTGGGACAATATTTGTTTCCGTTAAGATAACCGGCAGACCAATGCATCATGCCCAAAATTTCAGCGGTGAATTATCAATGACACCCAAAGTGATCACATAAAAAAGTCGGTGTGTTCTGATCAGTTTGTCTGTACTTAGTGAATCTGTACGCTTTTCATATTTTTGTACTGACACCAGGGCCATCCGAGCGCGCAGGTCCACCTACTCTAGTGCACATCCGAAATCCTCGCCTCATAAACGTTATTCAGACTGAGCACGAAAAGGGAACAAGGAATTGCAGTTGTCTCCGAATTGCAGTTGTCTCAAATCTTTCGAAATACACTATATAGAATCTATTGTCGAGTCGAGAGACCCGAATCTTCCCAAAACGAATTTTTCTTAATCTTTGCGGTACTAAACTTAGATTAGGGTGTCAGTTCCGTTGGAATGGTGGCGTATAACGTTTATAAATCTAACCTAAAAGTCAGAATTTTATGGTACATTGTTAATTTTGGTAAAGAAGTTATATTCGGGATGACGATCGCCCTCGAGAATCTATCCCCCATGACCTTCCGATATTCGAAGGCAACTGCGGAGAACAGTAATTCCTAGTACAGAATCTATTTTACGGTTGCGACCAATTTTTTATTAATCAACAAAATAAAACAGATGTCAAAACACAAGTTTCGCACCAGCAACGCTAAAATACGTAGTTTAATGTTTAGTTAAACTGCAACGCTAATAACGTAACTCCGAGGTACTCATTGCCAAGCGTGAACGAACCCCATGCCAAATGTGCCACTAGTTTTCGCAACGCGATATTGAAAGAATTGTGAAGTACGGAAAAAACCAAACAACTGCCATCAAAACATTGAGTTCGGCCCAGGCAGCCGCAATCCTTAAGCACCGAGTTGTTTGTACAATTCCGGAACGTAATCATCCCATTCGGCTTCGTAGAAATTGCCGGCCACCGGATCACCCAGTTTATACTTCTCAGCAAAACTGGCGATCTTGAATTTCCCGCGCCCGTCACCGGATCGATTCGTTAAATGTTTCTCGGATGGGGAAATTTTGCCGGGCTGCTTGTATGCCAGCATAACATAACGATGCTTTCCTGAAACAAGTCATCCAGCTTAACAGCACAGTAACCTCCCAGCAGGTGACTTCAAACGACAAACACAATGCTAACACTATTCAGAAGTAAAAAATTTTCTGAAGTAAAGCTACAAAACAAAAAAATATGACAGCAACACTAGAGTACATTCAGTACAGTACAATATAATATGCAAGCAGCTGACATGTTTATGTGCAAATAGTATGCGTGAACAAGAACCGAAAAACGTTGTTTTACTACAGATACTGCATACATTACAATGCACACAGTTCATTTGCAATAATGCAATTAATTTACGAGGTTTTCGTGGTACAGTGATTTCGGCTAAATAGCGAAACAATCAAATTGTTAAAGCAGCGAAGTCGCTTCTGAAAACGATCAGCGCGCGCGTTAAAACTACATTAGATAAAAAAAAATTATTTTTATCATAACAGTAAATTAATGTAACAAAACAATAAATTAATGTAAATTAGAAATTTATTTTTGCAAAAAAACAAAAACGCATTTACACAAATTTGATAAAAAAACAAAAACTTCATACAAGATGACTAAAATCACCGACTGCAATTTTAGCTTGTACAGTAAGTTCGTCTCAGATAAAACATCCACAAAGAATTAGTATAACTCTGAAATAAGTTTGAATTTTATAAAGCCACACTTACCCGTTTTCTCAGGTGGTCCACTGCCGACATACTCCGACATAACCTGTCCTTCCTTAATGTTACAACCCGGAATGTTCACCACCAACCAGTGATGCCACTCGCGAAATTTGGGATCACTGCGGCTGGGGGCATCCGGATCTGCAAGTAGTAGAAGTACACGCAATTATTACCAGTTGAACGTACGCGTCTGCAGGTGATGTACTGTGCAGCCAAAACCAAGCTTCTGTTAGTTTTTTATCACAGCCTGGCGTCTGCTACAATTTACTGTCATTATTTTTTTCCTCCGCGGAAACATTTTCGCAAAAGTACAGAGTTGAGGATTAGTGAAAAGCTTAAGTTGACAATCCCTCGACATCAATCAGTACAGTGCAGAATTTCAGATACGTATCAGCAGTCAAAAAAAATTCACTCCTTTCACACCATTATTCAAATAAGTCACATTATAAGTGTTTAATTTTTCAAATCAATTTGACTAATTTGAGGTAAATATCAAGAGGGAGAAACTCTACTAAAAAGCTGCGAAGAAGGATGAGTAAAAATTCTCAGTGCATTACCTGTCATGCACAGCGTGTACAGATCCTTATCGTTCGCTTTCCAGTGCACTTCCGGTTGGTCTTTCACCTGTCGTGGCTTCAGTTCGTTGCCCAGCTCCATCTTCGCTCCTGATGGGTATTTCACCTTAAAAAAATGTCACAATACGATTACAGGCATTACATACAAATTTTTCGGAGCCGTTCTTCTATTAATTAAATAACCACTGTATCTGAAAGGAACATGAACAGTTAACTCTGTACGCGAAATGCCAAAATTCGTAATCCGCAAGTTTCGCGATTTATCACATGATTCACACCTCACTTCTTAAAAACAACCGAACAGCTTTGCTATACAGATACTAGTACGCGCAATCACAATAATAACCGACCCAGGTACCCACTGTTTTTTTAAGGACCCGCGTTTAGTAAACAATCATTCTAACTTACAAGCGCTTACATCAATCACTCCGACAGGGGCCGTAGAAATCACGTCGGGGACGATGCCCGCCTTGGCAAACTTCTCTTCCGTCATTTTGCCAGCTGATGCAAAACTCCGACGAATAATCTGCGCGGAGGATCTGCCAAGAACACCCAGAAACATTGTTACAAAATAGTTCAATCAATCTTGGTGAAGAAATGGCATGCAAAGTGGGAAGAAGACAGAATATGCGAAGCAATTTACCGATGAACGACTGCGATAAAATGATTTTGACTTCCGAAGGAGCACTTTCCAAATGCTAAAAACTGCTTACACCGGAGCAAAGCAGAATGGTTTTCGGCCAGCTGTAGCAAAGCTGACTTCGTATTTAAGTTCTTTATGAATATCAACCGGTTGAACCATTGCGACCCAGGGCGGTTGCCAATAGTGCTAGATGGGGCCGGGCCCTGGATACGGGATGGCACGCTGTTCTGGTGAAGCTACGGAGCGTTCTTTGCATGCCGTATGCGTCAAATGAAAACTCCCGTTATTGCACTCACACTCCGTCTCACAGTCAGTGCACTTCTGTCTGAAATAAATATTTTTATCGACAAGTGTCACAAGTCGGAAAATTATTTTTTAGTCCACCGACCACCGTCATTCTTTTTTCCAGAAAAAGAACAGAATTGGGATGTGTCAAAAAGCATATTTTTACAATATTTGGTAACGTTTTTGCTGAATGTAGAATTGTAGATTGCAGATAACAGGCTCGTGGTTTTTCCGTTTTTCCATCGGCTAACAGGCAGTAACAGCCAAGACCGCCCTAATCGGTGCGTTACGCATAAAGACGAGACGCTGAGTAATGCGAGCCTTTGTTTACTTGCTCGTATGCTATGCGACCAAAAAATTTTATGTAAAAGGCTCCTGCTTGTAGCGGACGTCATCACGCGTCCTAAGGCTGAGCGCACGTATCCGCGTATGCGTGCATGTTATGCACACGTATGAAGACTTAGCGACTTTTTAAAACTGAAGCAATTCCAGTCCATTCTGCTTTCACAACATAACTGGAATCTAGAATATTCTGGCATCAGAAGTGAACTCGCACAGCTATGTGCCATAAAAGCAATTACAACCGCTATTAGCTCATGATATAATTAAAAAAAGTGAACATGTTTTCGTCCTGAAACATTATTAGAACAAACAGGATATCACTGAACATTAATTTAATTCTTTTTAATCAGACAAATACATTCGGGTACCACAGTTTTGCGAGCCCATCGTGGATTTTTGCAAGCTGCCTCAAGATAATAAAAACTCAGGATAATATCACGTTCTTGGAATAATTTTAAAAAAACTTTCAAAAAACAAGATCCATTGGTCGCTTATTCTACAAATTCCAATAAATTCTAGACATGGCTGTTCTTTAACGGCAAGGCAATCTACAGGCCAAAGCGTATAAGTACATTTAAGTCACAGCGTACAGCATAGTTTATCCCATAGTGAACTACATAGGTGATCCCACAGTTTATCCCGCAGTAAACCACACAGTTAAACGCACAGTTCTTCCAACAGTAAACCCCACAGTGTATTCCGAAGTTCTTCGGGTATCGTTTTCGCGTGTAATCCAATCTGTAGTAAACAATACAATATATTCCACATAACATCTCAAATTTTTTTATTTTATTTTGCAATATTTTGTAGCCTCACAGGGATACTCGTTTATGCAATTTTACAAACAAAACAACTACTAAAGTTTATATGCAGTTGCCGACTCGCGTTTGCACTTCTGATCTGTAATACGCAATGTTAAATAAATACATAAGAGACCTCACAACAGTTGAATTATTGCATTTAGTATTTAATATAATTTTTTATGAACACAAACTTAAATAAAATTTATATCTGCAAACAGTTTCTGAATTATTATTGGGATCAAAACATTAACGAAGCACCATACATCAAGTACTTTTATGACTAGGCACATAGTCATAGCTCCGGCATGTTGTTCCGGTAGTTCTGTAAAAAAAATCGAATCTACAGCTAGGCACATAGCTGTAGATTCGATTTTTTTACAGAACTACCGGAACAAACATGCCGGAGCTTCGCTAAAACAAAGAAATTTACTTTACATGCCTGCCACTGTTCCTAATAACAGCGTTTACGAATTGCTTACAGTTTTTGCGCAAATACCTGGCACAAGTGATTGTGAATAAATCATCTTTGTTTTAAAACTACTTTAATATAAATGTTTTTTGAAAAAAGTAGTGTTTTAAAAAATACTGCAAAAAATATTGCTACAAAATATTGTATTGTTTACTACGGATTGACTTGCTCGTGAAAACGTTATGCAAAGAACTCCGGAATACACTGTGGGGTTTACTGCTGGACGAACGGTGCGGTTAACTGTGTGGTTTACTGCGGGATAAACTGCGGGCTCAACTATGTAGTTCACTATGGGATAAATAATGCGGTACGCTTTGATTAAAATGTCTACACTTTGGCCTGTAGATTGACTTGCAGTCAAAAGAACAGCCATGTATAGAACTTATTGGATTCTCTAGAACTAAACGCGACCCATGGGTCTTGCGTCTTGAAAGTCTTTTTTTCAAATTATTCCAAGAACATGATATTATCTTGAGATTTTGTTGCCTTGAGGCAGTTTCCAAAAACCCACGATGAGCTCAACAGAGATTGTGGTACCCGAATGTATTTGTCTGAATAAAACAATTGAATTACTTTTCAGTGGCATTCTGTTTGTTTTAATAATATTGCAAGACTAGGAAAAAACGTTCACTTTTGTTAATTATATCAAGAACTAATAGCAGTTGTAATTGCTTTTTCATTTTCTTATGGAACATAACTATGCGAGTTCACTTCTGGTGCCAGAATATTCTGGATTCCAGTTATGTTGTGAAAGCAGAATGGACTGGAATTGCTTCAGTTTTAAAAAGTCGCTAAGTCTTCATACGTGTGCATAACATGCACGCATACGCGGATACGTGCGCTCAGCCTTAGGACGCGTGATGACGTCCGCTACAAGCAGGAGCCTTTTACATAAAATTTTTTGGTATGCTATGCGCGCTTGCTTGCAATGCTTTCTTCGTTCCTGGAAACGTAAACATACCGGAAAAACCTGATGGCTTATTGTTTTGTTGCAAATCCAGATGATTGTATCAAACAAATTCTAATTCTTTTTCACTGTCAATCAATTCACGCTTCCAAAGGGACATTTGCCCTCTAGGTTTTGCTACATATGGTTTTTATGCATGATTGGCGACATTGGAAGTATCGTTTCAGAGCATAGTCCATTTCTATCATCTTGTACTCTAGTCTTTTAATCGACAACTGCCAAAATGATTGAATACCTATTATTTCCGGCGGTAGCTCTCATTGTGGCCGTTATTGCGGCCTTTGCTTATGTATTCAAAACACGGCCTGGACAGGATGGAACTCCGCCTGGACCCATGGGTATGTATGTTTTTCGGGAATTACTACGAATATAATATTCGTAAAGTTTTTAATTTAGTAATTTTAGTTAGTAATTTAGCCTAACATTTGTGATTTGAATATTCCTAAATTATTTGGGAATATTCGAATGTCCTTAATTTCAGCCATGAATTTTTTGCTGTTGCATTGACTGTTAATTTACCTTTTATGTTAATCGGCATGTGCTTAGATTAGATAGAGGCACATAACTGTCTTCTGATTTGTTTGATTTTATAATTTTCATTATGTATTTTTAATATATCAGCTGACTTGGTCGGTCGTTTAAATAATTTTCCATAATATTTTGGGTCGTCTTTAGGACATCTTAGAATTTTTTTTGTTAGAACGTGGCTGTGATTACACATCACTTGATAATTAAAAAATTTGAAACATTTTTCGAGTGTGACAAGGTTGGCGAAAATTAACCAATTAGTGACTTAGTCAGTTAATTTTCGTGATCTCTTTGTTGAGCGTAGGGCGGCGTACTCGGTTTTATGGCGTTTGTTAAAGCAAAGTTACCCTTTTTACTAGAGACATGTGTTTTGCAGGCATCCCATTTTTGGGATACATACCATTTTTGGGGAGTTATCCATGGATCGGGCTGGAGAAATTACGGGACAAATATCCGAAACTGGTAGCACTGTATATGGGAAAGGACTATACAGTCGTTCTGCAGGACTACGAAGCGGTAGAAGCGGCGCTTATCAAGCAGGACGAAATGTATCGCGGTCGACCGGAAGCGTTTCTTTTACGCTATTTTCAATCCGGCAGAGACGGAGAAGTGCATGGTACGGTATTTCAAAAGGTTTTAATAGGTGGTAGTGGTTTTAGGAATGACAAGGCTTTTTTGCATAATTATAATATTTTTATTTATTAGTAGGTGATAGATATTGTTTTTAATTTTCGAGACAAGTACTAGAACTCTGAATTGTGAAGGTTCTTGAGAATTTGATAATTGAATAGAATTTATGTTTGTAAAGATTTTCAACTTCTTGACTGACTATTTTGTCGAGATGAAGCTCCAGATACATATGTATTGCATTTGCCTGGTAAATTTAGACGGTACATAACGTACTTGTCAGGGACGCACATCAAAAACGACGATTTATCCATTTATATATGTTTTAATATCTGTTATTTGCAGGAGTGTTGTTTCTTGAGGGGCCTAAATGGGAAGCCACACATGCGTATCTGCGCGAAACCTTACGCGACGATCTGGGAGCGTACACTCGTAAAATGGATGACATCTGCGTGGAGGAATGTCAGAAGATGATGCAGCGGTTTTTGGAACAGCGCGGCGCCTTCGTCCCCGACGACTTGATTTATCATGCCAAAATGAATGCCATGGGTCGACTGATGTTTGGGCGGCCCCTCAGCGATGCGGAATTCGACAGGATAACCAAGCATGACGATACAGCGTTTGCCCAGCTGGCCGGCGGTGTTGTCACCATGTACGTAATTCCGATTAGTGCACTGTAGTTTTATTCGACCACAATGTTTTTTTTGGTATTTTTGTCCGTAGTTTATATTACAGTACTATAATCTCTGTATTGGGTCCGTTGCAATGATGCATCGTTATGGTAAAATTAAGTGCGATCGTTCTTAAGGAGGTTTAAGTATGTTTACGTCGACGGTGTCGACGCATTCCTGTATGATTCTCCTGTATTTGGATGGTTAATGATGTTTACTTGAGCCGTTTTGCGCATGATATTTGTAGCACCTCTCGCGTATGAATATGGAAACGAATTTAAACAGCTCTTTATATTTTTATATATAGGTATCCTTGGACGAGATTCATCCCCGGTCCAACAATGAAGGGATGGACAGATGTGCAGTATGCCGTCGAACAGCGTTTTCAGTTAATGGAGAAAGAACTGGCCGAACACACGGCTACCTACCAGCAGGGAGTTATTCGCGATTTTATGGATGCCTATTTGCGGCATATTAAGGAAGGCGATAATAAGGACCAACTGGCTATGCAAAGTGAGATATTTGTAGGGCGTTGGCATTTTTCAGGGGCACTGTCACAGCTGAAATATGTAATCTTTCGAAATATCACATAAATGCATTTGTAGAATTGTTTTGTACTATCATTTTTTGTCATAAATTGGACAATCGATCAGCGTTTTTTTGGCCAACTGTTCGTTCTTGAGTTGATGTACTTTCATCCAATTTTAGATAATGATGACTTGATGTGCACCGCGGCTGCGGCATTTGCTGCCGGTTCAGAGGCGACGACGGTTTCGTTGTTGTGGGGCGTTCTCTACCTGGTGGCCCATCCGGAAGTTCAGAAGAAAGTTCACGAGGAATTGGACCGGGTTATTGGTCGGAGTCGCGCCGTGCATTACGATGATATAGGTAAGAAATAAATGAGAAATGAATAAAGAAATAAATCATTGGTGAGAAATAAATTGGTGCACAAGCAGCACAACTACTATACTTCGTCTGTTATACAAGGACTGTGGTTTCGTGTGTCGTCGTGTTACTTGTCAACAATTTTTATCGTTTACAAAATGCCTCGTTTAAGGTTTTGTTTATCTGTGTGTTTCGTATGCAATTCTTTGTGAAACCAGGGCATTAATTTTAAACCATAACCATAAATTCTTGGCTAAAACTAATAATGTGAGGCACTGTCGTAGAGGAAAAGTAGGGTAATGTCGGTCTTATTTTTTATTATTTTGTTCGTTTAGATAATCTGCCATACACGGCTGCAACGGTGTACGAGTATCTCCGCCTGGGTGGCAGCGCTCCACTGGGTAATCCTCGATCGACATTTGAGGAGACCGAGCTGCTGGGATACCGTATTCCAAAACGCACCCAGATTTTACCCAATTTGCACGCCATTAACCGTAATCCGCAGTATTATGATGATCCGCTCAGTTTCAAGCCGGAACGCTTCATTGGACCGGATGGAGAAGTGCACTTACCGAAACAGTTCATGCCGTTCTCCGTCGGTATGTTAAAAAATACAGAATCTGTCACCTCCAGACTGTAGATTCACTTAATGTTGCATAGAGATACACTTAATGTTGCGCAGACTAAAAGATTTGATCTTAGTTTACCGCTGCCGTTTTCATTGCTCTTCGATTCCGTTAATTTTCAACATGCCTGTTTTTTTATAACGTGGTGATGTTCGATTTCACCTTTGGTTTAATTATGAAGTAGACTACAGAAGTACAGAAAAAGTGTATTGTTTTTCAGGCACGCGTTTCTGTCCCGGGGTGGATGCGGCGAAGACCCTGACTTTCACCTTCTTCGCCAATATGATGCACAAACTGGACATCCGGTCAGCCAAAGGACAGGATCTGCCGCCGTTTGATGAATATCGTGTGGGAATCTCATCGCGTCCGCTGGAATTCAAAATTGAAGCTGTAGAACGTGGTACTGGATTTTGATGTATTAAATTGGTCTCGTGTTCTTGCAGGATGTTTAATAACAGTTGTAGCAAATATTTATGCTTTTACTAGGGTAATGGAAAGTTTTTGTACATATTTCTGTGTCTGTGTTTTTCTCAGTTTTGCGTTAAATATCTGTCCGTGATGCCTTCTGTACAGCAGTACTGTCCACGAATGGTCAAGATCTTCGAGTTTTGGTGCCTTCTGATTAGTATTAAAGGTAAAACTTTTCGCGCAAATCATGCGAATGAAGTTTTTGCATAATGTTTAAATATTTAAGGAAGGCATATTAAAAAATGCGATAATAAGGAGAAAGGACTCTGAGTGAAATAGAAGTATCGTCGAGGCGATTGCCGGAATTGTTGAGCCTTTCACCACGCAGAGCCAGAACTCGTTAGAAATGTCACATTACGAAAATTTGTTTTTTCCGAAAAAGTTAAAATAAATTGTAATATCCATTGAAGTGAGTAATTTGCACCGAGCGCGAAGCGCGAGGTGCTGCAATTAAGCCTTCGTCAAGGGGAAAAATTTTGTCTGTCGCCCACGAAGAGCGTGGGTCACGCTTTTCCAATTCCACAAGTTCTCATGTCCGTTGGAAGTGGTATTGCAGAGCAAACGTGCTGTTGAATGGATGTGGTTTACATCGCTTTTTAATGGTACTGGAAGCGCGCAATAATTCTTGGTGTTGTTAGACTCGTTATTAATTCTGAATTTAAATTTTCATGGTTTTTAAATTTTGATTTTGTAATCTGCATTGCGAAATTTTGTTGGTGAGAATTTCAATAAAAACCATTTACTTTTATCTCCAGCGAAATCTGTTGCAAATGACTTACGAAATATGCTACTCTGCATCCTGACAATCCCCAGATTGTCTGCAGATCTCGCCCATCATACTGTGGAGTATGCCAGCCACATCTTGCAACATCCTCGACTGCCATCAGAACTGGGTTCGCCGTTTGCCACTCGTCCGGATCTTCTGACTATGTCGGCCGGTTGGGATAAGATTCTACTTTCTTGACAGGTGAGAAGAACCCCCCGACTAAAATGCCTTTCTAAGTTTAGGCATTGACTACTTCAACCTCGACACCTGTTGTATTGGCCTTTCGTGACGCTCCGTTGTATGTGAGTTCTGGGAATTTACCGTGGTTCGCGTCTACCGTACTGTCGATAGTGTCGTATTTTTACAACAGTTCTGCATTATGCGCAACTGAAAGATGGTAAACAGTTTTTTTGTCTTCTTGCAGATTTGTGGGCTCGTACGTGTTTGGCTTGTGCGTGTTTGTCTTCCGCGTGAATTTTTCGTATCGGATCCTGTTTACTACCTAGCGATGCTGTGGGTAAGATTCATTTACAAGTTAGCAGTAATATTTGCAATGTTGTTTGAAGCAAAGTGTGGAATAATTTTTTAAAAAAACAAATAATAAAATATTCAGGCTTATGCTTTTTATATCGAAATGATGTCAGCTTTTTATATCGAATTCTCTTTGCAGTTTCACTTTTCATCGCATCGCTGCGCAGCCTTTTGTTATATTGCGTCGCCATTATCAAGTTAACCCGGGGAAGTTTCTCTCTGCTCTTTCTCTTTTGACGGAATCACCAAGAGCTGCCGTCGACGACGTATAACGGACGAAAGAATGGTCTAAAGAATGGATCCGTTGTCTTGTGAATTTGTACAATACCGAGAGCCTCAATTTTTTGTTGACACTTCAAGAGAAAGAAGAAAAGCGTTTGCGTGAGAAAGGAACCTGCTATCTTGACAAGTTTGAGGATCTGCTCCCGTATGCTAGAACGTCCGTTGGCCGGAGCCTTACTTCAAGCCGTGCGGAACTGTACACTTCAACCACAACTGAATTTGAACTGCAACGAATGCTTCTGTATCTCAACGCGATTAAGGCAAAGATCAGTGAACTGGAGAAAAAGAAGGTTGTGGCCGATAAAAAAAATTAATTTTGAACTGAAACGTGATGTCAAAATGTGATTGGGTTGTGTAATATGGTAAAATCCGAAGCCCATTGGAAGAATACGCAGCGCTGAATGTTGTCGATAAACCTAAGCCGTGTTTTTTATTGTTCCACCTGATCAAAAGCATGCTTGCTCTGAGGCGGGATGCCACAAAATGTGATTGTTAGTTTCAATAAAGATGCTTTCAGTTAGATTTTTCGAATGAATTGTGGGTTATGAGTTCGAATAACACATATGCTGCACTGCCACATGAATGTGAACATTTACCGGAGAACAGCGCTCGCGCTCGGTGCAAGAATGTGGTTAACAACCACCACTAGTAATTATAAAGTAGATAATTTAAAAAATAATTCGTTAGATAATTAGTAGATAATTCGTTAGATGCATCCGATACACTACAGAGTACTTGTACATAATACATCTATATAGATATTATTTCGGTATCTACAGTAAAAAGCCGCAGACTGATTTTTCCAGCCAGCGACGCCTAGGGGCGGTAGGCGGATAGCGCTGCACTTGAACTTCCTTTTCCGTTTCGCAGTTTTCTTCTTCAGAATTACTTAATTACCGTTTTCGAAAGACTTCGAAGTTCGTGTAGTTTGCATGAAACAGAAGTTAGAAGTTCCTTATGGTTAATGGAAACCCATTTGTAAGAGCGGCACCTCGCGTTCTTCCTTTCGAATACTTTAAGACTGGCTATGAATGGTGAAGGATTTGCTGCTCATTTGCATCATTTGCTTTACCATCTGCATATTTGGGCTCCATCTTCCCTTCTGCAGTTATTTGCTTGGACATTCCGTTGTAGATTCGTGTTTGTGTGTTAAAGCAGTAGGTTATCCTCGGCGTCACCATGATGTCTAGTCCGAATCCCAATACGTTTCGTGCGGATTCTACGGGAACACTGAAAACCACCATCACATTGGGCAAAAATCCCTCCGTACAACAAAGTGGGCCTTTTTATCTCATCCGCGCTGAGAATATCGGTATGTTTTGTTGTTACTTCTTTTTTTATTTTGTTTTTGGAACTTCAGAGCTGTAACTTACCAAAAGGAATCAACATAAACCTTCGTTTCAGTTTTAGAGTGCTCCTTTCAGCGTGTTATGATAACACGCTGAAAGGAGCACTCCTTAAAACTGAAACGAAGGTTTATGTTGATTCCTTTTGGTAAGTTACAGCTCTGAAGTTCCAAAAACAAAATAAAAAAAGAATGATAACACTGTTATCATTTATGTTCTTAACATATTTATTGCAGCACTGTGCCATTCTCTGCCTTGTTTTCAATAATTATTACAGTTTTTGTATTTTCCGACTGTGATAATTGTTCGGGGACGTTGAGTGCTTTTCTTAACGCAGAAGAGAGCGAGGCGACCGGGAGCAGTAATCTGCTGGAGCATAATCTCCTGGAGAGTTCCTACTATAAAATGTGCAACGTGAAGAAGCTGAAAGACGAGCTGAGCTCCTTCCTGCCCAATCTGCCCGGATTCTGCGACGTGCCAGCCGCGCAGGATAAATCCTCACTCAAAGACCTGTACGACAATCCCCCTCGCGTGCACAAAGAGCTGGATCCCTTGCCAAATCATCTGTTGGGGAATTTCCGTCTCAATCCTGGCCAGGTACGGTTCGCTACAAGAAATAACGGTTCTCTCGAGTTTTCTCGTTGGTTTAATTGATTTGCTGGTTTTTATACAGCTGCCGGAGAAGTTTCGTCTCATGGATATTAACGCAATGAAAAAGCAGCACAAAAAACGTCGCCGGCGCGAAGAAGCCGCGGCGGGAGCGGCTTCCGGTGGGTTTTTGGTCTTCTTACCAGTTTTGATTTTGCTCGATAATTTTTTAGAGTTTGGATTGGTTTCGGGTTTTAGATTTCGATTGTTTTATAGGTTTTGATTTTGCCTTTTATCGAGATTTTGATTTTTTTCTGTTTGAATTTCAGATTTTCGTAAGAGTTTTTCTTTCGTATTTTTCGATTTTTAGACTTTTTTAGATTTTTATTTTAGACTTCTGTTTGTTTGAGTTTTATTTTTAAAAAGTTGTTTTTATGGCATTTTTATAATTCTTTTAGCATTTTTTTTTATTTTTATACCGAGTCCGTGGTTTGATTCTTATGCTTGACGAGGGGTATTTTTTGTTTACAGCGGAACAGGAAGCGGCCAATGCTGAGGCCAAACGCCAACGCAAGGAAAAAGATGAGGAAAGGCATGCGAAGAAAAAAGAAGGTGCGATTTACTATCCTAGAACTTTCGATACTTTGCGCATTCTAACTGTTAAATGTTCGCTTTCATAAGCATTTGCTGCATTGCCACTTACAAGACGATCATTTTAGAGAGAAGAAGAGCTAAAGCCGTAATGGCAGGTGCCATGCCGTCGTAGCAGCTGCTTTGCCATTCCTGGCGATCTCAACTCACCCAAATCTTATGTTTTATACAGGTAAACCAATAATGCTTGAAACAGTTCAATTTCGATGGTTAGTACGCCGCCAATAGTTGCGGTGTCTGTAATTTCCGGTTTAAGGCTGTCAGTTAGGACTTACTTCTTTTCACTTTTTGAGTATCGTACGAATTATTTTTGAACCTTTTTTCGGTTATGACGCTAAAAAATTGGGCAGCAGTATTTTTTTGTCAGTGAAGCTTTAGTGAGCATTTAATTGTGCTGCGTAAATTGTGCAAGAAAGGGATTGTAGTTTGTACAGTAAGTGAGCCGTTTTTACCTTTCATTTATTTCTTTGCTGACTTGTTAACTTTCTGTGGACTCTGTATGAGTTGTTTTTTACTTAAAGATAATCAAAGGTAATTGGTCCTGTTTTTGCAGGTTAATTACGACGTTGTAAGTCGTGGCTTATTTGGCGGTGTACGTGGATGGAAGCGGAAGTGGCGTTTCTCCACTCGCGGTTACGTACCAGTCGACTAGTTCTTTTAATATATATAATCGATGTCTGAGGTCTAAGGATTTCGGTGGCAATTTCAGTTTGGAGATTTTTTTATGCGATTGCACCAGAGTTCATTGAAGTGTTGATAATAAAGTATTTCGGGTTTCTGATATTTTTGTCTAAGGACTTCTTCAATAATTTTTTACCGTTCTTGTCACAAAAGGTCTTGTACGAAGCTTTCATGTCAAAAATAAATCTAAAAGAAACAGACCAAAATTCGTTGCGAAATTTGCGTTATGTGGCGGGTACACAGACTGTTTTTTTATAAGAAGTACTTTATCCAGAATTATAAACCTTTCCGTCCAAAATCAGTACTTCTAAGTTCTAAGCACTTTTGACGTCACGTAGAAAACACAGACAAACGAAATGGTTTATGCAAAAGCCTGCGCCACAGTAAATAGAACCATTCGTCTAATCAGTCATTGTGCCGTTCTCATACTTCACATTCATATACTTGAATGTTTTGACGTAATTCCCAAACTCAGAGCAATTAAGTGCCAGCAGCGCTTTCTCGCGCAGTTCCAGGAAGACGTCCAGGGCCTCTTGTCCACATGTCGCCAGAACGGTGTTGCCCGGGCCCAAGTTGCCGTTAGCATAGGCTAACGCGCCCTGCATAAACCTGCAACGTGACCTTTACTGTTTTACATACCGGCGTACATATTACAGCAGCAACACTCATCTGTTTACCGGCACAGGAAAGGCCTGTTGATCATAAACATATTAAAACAGGAGCATCCTGTCGTGACGGAAAGCATATCGGAACCCCATTCCTCGCCCGGATTCTCGCTCCATAGTAATCTCCTCTCCACTTGCTCTCTTTTTCGCAAGCAAGGTGTGATGGCTCGTATGTATTTGGCAGGGTCACCGGTTTCGCATACAGTAGCTAAAGCCAAAAAGGCGTCCGGGGTGGCCGGCGCTGCAAGTCGACGTTCGTCGATTGTATGGTTAGGGCATTTTCGGGAAAAATCCGTTCCAAGCTGTCCTGCTGTACGCATCGCTCTAAAACAGGCTAGTAGTCAGCAGGGACCTCACACAACAAGATTGGAATTTAACATTTGTAATTAAAGTTTTTTGTTTGTTCTGTGAAGTGCACATTGAATGTTTGAACTTACAAACAGAAATCATTAACAAGAGGGACTGCATCGGTGCCGTTGTCCGGCTCGCATAAAAACTCGTGGAACGGACTTTGTTTTGTGCCAGGGCAAGAGAGTGCAAGCACCATACCATACTGAGACCTGGTCTTGTCAAGTGCCGCAGTATAATTCTTGGCGAGTGCATCGCAGTCGGGGCTGTCTGCTACAACCAGCTGGAATGCTCCCACGATCAGAAGAAAAGCATTCATGATCCAAAACACAGGGAATAAGCTTGCTAACGACATAATGACATGGAGTGCAACTTTATCATGCAACTTGAAAGCGCGATAAGCAGATGTGCGTATGTGAATATTAAGAATAGTACTGTATAATGCTGCCACCTTACGCACCCAGTGCCATGCTATTTCATAAAGCAATTATTCTATTTGGCAGAAGATGGAATCCAGCCAGAAGTCACTTGAAACACGATCTGATGCATCATGACAGTTATCACAAATCAACATCAAAAAAGCAAATCAAAGTCCCGTTTGTTAACTACAGACAAATTTCAAGTTACGCTCCATGTAAACTACGAAAGAAAAAGTTTCAGTTGTGGGTTGTAAATTAAATGCACCGTGCCTGTAGGCTAGAACTCAGCAAAAATATTTGCTTATCCAACTGCAACTAAAACAAAATACAAATACAACGTAGTAGGTACTATTTAATACTACTTAAAACTCTAATACAATACTCAAGAGATTAACGCTATATCCATATTCGGGGCAGACAATATCGTAATTAAGCTAAAGGCAACAAAGTAAGGACGGTTTTGCCGCCATAAGAAGGCGCTTTTATTTTGTCGGACAATACAAACGATTTTAGTATCATACGCTTTGTCCGATAATAGGGACAACACAGGATCGGATGCTAAAGCTTGTACAGACACTACATAAGCCCTTGCTGCATTAGACCCTTTCCCAACCAGACCGTGAACATCAAAAGTCAAACGAATAAGAAAGAAATACGAATCTGCATTAAGCCTGTACACTGTATACGCAAAGTTGAATACTATGTATTATCACTTATCGCACTATATCAGGTATGCGACCATTCCAGGTCACCCATAAAGGGCTGACGTTGATATGATAGCACCCGTAGAATACGTACCAAAGACTTCTATTCCTGTTAACTTCCTGATGGCGCTTGTATCGCCTATATTATGTAGCACGAATGACGCAAATTCCAGCCAGCTCTCGTTTTTTCCACCTGGCCGACATTCATTGAGAAATCTGGAGAGAAGCTGTTTGGCTTGGATGGAATTTATGAACGTATTGAGGACATAATGTACTTACTTGCAATCAGCGCACTGTCAGGAACCGGTTTTATCGTAGGTCAGGATTTTGTGAATACCGTCGTATGCGACCCATTGTTTACCGTAAACCGCGTGGAATTCACGGTTAAGAAGCAGAAGGTGTTGCAGGTGTTGTAGATATTGTACTTAATGTGCATGCTTAGTTCCGTCTTTCAAGTTCCAGCTTCCAGCTGTATCCATCTGCTGAACACCTACGGTGGTACCTCACTTACCTCTCTTGATTCAATCAGTCACAGCAATTTGTAGATCACATTTAGTTTATATTTTTGTGATTATAGGACTGCCGTAAACGATGTCATTTAGACCTATACCGGTAGATTGCTTTTTGACCGGCTGTATGAAGAACTATGAACACGAAATAATAACTGGCAAGCAAGTGAATCTACCGTACTTCGTTTTGCGGTTACGATTGAGGGACATCCAGACTCCAGAGTGCACTGAAATTTACCGTGTTGTTTATAGATTGCATAAGCAGTCAGCAAAAGTTCCAAGAACTGTAGTGAGATTAAATTTTAGAGAGATTGCTGAAGCATTCTTTCAGTTGATTTAGGGTCCCTTGTACTGCGTTATTTTATCATGATCTTGCTGCTTTTCTACATGGCTTTATTGTTGTTGCTGATAATCCTTCTGTCAGCTGTACGATTATACCTCAGCCGACCAGGACAGGATGGAACACCACCAGGACCAATCGGTAATCCTACAGACACAAATCACACACTACCAATTTTTGAGTTCGTTCTTCTTTATTATCGTACGTATCGATATCCATTAGATCCAGGAAGTGCAGCAATAATAATTTTAACAAAGTTCTTCAAGCGGTGATGACCAGCTACAGCGCCGGCATAGAGAATTATACGAGCTGTAATACGAAGAAAGTGCTACAATTCCGTAGTTGTACAAGATGCAATGTTCTTCGTACCTGTTCTCACGAATATTATTATTACAATATATTTAAACTAGAACTATCGGCATAAAGACACAGAGCATGGTTTGTTCAACACAAATAACTGCAACTTTTTAATTTGATGTTCATCGACAAATAAGATTCTATAGATTCCGGTTTGGATTTCTGTGCCAGAAACAATAGATGCGTAAATAACCTCTATTAATTTCAGCATTTGTATCTGTAGACTTTAACAAATATTATCCTTAAAACTACGGCTGCTTCGAATTGAGTTTAATCCAAATTTCATGTAAACGTCAAAAGTTTCAGCTTGTTCAAGCAAATTATAAACAGAAGTTCATAGTCAAATCCGAGTACTGGTAGTTCAGACTTCGGCGAATAATGCTTTATATTGGATTGTTTACTAACCATACCAAATATTACAGGTGTCCCTTTTCTCGGATATATACCATTTTTGGGCAAATATCCGTGGGTTGGATTGGCACGGTTAAGGAAGACATATCCACAGATAGTGGCTTTATATTGGGGCGGCGACTACACGGTAGTGTTGCAAGACTATGAAACAGTTCGGGCCGCTTATGTCGACCAGGACGAACTCTTCCTAGGAAGACCAGAGGCATTTCTACTGCGCTACTTCAGCACAGGAAGAGACGGAAAAGTTCATGGTATGCAAAACTGTGCTGCCTAAACCGCTGTGGTGATTGGTAAAATTTTTATAAAAGTATGTTCACTAAAAATCACTAAAATACCCTAATGTTCAATACCCTACTGCTTAATGCTCGCATCTGTACATGTCAAATAAAAGCACATAACAGACAATAAAATTTATTAGTCGTAACGTGGTACAACATGGTATGAACTTGCAGCTAAAGTAAGGAACAAAAAACTGCTGTTTTCGTAACTCTTAACGCAGTAAATAAACTACCCACATGTGCGCTTTAGGAATAATGCTTCTGGAAGGCGACAAATGGCGAGCAACTCACAATTGTCTGACAAACACAATAAAAAACGAGTTGGGAGCGTACACTGACAAAATGGACAGGATATTTGTGGAAGAATCTCAGCGAATGTCCCAGAACTTTGCTCAAGCCGAGGACTTTATACCAGATGATTTTCTTAACCACGCTAGCATGAGAGCAGTTGGGCGCGTCTTGATTGGACGACCACTGAATAGCAAAGAATTTGCCCATGTTACCCAGCACGATGCGACTTTTTTGGCGCAAATCGCCGGTGGCGTAGTGACAATGTACGAAGTGGGAGTCATCCTGTCTTGTAGCGGTTTTCAGAAATTAACGCGAAGATTGCTCTGCATACAGCAGCGACCGCATATATCTAAAGGAGAGCGAAAAGGGTCACTGCGGACGTAAGCACGGTTACCGCGAACATGCCTATCTGCATACAGTATATAAGTACTAAAGCGTCTGCGCCTTATTATGTTATGTAAAGCTGCGTAAATTAGGTGGATGTTATTCCAGCAAGTGAACCATGTGGTTGAGAACCGGTTGGGTAGAATATTACGAGAATAGAATCGTATTTCTTGAATTCGTGCATTACTAGGTGGCCTTGGACGAGGTGGGTGCCTGGACCGACGAAAGCTGCTTGGAACGGCGTGCAACATGCTGTAGAAGAGCGCTTCCGGTTGATCGAACACGAATTAGACGAACGTTCTCAACTGACCAACATGCCAGAAGAAGTCAGGGATTTTATTGGCGTGTACCTTCACTCCAAAAACCAAGGGAATGATAATTCGTTCGCAATTCAAAGTACGTTGATAATAAGCACAAGAATACAATCAACTAACTACGAAAGGGAGTGTGGAATTTTATTGACAGAAGAAATGCATACTATTATATATGGAAGTCAGATGCAGCATATATTAACAGAGAATGATATGATTGAAGAAAGCGAAACTTGCGATGAATTAATTAGACAGTTGTGTATATAGAAGTCAGATGCAGCATATACATTGTATTAACAGAGAATGATTGAAGAAAGCGAAACTTGCGATGAATTAATTAGACAGTTGTGTACACATAGCGACATTAATGCCATACTTCATTCCATAATGCCATACTGCATTCAAGTAGTCATAATCATATAATTATACGAGGTGTAATAGGTGTAATTCTGAGAATGAGAATGCGCCGTCTTGTAATTATGAGAATGCGCCTTCTTGTAGGTCGGGATGATCTGGTGACGACGATGGTGGCCGCCTTTACTGCTGGTTCAGAAGCCAGCACGGTGACCATGCTTTGGGCGATTCTTTACATGTGCGCATATCCCGATATTCAAAATAAGGCACAGGAAGAGTTGGAGCGGAATATCGAGCCCAATCGCTCCGTCTGTTACAGTGATATTGGTCAGTCAGAAACCACATGACGTAACAGTGGCATACATTTTGGTTGAAGTTGTGTAATTACTTTTGTACGTCTTTGTTTTGTAGAAAGATTACCATATACCGTTGCCGTGCTTTATGAAACAATTCGCCTAAGTGGTTTAGACCCATTGGGAGTGCCGCGTTCAACATTAAGAGAAACACACTTACTCGGCTACCGTATACCAAAGCGCACAAAGGTCATGCCGAATTTCTGGGCTATCAATCGCAATCCAGACTATTACCCCGATCCATTGGCTTTCAAGCCGGAGCGATTCATTGGAGAAAATGGAAAAGTGCAGTTGCCCAAGCAGTTTATTCCTTTCTCTACAGGTACAGTATAACAGTATGCAATATTAAAACGTATAATTTTAGTTCATACCTCAATTTGAAAGCGTTTTTTGAATTAATTTTCTTATCCTTCAGGAAGCCGAACATGCGCTGGAATGCATTTGGCCAAGCATCTGACTTTTGTATTTTTTGCGAATATCTTGCGAAATCTACGAGTTCGGTTAGCAGATGGCCAGAAACTTCCTGCGTTTGATGATTACCGTCCTGGAGTGTCTCTGAGACCGACAATTTTTAAAATTCATGCTACGCGACGCCTTTAAATTTGTTAATGATCCTTCGTGACTGTCTGCGAGTGCATTGTATTTCTTACTGGCAGCAAGCTTCGTACAAATTGCTGAATCGATCACAGTGAGAAAATGCGTGAACATGAAAGCCGCGAATTTGGACTCTGGATCCAGTCTCGTATCCGACAGGAGTATATACGAGAACAAATGCATCGGTGCAGTACTGTATTCCCAGCTGTAATTGCAAATGTTTTTCACAGTGCATAATACAATACTGATAGCTGTAAGTTTTGCAAAACATTGCTCGTTACAGTACTTGCATTCTATATATCTGTACAATTAAACCACATGCACCGTAATTATCTGTATATTAATCACTACTCTACAGAGGGTGATTTTGCAATATGCTTCCACTTTCTTTATGAATTTATTGCCATCCTCTCCGTGCATATTTTATTTTTAGAGTCGCTAAGTTTGAAAGCCCTTTCTCTTAGCGATCATAACGAATTAATTTTAAGAAATATAAAACAACTTAGAATACGGTGGGATTTTGCAAACCGACCAGGGTCTGTGCGCAATACTGTAACAATTCGCAAAACGCTTTCCAGTGCTTTAAATTAAAAATTTGCTAAAAAATCGTCATCAATTCATAATCTATGGGTGCCAGGTTTAGTGAAATGTTACATCATGTGGTCTTCAGAAAACATCTGGCTTCGTGAGATTCTAGGCACTGGTACGTTGTGTTAGCTTCGTGAACTGGAAGATAGCCATTTTGACTGTTCCCCTTGCGTTCCTCCCCGGGCTGCAAATCCAGATTGCTTGTCCTGAGAAGTTTTTTAAGCGACTTTTTAGTATAGACATCTACAGTGGTTTTAACACTGGGAGCCTGCACTGCAATATTGCCCCGGTAAATAATTTCGGAAAACGAACATCATTCGTTTTCGTTTTTTACCAAATTTTGAATTTTTGTTATTACGATACTTAAAAGTAGCAGCACGGAATTTCGTATCTCCCGTCCGAATAAAGAAGCCGCATCTGCGCCTCACCGATTACGACGGTCTGTGCCAAATTTCAGAAAATAAGGAAACTGGCAAAAAGGTTTCCTCGTCAAAAATTTGTTTTGGTTTGGAAAACTGGGCGTTCCGCTTTAAAATCACTTTTAAGTGCCACCTACTTCTTTTTTCAAATTCAATTAATTACGAATTATAAAGCACATATTGAAGTATTTTTAAGCGCCAAGAAGTGAAGGAGAGAACAAGGGAGAGAATTAATGCAACTTTATGTCCGTGTTGGAAGCATATTGCGCAATCACCCTCTGTAGAGTATTACCGACGCAAACACGTGGTCATTTGTGCTTGAGCCAACAAGGAAGGCAAGACCCTAGTGCGGCGCACCTTGACAAAACCGGATCGGTTCTGACAGTGCGAGTATAAACATTGAACACAGAATTTGGCCCCTGTGGCAAGAGTTCCACAATAGACCGGATTAAACATTAATTTATTTCCGCGGTGACGGATGAAGCCAGTAGGTTGTTACTTCATGTTTTCCCTTGACAGAAAGCAGTCCCCTTTCTTCCACGACGAACTGGCTAAATCGTTTCAACAGAAGTTGGCTATCTGGGCTGAGGTGAATACGGCCTGGCAAACCGTGACTGCACATTCTGGAGGCCATGTTAATAGTGTCTCCAAATCTAAACGAAGGAGATGTGTTCCATATAGCGTCTCAACCAGAAATAATGTGCTCGTAAATGTACCGTTCTGTCATTCATGGGAGAGCTTATAATACGAAATAAATGCATAAATCAGCCTTTAAATCGGAAGCATAGAGCTGCTTCAAAAAGTTTGCGCACAGGTAAGCATACGTACAAGCAATAACGGGGTCGTTTTAGCCCCATTAATCCTGCAGCACAAGGACCTGCAACGCATCGTTCCACAGGTGACAGTTCACACTCATTATATGACTCATATAAATGCATCAAGGACATGTTACCCGAATGAATGCCAGTCTTAAACTGCAAGCTTTGCAGAAAGGCCAGTTGTGGCTGAAGATCCATTAGCTTTTTAGCGAAGACCGCAATACGCTCAATATGGTTTATCCCAATTCTTTCCGGAATCCCGCTAGCCACCTGCAGAAATTTTCCTATAATCACTTGTCTGCAAACTTAACCGAATCTACGGACACAAAATAAATCTGATTTCACTTGCATTACCATAAACGAAGCACTAATTGCTTCCACTTTATAAACGTTGCACTCGGTTGTCAGCTTATCAATACAGACTTCCGTTGCCGACGTGACAGCAATCGTCGTCTCCGGTGAATTGCCCTCAACGAAGTCAGCGAATCCATGCAGATCCGTGAACAGAATTGTGGCGCATTCAAAAAATTCAGGTAGGACCTTTTCACCGGCTCGAAGCTGTTTGGCGACAGATCTAAAATTAACAATAAGCAAGCAAAATGATCTGCAACTTCAGCTCATTCTCGAGATCAGCCGCTGCACAGGTTCACTTGTACCGTGGCAAAATCTGATTGATAATTGCGTTGCATTTTTCCGTTTCTTCCATTAATTCGGCAGTCCGCTTCGTAACTTGGTATTCCAGTTCAATTGAATAGCTTTCCATCCTGGCACAGATTTGGTCAAAAAGCGTAGTATTTTTCTCCTGTGCAGCCAGCATTGGATTAACTCTGGCCAGCGCACGGATAAGACTTTTTATATTCGGTCGCTGCAGGGGGTCCTGAGCGATGCACGACCGTAATATCGCTTCGAAGTCAGGCAAGCACGAGAAAACTGTCCCAGGCAAAATGTCTTGAAGACTTTGATCAGCTACATAAATGGTGGAAAGCTAATGAAACATCCACTCATTACTCTGTATGCGTAACGAGTAGTGCTTACCTTGGGCATGTGCTCTGATCTGCTCTAAAAGCTTTCCCATTGTCAGTATGTCAAGCAGGATCAGACCGCAGGAGTAAATGTCAACCATTTGCAGGGACTTGTTGTCAAGCGTGTTTCCTGTGTCGGGTGGTGACCAGTAGAAGGATTCCCAAATAATGTTTTCACACACTGCTATACTAAGATCTCCACAAACCGCGTGTAGACTTCGTCGCAATCTGTCAGAAGCAAGATGCGCTAGCTTCAGTGAAAAATGTTTATCCACCCAGCAAGTCAAGATGCTGATTCGTCCATGGAACTGCAACGAGGAAGTGTGGATATACCGTACTGCCTGCAACAGCCAAACTGTCTGCCGAAAGGTCGCAACAGGTTTTGCGTCTGAACACTGGAATTGTAATGATAACCGGCATTTTACTTGGAGAAAATCGTGAGCCAGGGAAGTCGGCAGTGAAGCGTCCCTGCTAGCATAGCTGTCGAATATGTCCGGCAACGCGCCTCGTGATGGGCAGTCCATTACTGCCGAAATCCAGTAAATCCCTTTGGAAGATTTTGTTATGGCAAGTCCAGCAAACTGGCAAATATTGATATGCTCCATTCTGTTTAACTACAGCAGAACACTGTAATTATACAAAGGGTTAACATTCAAAATGTGAGCGCACACATCTCATTTAATTACTCGTACCTTTTGAAGCAAGATCAACAGTTCGTTATTACCCGAAATGTCGGGAAAACCAAGTGGATGGTTCCGGTTGCATAATTTCCAGCCCATAACTGGTTTGGTTTTATATGTGTCGAAAATTACGGCGCTGCAAAAACTCTGCAAAAAACAACTTCATAAAAATAGTGGAACGATGCTTTTAACTGGTTCAGTCTGATTATACTCGTGTCCAGCTAAAAGCCGCAGGGAGATCTCTGGAGTGTTGTGAGATTTGGTCGGCATAAATCCTCGACAGCAGGGAACGGCAGGACGCTACTAGGCGGTTAGTTGGTTCTTGCAGCTGGATTTGCCACCATGGGTCGTGAAGCAGTTGGTAATTAGCTTTGAGTCTGCTATATCTAAAGATAAAACATTAGGTTATATATATACGTCTTCGCCTTTGCGACACCAACGGCGGCCTGATGCAAGACCGATTATCAAACTGCTTCTTACTGCAGTACTGGAAATACAACAGCACTTACCCAATCCACACTAAAACCGTTATGCCGATAGCAAGACAGAGACTTGTTAAAACGGCTGTTAACACGTACGAACGGTTGTCACCTAAGTCAATGTGAAATACCGTTCAAAACCCTGCTCCGTTTTTCCATAAAACAAAGTTACAACTAAGTATGCAAATTTTGGGGAAAATATCTTTTACTTGTATAAAGGCAGGACGGATTCTGATTTAGGTAGCCACAATACGGCTCGTTGGGAAGAGGAAATGAACTGTTGACCCACGTCAGTAATTGTGTCATTTCGATTAAAGCTCCTGTTTGGCCGAATTTGCGCAGTAACGTCTGTGCAAATAAAAAAACATGCACAAGTGTTTTATACAATCATACAACAATGTCGTGCGAAAAGTGACCGCACCTCGCGGCTCCCGTTAGCGTTGATAAAAGATACCACAAAGTCGCTGAGCCGCTGGCCTTTGCTGTCTATATACATGCTGTGACCAAAGTCATCGGTGAACGTTTGGTTGGATAAACGCTTTGCTAGTGCAACACCTCTCCAGTCCGCTTTTTCGTCGGATGCAAGTGTATTGTTGATCATCTAAAAGGCCCAAGTTTTAAAACCATTGTGTTACAAAGGATTTTCCAAGGCAGCTGTATCGTTGATGATGTGAGTAGACAAATTTCAAAAGAGCAGCGTTTACAAGGCTAAGATTTAAATTCTTGAGTCTTCATTGTGACTATTCCAGAGCTGCCAGAAAGCTGCAATTAAGTGCTGCGGTTTTCCGGGCAAGAGTGTTGCACCTTACCTCCGCTAATGCAAAGACGGTCATGTAACTGCTGAGAATAAGGACGTATGGCTAGAAAATCAAAATTATTAAAGACCGATCAACAGCGAGAAAAGAAAACAAAACGCTGTGGAATGTGGACTTACCTGCCTTACTAATGGATACGTGTAGTTGTAGTCGTGCTCGGAGCGACGGAGAAATTCCTTACCGAGCTGCATTTTTACACTAGCGTTCTCGATAACCTGACTGGGATTCACAATTAAGACCGATTTGTACGCTTCGAAGAGCATCTGGATAAAATGCGTTTTGTGATTCAACACAGTAACTGTAGAAAAGTACTTGTAGAAAAGTCTTTCGCAGAGGTGATGCGTGTGATTTACTCATATAAATTTTTTCTTACAGCGGTGTCACTTACCGAATCGTTTGCGTCACCAGCTCGCCATGTTAATGGAGGAAAGAGGTTATTTTCTTCAAGTATGTACACCTGCAATGGCAGTTAAATGATACTTGTTCGAGGAAAGCGCAAAAAAACATACTATAACTTTAGACAGTAGAAGTATACGAGTACTCAAAGAATACGAGTAGCTTACGTATTCTCCATTGGTCATATTTAATAAATGAGCAGTCAACTGCAAAAAATGTGATCTTTCAAAAGTAAAAACCGGCTGAAAAACGGGCTTACCAAAAAGTTCCGCAAAGCCGGTTCACCGCCAAAGTACATCACCACTGACAATAACGAAAAAGACAGAGGTAAAATAATTTCCGGTGCGAGATCATGGTCAACGACTCAGTGGCTTACCCCGGCTTGTTGCACGGACCCTTTCGAGAATCGGTTGAAATCCAGTAAAATCAGGTGATTTTGTCCTTATATTCCTCACAATGCTAACAATGTGTTTCTGGCTTTTGACAAGGTTTAGGAATGTAGATGCGAACTGAGAATGAAACGGAGGAGAAGTGATGTCGTTGATCACAGTTATGGTGGTCCAGTTATACTTATTCAAGATCTCCAGGTATAAGTGAACGAATTCGCCCATAATAAAAGCGTTTGTGTTTATGCGCGTTTTGTATAGATCGCGGTTGAGTAGGTTATAAGGCGAGCCGCTAATGAATAAGAAAAAAATTGTTTCCTTGAAAGAGAATTTTTACCCTATACTCTGCACTTACGTTGATATCCATAAAGTATCCCACTGAGTAAAAAAATAAGGAATCTCCGAATTTTCTGCACATGCTGCAAAGTGCAAACCCGATTCGAACTGACAACTCTTCTCAGCAATGTACTAACCGAACCGAACACAGGTATTACCGACCGAACCGAACCGAACGCCAGCTAACCGAACACAGGTATTACCTAGTATGTCATATATGGTGAGGTCGCGATCATTTCTGTTCTGATAATGCCATTCAGACAACATTGCGATTGCACTGCTGCTTTCTGCATTGCATCCCTGTTGTTCAATTAAGTGCGCACGAAAGTTCATCGTCCCGTTGTACTTCGCGCTTACGCGCTCAGCGGCTAAGGTAAAGGCTGGTCCAATATACGGGAGATCCTGAAACCCTTGCGCGGAAGGGTCACCTATTACCACCAAGCTAACATTGAGCACACCATCCTTTAGGCTCTTGTCAGGATGGGATGACAGCAGCGGTTGAGGGCCCGCAGTGGCAATAGTGGTACAAAATAAAATCATGGAAGATATGGTTGTTACAAATGACATCAAAGCCCTATGCATTATGTGGCAACCAAGTACAGCCGCAACCCCTAAAATCGGGCATCAGCAACATACTTACAAAACCAGGTGGTTTAGAGTTTCAGAATAATTACAAGATTGACCGTCCTGCCATTATACCACCGCTTAAATCAGCAAAACTGGAGTCTGTGCCAAGGCGATGTACTGTAACTTTTCATCATGTATGTGCGGCTGTGCGTGACCGTGCTGTTATCATTCAAAGAGAACCCCAGAATGTTTGGCATACGAACCGAGCCTATTACAGATACAGATTGATTAGCCGAAGGAAACAAATAGTTGATCCCAGTGTCGGCCTGGAATTATTTTCCCTGTGATTGTGGAGGATAACTGCAGCTCCGCCGTAAACAATCGTTCGTGCCGATGCACGAAATCCACCGGGCACTGCAATGCCCAGAGGATTCGGCAGAATATTAATTTACAAAATTTCACGGCGCTGTTATATGGGTGACGCCTAATCCCGCGGTCGTTGTACCTCTCTCACCGGCGCACCGCCAGCAAAACATTGGTTTCATTATGCATTAATATTTCATGAACATGTCTTTCCGATTCAGTTTTCCTTTTCTAAGTGATATCATTACGAACGAGTACTCTACTACGTGTATAGCTTGTCGCGTTCTACTTCTAGAGATACAGCGAACTGTGCAAAGTACCGTATTTCAGAATTTAATTTGGTAAGGCTCCCGTGCCGATTATTTAACGTTTAACACATCTGCGCTTTGAGCTTCATTGTACTTACATATGTTATTAGTATAGTATCGTACTTATACAGGGGATCCGTTTTACCCTTATTCAGATATACTGCGTGAATCAGCGTGATGTATGACAAAGAAACGACGCCTTCAAATTTCAAAATTGGTCTTTGAAACAACGAAGAGAAACATTGTTATATCCAAACAAGCCAGTGTGTTGACATTTCGTGTTTGCCTCAATAGACACGACCTCGCGTTGGACAATGAACAGGCTGGATTCTTTCAAGAATAGCTGCATTTTCACTATCCAGGCTCAGATAAATATGGTTTTGTACTGCAACTTGTGACTGCACTGTCTGCACAATCTTCGGAAAATGCATTTATTGGCTGTGACAAAAACGCCTACGCTGGTTGACCCTAAGACATTCCTCAAGTGAGGGTGACCGTGTCTGCAAGTCAAAAAAATTGGTATGTAGTTTACTGGATTCTTCTCCACAGGCTTCGTATGTGCGAGTTTCTTGCAATTTTGCCGAATAATTTATTACTTCCATATTACTTATTTCATTCTAGTGCTCGGAAATTTATAAGCAGTTTGCCTCCCCAGCGGCACCCCCTGACAAATACTCGTAGCAAGATACTATAAGAATTCGCTACGAAACGTACTGGTGCAAAACCCTTTAAAAAAACCAAGGGTTACGGTGAGCAGGCGCATTTCATCCCAATAGGCAGCTATCCACTCCTTCGTTGGTTGAACTCATCAAACTGTGGATATTGGGGAGAAAGGGATGCGCCAAACCAAGGTGCTTGCTGCAGCAAAGTTGAGTCTGGTAACTTGATAAATCTTGTGCAGGAGTATAGCTGTGCTAGCCCGCATAGTCGGCGGAATTGTTGCTGCATTGGGCCTTTCAGCCGGCCATAAATTTCAAAAGTTAAAAGACTCGTTGTTAAAAGAACAGCAAGAACGTAATACGATGGTGTACAAAGCTGTTCATGCTCACAAGAAGTTTGATATTATCATGAGTGAGCGCACTAAAACGCGTACGCAGGCCCGTGACCTTTCCAGGTTATTTAGAAAAAGACTGACTCGAATGTACTGTATATATATACCTCTACTTACTATTGGGATACACTTCAAGAACCCTTGCAATTAAACCTGTCAGTTTCCTTATGGCACTTGTAGACTTGTAGTTAGTTGTACGAGAATACTTCGTATCATTTTGTAATCGGTATTCTGGTTTTGTTGTATCGTCGATAAGTATGCAACAGGAATCGCGCAAATTCCAATCTAATCTATTTTATGCCTACCTGCCAACTGCCGGAACCGGAAAATCAAGCAGCACCGTGTAGAGTCACTGTAGTCATAGTATTACTAAAGTGTGCATACTGTCAGAAATCTTTGGAGAAACACACTGACCTTGATATGCATTTTAGAATGTCACGTAGTATCATTACCTAGAGCCTAGCGCAGGCCGCCTTTACCCCACGAACCGGTTTATTTGCATACCACGGTTTGTAGTTGCGGTCGAGTATGCGAGTGATTCTTTACCACAAACAGAAATCAAACCACTCGGAACTTTCAGTTATTATTTCGCTTCGAAATATTACAGATATTGTTAATATATGGTAATACACATTTCTACCTAGCTGCCGACCTGCTGGACACAGAATTAAATGCGCATACTTTGTTACCGTTGAGCAAGCCGCACAAAGGTCATGCCAAATTTGTGAGCTATTAAACAACCCAGGCTACTACAGACCAGGACCTAATGGTTTCTGTACCAGGAGCTAATGGTTTTTCAACCGGAGCGATTCATTGGAAGGAAAGGGAAAAGTGCCGTTGCCCAAGCAGTTCGTTCCATTCTACATAGATACTCGTACATATATAACAATAGATATATCAATGTACATTGTAATGTACCGTAACCGGTTTATTTGCATACACGTTACATTGAGTTTTCGACATTTCGACAGTGATTTCTTTGTATGAACGATTTTTCTTCTTTGGGAAGCCGAACATACGCTGGAATGCATATGGTATGGTATGGCGAAGTATCTGACTTTCTGTTTTTTGTGAATACGTTGCGAAATCTAGAGTAGCGGTTCGCTTAGTAGACGGCCGGCACCTTCCTGTATTTGATCATAATTTTGATGGTTGATGATAATCGCTCTGGATTTAGAGTGTCTCGCAGACTGATAAGTGGCGGCAGACATGCAGTCTTAAATTCCATGCGACGCAACGCCTTGAAGTCGGAATGATATTTGAAGGTGATCATCATATTTCATGGTCGCTTGCGACTACATTCTAACTGGTAAGTATGCTCGCAATAAACTTTGCAATCCCCAATCCCCATGCAAAATGTTGAATTACTTCTAGAAAGTTTTTTCTGAAAACAAATTCCGCGAATTCAGGAATCTCGTATTGTCTAACGGTAAATACAGTACATGACAATAGCAACATCTATATAATTATACAATAACAGTGTAGTAGAGCTGATCATGCTAAATACCGAACATAAAACTGTTAGTCTTGTAATAACTTTTGGCATCAAATCTCACATATTATGGGTGATTTCACTGTTTCGCTCGTAGACAGTACTAGACAGTAGACACTGTACTTACAAGTTACAAGTTAAATATTAATAAATAATACTTAATTATGTGTTTAATCAACCGCGTTTAGTAATCTCCCGGATGGCTTTTAATTTCCGAACTCTGCGTTATTTTTTTACTGTATGTTTTACATATTTTGTTGTTTGTTATTGACTTTTTTATCTGATATGCCGAATGATCGTTATGCTTCGTGTTTATCTATGGAAACCGAATGCACCGGAAAGTAGCTGTACGTATGTTAATTTATTGCATAGTTCGCATCCGCAGCGGCTGCGCACCGCGCCGAACGAACACTTGGTAAGCCAGGGTAGCGCAGATGAAAAACGCTGTCCTGGCATTCGGCTATCCGTTTTATGGGGTAAGCTTGTGACTGTAAACTCACATTTTCAACTCGTGCAGGAACGCGCACAAGTCCGTGATTGTTAGTGGGGCTTATTTTTAAAATCCAGCGGAAACCGAAAGTCGTATGCTTTCGTTATCAACAAGTACAGTAAGTCTTGCATTTTGGCATTTCGTTGCTACTCCTGCCACTCGGCTGCCAGTAAGGAGCTTGTTTCGGTAGTTTGGCGGAAGATTGCGACAGTCAGAAATCTGCGGCTGCAGTCAGCTTCCCTGATTAAAGTTGTAAGTAAATCTACATGTAGTCTGCCACTTTGAACGCAATAACTCCGCGTTGCAACTGAATGTTGTATCTTTGTATTCCTGGCATGAAAGTTCGGTAATTGCCCAACTGGTACAAGTCCTTCATCCGGTAGCCATAAGCTAGTAGATTCACGGCGTAAAGTTAGAACACATTCAGCAGTTATGAAAGTTAGTTTTCCAGATGTTCCCAGTTCCTTGTCAACATGAGCGGTAAATCTGTTGCTGCTGGACAGATCATCGTTTCCAGCGAAGTCTGGGTTTGGTCGTTCGAATGGCACCAGCATCAGACACACTGCGCCTTTTGCTTTCGGAACTCAGCAAATCTGCGGTCGTGTCAAGGATGCCAGTTGTATCGATACTGCAACGCAGAATGTCAGGTAGGACCGTAGGCAAAGCGAAGACAGCTTCTTAAATTTTGCAGAGAAACAGAACAAATCGTTGCTTATGAAGCGACTAATTTGTCGTTGAACCGTTGATGGTTGGCAGTTGACAAAGTTGCTTTTCGCATTGATTTGCGTTTGCTGCTAGTTTACTGGGTGCATTACCAGTTAGTACGCAACTTCTCAGTCGATGGTTGGGGTTACACAAATCTTTTTCTGATAAGCACTTGCCCTGTGGTCAGTGCCCGGAAACCCGGGATCAGGGCGTGTAGCCGTTTGAATTGGGTACTTACGAACAGTTGACAGCTGCTTGTTCCTTCAATGCGCTTCGGAGTACCTACACGTTGTAAGCGAATCCAGATTCGGACTTGCGTTGCATCAACTGCATCTTGCAAGTGCTGTGCTTACGTACAGCTTAGGACAAAATGGTCGCATACCCAAAATCTCCACATTCAGTACGAATGCAGCGCAGTGCACTGTACGACTGAGTTCAAAATATCCGTTTCGTACAAGTGCACTGCACCGCTTGCGTACAGAATGCTGGGTATGGGGCTATGCGACCATTTAGTCCTACATTGTAGTTGTACATTTGCAAATGTGGTTCATCGGAGCTTCTCAAGTACAGACCCTGGCATATAGCGGTGTTCGATATTTCAGCGTGCCGACTGGAAAAAGGAGCACAAATGCGAATGCGATCTTCTGAAGCGTGTCCGAGACTACAGACAAGAAACCGAAACTTACCCTGAGGTCCATCGTATGGCGAGGATGATGCGGCTTGCCAGCGGTATACAGGGCGACACTTCGCAAACATTTGCCACGAGTTCCATCATTCTACTTAAAATTATAAATAAAATTATGGTAATATTAATGCATTAAATGTGTGCACCAGTGATAAAAATTTTGTACAGATTTGTACAAATGTCATCTCTGTGCCATATGTTTGTGTTTCACAGAAAATGACGAAGGAGAGCATCTCCGGTTATGACGAAAAGTTATCGGCGGGGAACATCCTTGAAATGTTTCCTAGTGTTCTCACAGCGGTAACACGGTGTGTTTGTTATTTATTAATTATTACGCTCATTTTGACTTTAGTTCGTGTATTTTGGGCCGTCATGCTGTTTTGCAGAAAACTGGAATTTGTTCGAGAAAAAATGTTCCAAGGGTTACTGAAAGCAGCATTTCCGGAATTGGTTGCAAAAGAATCCCTTTGGCCGGAATATCTTGTTGCTGAAACTCTGACAAAAATTGACTTGCATCAGCATGCTATCATCAATTATGACGGTGGTCGTCCGTTTTTCTTTGGAATGGGTCTCTTTCCGGCTGTCCCCAATGGTCTCTTAGACGAAGCGTGTTCCGATCAGAATGCTGTGGTTCTGTTTAACGGAAGGACTCTCCTGTTGTACGCTGTGGATGATATTCCCAACTATACTGGGCTAGACGACGTACGTAAAAACAGTTAACACAGAAATCGCTGATTTCGCTGTAACGCGCGGTCTATTTTTGTAGGTGCAGTTGTGTGATTTGCGAGAGTTTCCCTTCCGATGGCCGGTGAAGCAGCGGCGCGAAATGTACGCAGACAAGTTTGGCGGCGCGGAATGCACATGTCGCAAATGTACTAAGGAATATGTAAGTTTTTGTTTGAAGAAAACTTTTACGGAATAATTTGTCTTTACCTGCATAGATACTACTGTATTGATTCACAGGAAGCGATTATAAATCCGTTGAAATGTGCCACAAAAGGATGCACAGAGCGTATTCCAAGTGATGATCGCGCGTTGGAGCCATGTGCGCAGTGCGGCGCGATCAACGAGGTCAATCTTCGGAAGCTACAGACGTTTCGAGATAAGCACGAAGAAGACTTTTCCGGGTACCTTGCCATGTGGTTAAAACGAGACTGTCACGCTATTATGCCTAAGAAATTCCCATTATGGAAAGAGCTGGAGAAGGCGAATATTCTGCAGCCGGAAGCGCAGCTTCGCTTCGTCCTTGGCTGGGATGTGGCTCGATCGTGCGATGAAACTGGACGACATCAGGAAGCATGGGAGATATACCGCCACATGATTGTTTGCCTGCGGTAAGTTACTGAAATCAATTTCCTAGTGGTGTGAACTCTGAAGCCAAAGATTGGTTTACATTTTCACAGGAATATTGCTCCCAGATATAGCTTTTATCGTGCCCAGTTTCTTCGTGAAGCGTCAACCAGTATCGTCTACTTGGGAATGAAATTCATGATGATGAGCAAGACACAGAAGACTCGACTGGTGTCGCTGCTTTTGGATGCGTTTCCGTTGGCTATTGACTGCATGAAAGAGGCACGGGATACCTATTCGACGTTGTGCGGGCAATGTGTAATTACTAAGGATATTGCCGAAGCATTGGAGATGGAAGAGATGTTTTTCGCAAACGTGGTAGAATTTTCTAAAGGATAAAACTAATAGTCGTGTCACTTGATAACTTCGATTTCAGAGGCGTGAAATCAAAACAGGAGTAATCATCGATTAAGCGACTGGTTTTTTTGACGAAAACTTTTTATGATTCTCAAATTCTTAAATTTTAGCATCAGTAATTTCGGACAGATGTAGCACATAATTTTGCAACTTTGTGTCATTTGCCAGTGTATACGCGTACTGTTGTTGCTTGGAACTGCAGTGCCGTCAAGGCGTCAACAGGTGGAATTAAGTATAAATAATCATCATCCTCTCGTCATCTAAGGCGTTTCCAGCTGGTTACTCCCATAAAACAGAAACCCCAGAACGTTCTGTAACTTCCGGCGGTTTCCTTGTACTATTAATGCGTTTAATGTAAATTTATACGAAATGGTTTATTGGTGGCATTTAGAATGATCTCGCCTGGTTAGCAATATTTATGGCTTTAAGAATATCTGCAGCATTCAGTTGCATTGTGATTCTGTGTCAACACAATTGAATTTTAAGCAACAGAATTATTTAACTTGAACTCTGTGCCACAAGAAAGCAGATTCATATTCAAGAAAATAACGACAATTCCGAGAACTGAAATAATATTATAATTATAAGAAACACAAAATTCTCTATCACCTTCAAGACTAGAGGAGGTAACACTGTAATAAAGTTCGGACAGTTTTAATGCTCGAAGAACTGGGTTAAGCCGTTCAAGACTTCAAGCATACTAATTCCGTTTGATTGCGAACTGAGATCGACCACATCCGGTCCGGATGAGTTCCCGAATTCGCTTTCACGCAGTCGATTAACTCAAACAAATTACACTGTAAACAGTGTACGACAAAATGTTTAGGAAACAGGAAGCCTAACAGCAGGAAGAAGTACATACACGCCGTACAGCTTACGGTATTGCCGCATGCGGTATGCGGTACCGTCAATTCGGTTACTGTATGTTAATACCAACCGACACGAAAATCATGAGCAGATGTGCCTGCCAGTGGTAGTCTTTGGCAATTCAGATTGGCTGCGTTGAGTTAGCCAACCACTACTGCGCACTGGGGTACTTCGGGACATATTGCGGGATGTACTCGTGGATGTACTGCAGGAGAAACTGCGGGAGCACTTCGCGGTGCAGTACGAACTTAAAATTAATGTACTACAGGATGTACTACACGTTGTACTACAGGATGTACAACAAAACGTACACTGCAAAAGCTGGCATAATTCGGTACCGTTCTGCAAGTCGCAAGATGAGCCTGTTTAGTGAGTTTTTTTATCTTAAAAAAACCTAAGAATCCTAAGAAAACTTAGAAACCTAAGAAAACCTAAGAAACCTAAGAAACCCGAGGAACTGAAGAAACTGTTCCCAAAAAAGCTCCAGAAGTCCTGTACGCAGTTGTGGTTGGCCGCTCGAACACGGCCCATCCGCACTGCGCGCTGCGGTTATTGGTAGGCACATCTGCCTATTTAAAGATTTTTGGCCATACCAGGTATACAAGTACACGTACCGTATTAAACCGTAGACTGACCGGTGAGTCATTGAAACCGTACGTATCAGAATTATAAACGTACGTTACTACCGGTACGGTTTGGCACCTCTATACTCGGCTCATTCTGCTGTATTGAACAGTGTTGACACACTGTGTTAATAATTTGTTAAGTAGTTCTAAGGTTTTTAGGACGAATATCCGTGGTTGAATCCTGCTCAGGAGCCAGGAAGAAGCTTTTGCTAATTTGGCATGAGTTTCCGTCGTGACTGAATGAGTAGCGATTACTACTAGCGATGCTATCTCAGTAGGGATAAGGAAGCAAGTCTACGCAACTTGGAGTCTCAAACTCATCTTTTGACTGGATTTTCTACAGCAGTACGTTGCACCTTTGAATTTCATAGAAAGTTATCGTTTGAAACTAACGTAGAAGTGTCGAAACTTAATGCAGCAGCCTGAAGGTTAATTTGGACAAGGAAGTTTTGAGCAGCAAGTATCGTACATGCGATTTCTGGTTTTGCAGGTGTCAGCTGGCAACATGAGTGGCAAACCAGTTGCTGCTGGACAGATCATAGCGTTCAGCGAAGTTTGGGTTTGGTCGTTTGAGTGGCACCAACACCAGACACGTTGCGCTTTTTGTTTTCGGAACTCTACAAGTCTGCGATCGTGTCAAGGATGCCAGTTGTATCGATACTGCAACGCAGAATGTCAGGTACTCATGGATGACAGCTTGTGCTTGCAGCCTGTAGCAGAACAGATCGTGGTTGTGGTAGCCTTGTACAATACACTACGGTGATCTTGAGATTTGCAAAATTTCGTTTATTAAGCCAGCGGTAACCCTTAAGCATAGCTGATGGGTTGTGCTGCTCGATATTTCAGCGCGCCGACTGGAAAAAGGAGCACAAATGCGAATGCGATCTTCTGAAGCGTGTCCGAGACTACAGACAAGAAACCGAAATTCACCCTGAGGTCCATCGTATGGCGAGGATGATGCGGCTTGCCAGCGGTATACAGGGCGACACTTCGCAAACATTTGCCACGAGTTCCATCATTCTGCTCAAAATCCTGAACAGAATGCATGTAAGGCAAACTGCGCAGACTACTGCACGGTGTACAAAAGTGACAAGATTAAGGGTGTGCATACGAATTTGCAGTATCTTTTCTGAGGCCTTTTGTTTGTGTTTTGCAGATTAATAGGAAGGAGACTATCTCCGGTCGTGACAAAAAATTGTTAACCGGGGAAATTCTTGAAATGTTCCCTAAAGCTAGCACAGTTGTGGCAGCACGGTATATATTTGTAATTCATTGCGTGGTTTTTCGTCGTTTCAGACATACTTTTCTTCTTTCTCCACACGGTGTGCTTTTATAGGAAACTGGATTTTGCTCGAGAAAAAATGTTCCAGGGTTTATTGAAAGCAGCACTTCCGGATTTGATGGAATTTCTAGCGGGTGAACCGGTTCGGCCGGAATTTTTTCTTGCCGAAACTCTCACAACAATTGCGCTGCATCAGCATGCTATGACTGATTATCTCGGAGGTCGTCCTGTCTTCTTCGGAATGGGTCTCTATCCCCGTTTCCCCAATGGGCTTTTACGGGAAGCGTGCTCCGATCAAAATGCCGTAAAGCTGTGCCGTGGACGGACCCTCTTGCTGTACGCTTCGGACGACATTCCCAGTTACACTGGACTTCACGATGTATGTGACCAATGCGGTTTTGGAGCACTTGATCATTGATATTTTTTATGGGATAATCTCACGGTTACGTCCGATTATTCTATACAGGTGCTGTTGCGTGATTTGAGGGAGTTTCCCTTCAGATGGCCGGTAAAACAGCGGCGCGCTATGTACGCAGACAAGTTTGACGGCGAGGAGTGCACTTGTCGAAAATGTACCAAGGAATACGTAAGTTTCTTAATGATAAATATTTTGTTACAGAATATGCTATACGAGCACCAATAATTTGTAATTTTGTGCTCGCTTTTTTAAAAAGTAGTTATTTTGTTCTGTTATTTTTCTCTTTCAATTTTGTCTTGATATTTCCGCAGGAAGCGACTATAAATCCGTTGAAGTGTGCCACGAAAGGATGCCGAGAACGTATTCCAAGTAATGATCGCGCCCTAGAGCCCTGTGCACAGTGTGGTGCAATCAACGAAGCTAATCTCCGTAAGCTGCAGACGTTTCTGAATAAGCACGAGGAGGAGTTTGCCGAATACTGTGCCATGTGGCAGAAGAATGACTGTGAAGCTATCATGCCAAAGAAATTCCTCTTATGGAAGGAGCTGGAAAAGGCTGATATTCTGCAGCCGGAAGCGCATCTTCGCTTTGTCCTTGGCTGGGATGTGGCTCGAGGTTGCGACGAAACTGGACGACATCAGGAAGCGTGGGAATTATTTCGTCCCATGATTACATGTTTGCGGTAAGTCTCTTACGGAATTGATTTTTACATACCGGTTGAATGAAAGACTGGCTCATATGGGATTATTTTTACATATTACTTGTTGAATGAAAGACTGGCTCATAATTTCACACTTTCACAGGGATATTGCTCCCAGATACAATATTTATCGGGCCCAGTTTCTCCGCGAAGCGTCTACGTGTGTCTTAAACTGGGGAATGAAATTTGTGGCAATGAGTAAAGCCCAGAAGACTCGTCTGGTGCCGCTGCTTTCGGATGCGTTACCGTTGGCAATTGACTGCATGAAAGAGACGCTGGATACCTATTTGACATTGTGCGGGGAGTGTGTAATCTCTGTGGATATTGAAGGAGCATTGATGATGGAAGAGATGTTTTTGGCACAAGTTTTAGAATTTTTTAAAGGGTGAATTGGACAAAGTCAGTGGCAGAGTCGTGTAATCGAAAATAGGCGTAATCTTTGCGTGCCCAACTGACTTAGAACATTTTTTTATGGAGAAGTGTTGCGATTTTCAGTTTTACTTTTTTAACTCACTTGTCAGGTCATGTTGACCAAATGTGGCAGTGCATGATTTTACTGCTCACTGTCAGTTTTATTATTGTCTGAGAATTGTGATTATAAATTTGCAGTGCGACTGAAGTAATAAGGATTAAAGATCAATAATCCATGGGGATGGACGCGTTGATCACAGCGAGTTACAATTATGCCGAGAAATAAAAAGTAATAAAATAAAGTTTGTAATAGTCATTTGTCGGCTCGTTATACCAGTGTGTAATAAGTACGTAATTGTAAATTGTTACATAATGCAAGCCAACATTGAGAAAGACCGAAAACAAGAAAATGAAGAAACATTTTCGACCACGGGCCGAGATCGTACTGACATTGGTCTGCCGGCGGAAGTACTGTAATCGCCGTCGGCAGTCAGTACTTACATTATTTACATTCATGACTTACTTATTTACATTCATGATACGGTAACTCACTTTGATAATACGTCCGGCTGAACTATCCTGGTTGACGCTTACCGCAACATTAAATTTTATGATTTTACATACACAACAAAAAACAAGGACACTTTCACTAACAATAAAATGACTAATGAAGTAACAATAAGCCTACTTAATACTGTACTTACCATTAGCTTACTAGTCACAGCAGTCAGTGCCTCAGTGGTGCTAAGTGCTAACTGCTTATTAAACAGCTTACTACAGCTGTAAAAATTATGTAGATCATGCTGCCGAGTGCAGAAGAGAAATCTCCATTCTTATGCGTGCACGGCTGCACGCGTTTTGTAGTAGACTGCTGATAAGCACTTTTTTGTTTTTTCCACTTCCATAAGTTGCTTTCCTGTTGAGCTGCCATCACGTTTGCGTTAAGTATTTCCGTATTACGATTCTAATGCGCAGACATAGCAAAGTTGTAAGCTACCAGTCACTAGCACAGTCATTGCTTGGTGATCGATTTGTGATTCTGACCACCAGACATCCCGCTGATTAACCAGCGCTTTCGATAATGGTGGACTCCAGCGAGCACACAGCAGAAAACTTCGCTGGCCGAGGGTTTCGGACTGGGGAGCTTATTATGGAATGCGAACCCTGGGTATGGTCACTGGAATGGGATAATCAAAGTGTATTTTGTGCGTATTGCCTGAAACGCACGTCGGATTTGAAAACCTGCACGCAGTGCCACACGTATCGCTACTGCGGCGAAGATTGTCAGGTATGTAAGTATGTTATATAGATATATGTATCTGTATATAATAATAACGAGTGGAGTCTGTGGACTGATGCTGTGCCTTTCGGCTGTCGCTATAATCATGTTACATTTAATGCTGGTTATGCCGCTAAATTAACTTAACGTGGAATTCTCATTTATATGACGGAACAGCGAAATCTTGGTGAAATGAAACATGCCTTTTGCAGAAACTGGACTGGAAGAAGGAGCACAAACTCGAGTGTTTTTTGCTGAAAGGTATCAGCTACTACAGGACAGAAATAAGCCGATCCATCTCCAAGTTCGAAATGAATTCGTTGTTCACGGTGGAAGTGTTGATGCTGATAAAGATGATGAACAAGATATATGTACGCTAAATCAAAATGCAAGTTCTTACGGGATATGGGCAACATGTTTAGAAAGCCACTTTGCAAAAGACTGTACGAGTCTTTACGCATATGTTTAGGTTTAACTGCTCATTTGTAGGTGCGGTGTTGTGATCTGACCCGTTTCCCTTTTAACTGGCCCTTAAAAGAACGCCGCCAGCTGTTTGAGAAAGAATTCGGACATGCATGTAGTTGCCGTAAATGCACACCGTAATATGTAAGCCGCATTAAATTTTATTTAATATGAGTCTTAATTGCAGTGCACAATTAACTTAAGCGAAACTTTTATAAAATTTTCTGCTCTTTTTTAGGAAGCAGAGATTAATCCGTTAAAGTGTATGACCAAAGGATGTTCGGAACGCATACCCAGTGACGAGCGAGCCTTACTCCCATGCGAGGTGCGGCGCCATTAACGAAGCCAAACTGCTCAAACTGAAAGCTGTAATGAAGAAATATGCAGATCTCTTTGATATGTGCGCTCGTCAAGTGGAAAATTTGGATTCTGATGAAAGCCTTACCAGACGGATTCATCTGCTGCAAGAACTGGAGTCGGCTGATGTTTTGCAGCCTGATGCTCATATACGCTTTATCAGCGGATGGAATGTGGCGCGATTTTACGAGAATACGAACCGCTGTCATGAGGCACTAAAACTGTATCGCGAATTGGTAGTTTGCGTTCGGTGCGCTTTGACAAAACGGTAGCATGACTAATTTGTTTGACAGGTATGACGTTTTGCAGTACTGTCTTTCCGCCTCTTCATCTTCATCGGGCTCGTTATATTCACTGGGCGGGATTGTGTGCACCGAACTGGTGGAATCAGTCGCTGAGCATGTTAGGCGGGGGCGACGGAAGCCGCAAACCCTCGGTGACGCTTATCAAGGTTGCCCTTCGGGAAGCAGTAGACTGGTTACACGAGTCCTTCGAGATTTACCGGAAACTGTATGGGAAAGATTGCACAATAGCTGGGGAAGCTGCTGTCATGCTAAACGGGGCAAAGTTTATGCTGAGCCGGTTATGAGCGGAACTTTGAAGTTTGAATCATTTCCTTAACAAATATTTCGTAGTAAAACTAGAAGAGTAGCATCATCGTATATCTATATGTATACTGCTCGTATTCATCATTCTTTAGATTTCAATACTGCGGATCATGCGGTGATGGAAAATGACTGTTTTTTATTTCTGTATTTTGATTGACTATTTTTGTTCTTCTTGGGGATTAAGGGCATAAATCTCCGACTTGTGAAAATCGCAGTGTTGGTAACTTGGTACAAAATATAGATAATTACAACCATACCTGATTTCCGCGGTTTCAGTAAGTACATTCTGCATTAATGTTGACCTCTGTTTAAGAAGCCGAACACACCTACAATAAGTACGCCTTGTGGTACCGCGCGCATCTTTCTTTTTTGTACTTTTTCGCGAATATGCTGCGAATTGAGAAATCTGGAAGTATTCGAAGTTCGAACAGTATTTATACGAGTAGGTACTTGTGTATAAGATCCACTAATCTAGGAGTGATTAGACAACTGCAATCGGCGCGCAGTTAAGTAGTGACCGTCGGTCCGTCTTTAACGTAAGTACAGTAAAACCTGGTAACTAAATACACCGACGGTTCCGCAAATCCCGTATTCATTATCCAGGTGTACATATTTAATTTTCAGAACTGCCCCCAGGCCCGGGCCCAAGGGTAGTAAACATTTTCGCCCCCCTCCCCGGTTAATACATATAGCAGAACTATTACATTTGTGCAGTATGTTAGCTTCGGTAAAGTAATATTAGAACATGCACTGTGCACTTCGCTTACAATTGAACGAAAAACTTACAGTTTAGCAAAAAAGAATCTAGCGTCTGTTGCTTTGCTTTCGCTGCATTAGCCAGCTTTTTCTCCAAAGTCAAATCATTTCGCTTCCATTTGTCGACGATAGTTAATTTTTAACGGTATTAAACTCAAAGACTGGCAACACACTGTTTTTCATCTGCTCGACGTAGCCAAGTTCTGCATGACACTTACAACTGATTTTAAGTTTTTAACGCGGAAGTTTTGTTGTATTTTGTTTGTCTTGGCAGAGTGTATGTAGCCAGCAGGTTCTTACATATGCATCCGGTTATATAAGACCAAAAGTGTATGTAAGCCTATTATACAGGTGTATGCACTGTACAGGATCCCCCTTATGTTATAGTCTACGGGATGCGCCGGTTCCGATTTCAGCGTATGTATTTACTTTCCAGGTGTATTTGTTTACCAGGTGTATGTAGAGACAGGTTTTACTGTATTGTAACTTCAGCCGTTTTGACGTCCATTTAGCGGCTCGATCAAAGTGTGAGCATTGGCGCACTCTGCCTGGTTCTGGTTTATATCCCAGGCAACTGATTTTAAGTTTCAAGTACGACTGTACGAGTACCGTACTACTGTATTGCACTCATCTGTACTACATAGTATTTTGACTTACTTTTTGATGCTAATTGTAAGTTGCTAACCGTTGGCTACTACATTTGCACCATTAATACTTTTTCTTGTTTCATAATGATAACTTGCGTTGTAGTGTGCTGCATTATCGCATTTATCACCGAGTGATAGGTGCGTAGCTGTAATGAATCCTAACCGCATTCACTTTTGACAGATTCAATTCATCCTAAGACTGATACGAGGATGGCTGATACAATCTCCCAGAAAGCAGGAGCCTCTAGCGGGAGAGCGGTCCTTGCTGGGGAGCTCATTATGGATTGCGCGCCTTTGGTATGGTCGCTGGAATGGCGTAATCACACGGTGTTTTGTGCACACTGCCTCCAACGTTCGTCGCATTTGAGAACCTGCACGCGATGTCACACGTACCGCTACTGCGGGGAATCATGTCAGGTACGCTGCGCTTTACAGCTGCACCTTTAACTTGCCCTTCCGTTACTGTTTAACCGACAAGCGGTTCTGGGTGTCGGGATATGGGTGTCTTTGTACGCATTACGCAGCTAGGCCAGCTACCTATGGCTTATGAGCGCATTTTACGTTGCGTTTAAAACTTTAAAAAATGCCTGTGACCAAAGAATTTCCATGCCTAATGCATGTCAATAAAGCAACCTATGCGAACTGAATGTACTGTTGCAGAAACAAGACTGGAAGAAAGAGCACAAGTCCGAATGTTTGCTGCTGAAAGGCATCAGCGATTACAAAACGAAGTTAACGAACTGTCGATCGGTTTCGACGTGGGAAATGGATTCGTTATTAACGGTGGAGGTGTTGATGCTGATCAAGATGATGAACGGGATCAATGTAAGATATGTGACATTGTAGCTAAAATTGACTTTAACTTGGGCTTGGTGATACTGGAAAACAGTGAAGACTGGATTGCCCCTTCGCTTTTGCAGAACATTCTTAAATGTGGCTTTCTGGCTCGATGGCAGGCATTCTCGCATGATGAGAGGCAATCCACGTCCGTCCAAAATGTTTTGAACTTGTTTCCGTATGATCATACGAAGCAGAACCCGAAGTAAGTACTGTAAGCATCATAATTATTTAATTATCTGTTCCGAAAAGACGGAAACTGATTAATTTTAAAACCGGGAAGTTATGTTTGTGTATCTTTCAAAGTTTTCCCTCGTTAATCATTCCATGAAAAATGTAGATTCCTGCAGCTTGTTCAAAAAAAGCTCTTCCGAGACCTTTTGAATGCGGCTTTCGCGGAGTTGTCAAGGGAATTGCCAAAATCCTTTTCCGACGCTCTTCTCATCGAAATGTACAACAGAATCTGCCAGAACTGTCACTGGATGGCTGACCATACCGAGGACAAAGCAGGCCGGGCGCCGTATGCGGCAGGACTGTATTTCGACGCGTTGCAGTGTAACATGGTGCGGGTCTGCTCGGATCACAATGCCACGGTTGTCTTCCAAGGCAAACGACTGCAGTTGCTGGCTATTGAAGATATTCCCAGTTACACTGGACTCCAAGACGTGAGAGAATCCTTTCGCGCGAAAATCGACAGTTTTATTTTCAATAACAACGAACGTTAATTTGCAAATGCGGTGCTGTGATTTGACCCGCTTCCCTTTTCAATGGCCCATCAAAGAGCGTCGACAGTTGTTCGAAGAAGAGTTCGGACGCGTGTGCGAGTGTCGCAAATGCACACCGGAATATGTAAGCGGATTTAAAATGGCAATAATTTTACAAACTTTTCATGGTTTTCGGCTCCATGAGACGCACATTACTGTGCGCTGCACAATGTGAAAACAGTGCAACGGAAGGCTTAACGGTAGTAAATTCGATTAGGGTTGAACCGGTTTTGCGGTTACAGTCAGTTCCGCAACAGGATAAGCTTAATAAAAAGAGTATGGCTGGCAATCAGTTACCAATCAGTTAAAGCGACGATCACTGTCGCACCAATGTAAAGTTGTAAACCAATGACGTCTAGCGGTCCAGCGTTATCCAAAGTTAATTATGACAGCCTTGACCGAAGTTATTAATTAGTTAAAATTTTATTATGCCCACCTTCCTCCGGTCCAATGTTTACTTCTGTAGGAAGCGCACGTTAATCCACTAAAATGTACAACAAAAGGGTGTTCGGAACGCATACCCAGTGATGAGCGAGCCTTACTCCCGTGTGCCCAGTGCGGCGCCATTAACGAAGGCAAACTGCGTAAACTGAAGGCTCTATTGGACAAATATGCCGGCCTATTCGATGTGACATGCCCTTTCCAAACGGCAAATATGGATTCTCATGAAAGCCTGACGAAGCGCATTCATCTGCTGCAGGAACTGGAGGCGGGTGACATTCTGCAACCTGAAGCGCATCTGCGCTTCGTCACTGGATGGAATGTGGCGCGGTTCTATGAGAATACGAACCGGTGCCACGAAGCATTGAAATTGTATCGTGAATTGGTGGTTTGCGTTCGGTACGCTTTCGCAAAACTGCAATATAACAAAATTAAACCGATTTGTTTACCTGTTTTGTAGTATGTATTTTTTCGCTATGTGTAAAATGTTTTAACAGCTTCAGTTTACATGATTGCGATGCTTGAATTTTGTAGAATTATGTTTCCGCGGTATCATCTGCATCGTGCTCAGTTTGTGCATTGGGCGGCACTTTGTGCACCTAATTGGTGGACGCAGTCGTTGGGAACATTTGGCGGGCAGGATGGGAAAACTAAACCCTCGATGCCGCTGATCAAGGCAGCACTGAAGGAGTCGATGGACTGGGTCCGGGAATCTGTGGAGATTTACTGGAAATTGTATGGAAAAAATTGTGCCGTAGCCAACGAAGCAATGATGAGACTCGACGCGACGAAGATGTTATTGAGTCAGATGTCTAAGATGCGCTGAATCGCTGTTCGTTATAAGTATCAATGCAGCATCGATGTCGTTATTGAATTTGCAATATTTTTTGTTGTTATTGTTTTTCGAAACGTTAATTACAGGCGGTGATCGCATTTTATTCAGTACCGGTATACTTTGCGGCGTTTCTAATTAATCGCTATCGGTGGTCAGTTTTGATTATAAGTATTTCCCTTCTGTCTGGTTTGCTGCGCGCTTGGTACAACAGTTCTTGATGAAATCACGTGGCGCATTGTTATTTAATAAAATTAGTTTATGTTTCCTGAGATCGGAGACATCCGAAATCGAGTATTTCCTTTAGCTGCGTAATCATAGCATAATGTGTATGGTACAACTACTTAACGTTAAGCGAAGGCGGCTTATAATCGGTTTGAGCACGCGTTGCCGCATCTGTAGCTCAACATAGTTGATTAATATTTCTAACGCAATCCCAGTCTGACGATTCTGGCGGCTCGCTCGTATACTTCGTACAACACTTATTGCCTGTAGGATAATTATGTAAGCGCTGATGTGGAATTCAACTTCAAGTACCACCAAAGAGATGTGCATCCTTAACGTTCGTCTTGTAGCTCATAGCGGCAACCATGCCCGCAGTAAATTGAAGTGGAATCACATTCAAGAGAAAATATAAACACAACAGCAACAATTCTTGTTCAAGCCAGCCGCGTACTCCGTACAATATTTTACCTGTCGTCCGTCGGCCTAGTTTGCAATATTCTATTCCAACTTAGCAGTAGTAAGATATATTTGTGCCTTTATATTTGTAAGTATTGTTGATTGCCTTTATGGCGCCAGCACAGCGAAGCCGCAGAATATTTTTTCTTCGGTGATATTAAGTTTTTTGTGTCTCATACAGTACGTAGATTGTGAAGTTTTTGCTGCATTCTCACTATGTATTCCGCAGGTGCGCTGCAGAGAGTTCTAATGGAGTCCCAGAACCGATCGTTAACCGCCGGGGACGTCATTGTCGAGTGTGATCCGTGGATTTGGTCATTCGACTGGGGAAATGAAGAGAAATTTTGCGCTGGTTGTTTTCGATCCCTTCCTTCTTGCAGACTGCAGGCATGCTCTGGATGCCAGACATACCGATACTGCGATGAAAGTTGCCAGGTACAGGGCAATTTTTACAAGACAATATCAGAAGGCGGAAGTTGACGCTTCAGGACTCTTTTTTCATTTCCCTTTGGGAGTATTCGGGGCGCATACCCCGATCCAATACCTACGTTATTTACGTGCCTGCATAATGCACAAAAAGAACAGTTATTGCAACACGAGCGTATACCGTAATAATTCATAATCATTAGCTTTGTCTGTACAGCTATCTGTACAATAAATGTGCATGCAGTCTGTTTTGCCGGCTCGATCGATGTCTTTTGGCCTGATGGCGTACAAAATACAATACAGCATATGCTTATTGTACTTTGTAAAATTTATTGATTGTGATTTGGTAGCAGATACGTGTTGAGTATTGGCCATTTAAAGTCTGTATTCATATTTCATAATTGATACGGGATATACGCAAACAGTGACGTTATGTTATGGATTTTGTTATTTATGTAATTTCTGTGGAAAAATATTCTAGTATGATACGTATATACTGTAGATGAGTGTAAAAATGGTTAGAAATTAAATTTATACGTTGTGACTACATTAATTTTTGCATCGTAACTGTGTTAATCAGCACCGTTTACGCACATTTTTTGATTCACGGTGTACGCAGATATGCACCGTTAAAGCAGTACCGTTGTAGCAGGTGGATTCACGATCAGAAATGTGATTTGTGTTTTAGATTCAACACTGGAGAAACGAGCACAAAACGGAATGCTCTCTGCTTCATCGCATTTCCGCGTACCATCAAGCAGTCGGTCCCGAAGCAAATGAGTTCAATAGCGTATTTGCGGCGGACATAATAGTCACCCTTAAAATCCTTAACAAAATCAGTGTAAGAAATATTACGGAAAGCTGCCAAAACAATAACATCTTATCACATCTCGTCTGCCGGCCAAGATTGGTGATTCTACAGTAGATCTGTTAAATTTTCCTCAACCTGTGTCCATGCAGAAATCCCGTAAAGAAGACAAAGAGGATGAACTGGTCCAGAGAATTATTCAACTGCTCACAGCGGACAAAGATAATCTCTCTTCTGGGCAAAGGAACGCCAATAAAGAGTGGTATAAAATTTCGAAATTACAGTAGCGTATTATTTATTCAATGTATATCTGTATATACATTGCTAAAGGTCATGCATTACAAGTTTTACTAGGTTTCAAAGACTGAGCCGGAAACCGCGCTTTCGCGGCTTGTTAGCAGCAGCCTTTCCGGAACAGCCTAATATCACTTGTGACCCTTGGTTTGGTCGCAGTATCGCGGACATTCATAGCAGAGTCTGCAGTCGCATGTTGACAATCGTTGACCATACCCCTGATCACGTGTCGGAGTTTCCGTGGAAGCGGATTATTTCCGGGTGTCGACGGAAGCCGTCTGAATCCAGTCTGCTCGGATGATAATGCTGTGGTGATGTTCAAAGGCAAACACCTGCGAATGATTGCGCTACAAGACATTCCCTATTACACTGGATTGCACGATGTGAGTTGTGCAAGGTGTGATTTAAATATTATGCTGGTGTCACACAGTGCGCTTTCATCGTAATTCGGAATAATTTTCCGAAAAGTTTATAAAATGTAAATCAGTTGTAAATAAAATCTAAATTAACTTCATTATTTTAATGTTGCCTGTTATGTATAGGAAATTATCGAGATCTATATATTTACCAATCGCATCTTCTGCAGAACTGGCTTGAAAATGGTTTTCAGCCTTACACAGAGTGTCGCCGCAAAGCGTTGTAATCAATCAATATACAACGTCAAATCGTGAAATGGAAACGACACACGACTAAAATTCTTGATTCTTGTAACCGAAGTTTCCATTTTACGATTGCTATTTGTCATAAGATTTCGATGAAAGTAAGATTTCGCAAGATTTCGATTGAATTACGAATTTACGATGGAAGTATGAACTACAGTACGTATAATTACCCAAGCTGCATATAATGCGATACGTGAGCAATAACAGGAGTAACTCATGGATTTAATGTTTGCAGATACGAACTTGCGATCAGTCTCGTTTTGCGTTGAAATGGCCATTGCAACAGCGCCAAGAAATGTTTGTCAAAGATTATAGCCTCGTATGCGACTGTCGCAAATGCACACCGGCATACGTATGAACTCAACATACTTTAGAGTCAAATTCGTCATGCGTAATATTTGGTACATAATAGTCCTTCACTGTAGGAAGCGGAAATTAATCCCATGAAATGCATCACACCCGGTTGTCCGGAGCGTATACCTAGCGATGAGCGCGCTGCACTGGCGTGTCCACATTGCGGTGCTATCAACGAAGCTAGTTTGCTAAAGTATAAGAAATTCAGGAAAAAACACGGGAAAGTGTTCAACGCAATGGCCCGGCCGTTTCCTTCTGGTTACGAAAGCGACGGAATGGAGCTGATGCGCGAACGTCTCTGCTTTCTGGACGATCTGGATCACGCTGATATTCTGCACGCCGATTCCCATCTTCGCTTTATTATTGGATGGGACGTGGCGCGCTGGTGCGAGGATACTCGCCGATTTGAGCGGGCAGCGCAGCTATACCGTGACATGGTTCCGTGTCTTCGGTGCGTCGGCATTAATAAAATCTGTTATACTGGTTTTGCTAAGGCATCGATTTGGTGCAATTTCAGTAGCAGAAATAGTGCAGAGACACTCTACCCTCGTATTTGAATTTTCAGGATAATATATCCCAAGTATCATCCTCATTTGGCGAAATATCTGCACCAGGCCGGACGTTTTGCTAAGGGATGGTATCAGTTTTCGGATGACAAGTATTTTGCAGTACCGGTGATAAAGCCAGCGATGTTGGAAGCGGTTCACTGGTTAGCCGAATCGTACAAGATTTACGCGCAGCTGCTGGGAGAGGAGTGTGATGTAGCTTGTGAAATCATGGATGAAATAGAGAAGACAGGAGACATGTATCATCAGCTTTTGCGAACCGAGCAGCTTGATGTGGACTTGGACTAAAGTTAATTTCCGTTACTGCGATTAATTTAGTTTTGTAAAAATTGTAAGTAGGAGTACGTATGCACTGCATAATATGAAATTACGTACGTCCGTTTGATTGAGTTAGCATAACGGCCATGAAGACTGATATAATATTTTTACAATAATTTGAAGTCGTGTGTGTATAATTAAACGAAATTGTCGGATTAGTCTACTACAAAAGAAATATAATGTAAGATAGATTTCTAGTCCCATATAACTGTACAAAGATACGGCACCATACGAAACAGATATGTATGGCGAATTTTACTGTTTAAGAAGTACGAGACTCGTATTGACCAAAGTATTGTCGTCGGGACAGTTTGGAGTTCATTAGTGCTGGGCCACTGCTGGCTTTTAAATTTGTCCACGGGTATAAACAGCTGTAAAACGGTTTACCTACTTCGTGGAATATATTCAAAGCAGAAACCGTGAAAACACTTTCTAAACCTTTTTGAATTCGTATTCATATTGCACCGAGTCACCGACTGCTTCAGTTCTGCTTCCTGATTTTGTGTACTTCACCGAAATATCGGCTGTTAATAATTATATCCGCCTACTAAAATTATGGGAACATTCTTACTACTGGGTAAGGAACGGCTAGTTGCAATAGTTATTACTGTATATTTGCATTTCTCCGCCTCCATCCAGTCATTTTAACCGGCGATGATACATCCATGTAAGCACAAGTCTGGTTTCACCAAAAGGAATATGAGTACGTGCAACAGCATTTTGTAAGTGAATTCAAATAGCGCAAACCTGCTTTGTAACAGCAGCGACAGAGACGTGCAACCACTTTGCAAAATGTGACACGCACCCAGTAGCTACAAATACTACCTGTAGGCTGTAGCTACTCGAGTAGCATTCTACACGCGGCTGTCATGTTTTTGCGTGTTGAATGTTTGCTTTGCTACTGTTGTTTTGAATAAACTCTAGGAGTTAATTCTGATAGTCGGTGTTGGTAAAATGCACAAATTCCGTTTACAATCAATGTACTCAATGGGTGTACATAAGCCGGACATAGTCTTACTCGCGTGGTTTTCAGCATAAGCTATAGTAATAACGATAAATATACAACGATAAAACTTCCACAAAAAGAATTTGATCAAAGACTGCTATTGTTCGCCAATGGATTCCAAAGAAAACGCTTTCCGTGCTGGGGTGATTATTGTGGAACGTGAGCCCTGGGTATGGTCATTTCAGTGGGGGAACGAAGACAAATTCTGCGCTAAATGTTTTGGAGTCTCTGATAAGCTGCGCGTTTGTTCTGGATGCAAGGTACATCGGTACTGCGGGGAAGATTGTCAGGTGCGATACAAACAGTGTTTGTGATGTCCCTGCTGTGCACCCGTTCTTGTGCTCCTGAAAGTGGTATACTGTTGGAGAGTTAGAGTTCTGCCTCTCTGCATTTAGTTCTTTGGAGTGAATGCTGAATATAATTTGGATTTCCAGCGTTAACCCATTAAAACAATATCTGGCATATCTCCGCTTTTACAACTACTACTCGAAGCTTAATGATGGTTTAAGTAAAGTTAGGGCTACAATTTAAGCATAAATAGCTTAAACTAATTAATTTGGTTTAATGGCAAATTTACAGACTTTGGTATTATCCAACATGAGTAACTGTTTTGCAGCGTTCCGACTGGAAAAAAGAGCACAAACTGGAATGTGCTATGCTGAAACGCATCAGTGTCTACAAGCACCAAATGCAGTATGAATCACAGACAGCTGCTTTGTGCACAACGGAAATGATGATACTGCTCAAAGTCCTGAACAGAGTCAAACAGAACCCGGACATCGTGCTAAAAAACGTGGGAAAAATCCTGGTTAATGCAGCAACTGCCCAGAAAATTCCGATACGCGCGACTCCGGCACAGCTTCAGCTACTGGAGGTTAGTTCGCGCATGGAGATCATCATGAGATGTGTGACTTCGAACGCTCCCAGTGTTACCCATCTCGCATTCCTTCTTCCTTCCATCGGCGAAGGATTGGTTGCAGAATAACACGCATATAATATAACACACATACTTGTTGTATATTTTACAATACAACAACCGTAAAAACTATAAGTAAGGTATGTATCTCTACTGATAATTGATTAGCTATCTCACATGGTTTTCTTCTCAGCAGACTACCGGTACTGACGAGGAAGAAGATGCAGCCCGGGAGTTTACGTCGTTGCTCATCTCCGATAATGATGACCATCTGCCACATACAAGTCAATCGAAAATGGCTGGCGAGTAAGTTCGGTATAAGAAGTCAATTACTTGAAACACTTGGATATTAATATCTGTAGCCTGTATTTAGGTTCCGAAAACTAAGGCAGAAACCATATTTCCGCGGCTTGATGGAGGCGGCGTTTCCCGACAAACCAGATATTGCCTATCAGCCCTTGTTCAATTCGGATATTGCCGACATCCATGATCGAATTCACTGTCGTATGCTGACGATAACCGACTATGTGTCTCTCCCCTTACCGGTGAATTTTGGGGCAGGACTGTTTCCGGGTGTCGAAAGAAACCACATCATATCGAAATGTTCGGATAACAACGCTGTTATTGTGTTTCGAGGGAGGCGCTTGCACATGGTGGCAATGGAAGATATTCCCAGTTACACTGGAATATCAGATGCAAGTTACCGGTTATGGTTCAGTTTAACGAACATTTTTTCTACTTGCTATACTCAGTGTTGCATGGTATCTATTTGTAGGCGCGATGCTGCGACTTATCCCTCTTTCCGTTAAACTGGCCTTTAAAACAGCGCCGGGAACTGTTCCAAAAATATTACGAAAGAGTGTGCAACTGCCGCAAATGCACGCCGGAATTTGTAAGCAGCGTTAACAATTGTGCGAGTGGTGTCTTATGTATTTGCTCGATAGTACTCGTATTTGCCGGTCATTGCAGGAAGCGGAGATAAATCCCCTACGTTGCGTAACAATAAACTGCCCAGAACGCATCCCTAGCGATGAACGTGCATTACTGCCGTGTGCACATTGTAGTGCCGTGAATGGGTCCAAGTTGCAAAAGTTGGGAAAGGTCATGAAGAAATATGACAAACTGCTGGATACACTAGCTCATAATGAGCATAATGATACCGATAGCTGTGAAATGTTGGAGGAGCGGATTCGTTTCTTGGGCGAATTGGATAGTGATAGCATTTTGCACACCGACGCTCACCTTCGCTTTGCCCTGGGATGGGATGTGGCTCGGTATTATGCGGGGACTATGCGTTGGCCCTTGGCAGCACAGTTGTATCGCGAGATAGTTCCCTGTCTTCGGTAGGAACGTGTTCGCGTATTGCAGAATTAGAAAAGCTTTCAGAAGACATAAGTGCTTCTTCATCTTGTACCAATGTATCCATACTTGAATCAATAGCCTATATCTGTATACAGTATACAGAGTACTGTACGATTTTGTAATACCAGTACAAGTACCTTATCACATACAACTACAATACAGAGTATCAAATTAATAACTTATATCTCCAGCAGTATTTGGCTACATAATTATCTGTATAAAGTCCACTTTTTGCAGGAAAATTTACCCTAAATATCACCCGCATTTGGCCCGATATCTCCGTCGAGCGGGACTTTTCGCGTTGATGTGGTTTGACCATCCACGATCGGATGATAAGTATTTTGCAGTGCCGCTGATAAAAAAGGCCATGTCCGAGGGAGTTGACTGGCTAGCAGAATCCTACAGGATTTATGTGAAACTGTGTGGAGAAAACTCTCACGTGGCCAGTGAACTGGTGAATACATTGGAAGCTGCCGCTGACATGTATCGTCAGCTGCTCAGGAGGGAGGAGCAGGACGAGCACTCGGAAGTGTTGCGCGTGTTGCAGAATATGAGCTATCACAATATGATGGTAATGTCTGACAGTACTAATACGAAGAATGATTAAGATCGGTTGATGACCGCTGCTGTAATAGAGGCAGATTCATTTGAGTTTATGCACACGATGTTCATAAGTTAATTAAATTTCCTGCTTTCCTAATTTCATGAGATCCCTGTTTATATATCATTTGCAACTGCATAAATTTCTGCATAAAAACCAATAATTTATTACTTTTCTGCAGTTACAGTACATCCCTGCGTTCCATTGTTTTAAACAGATACAATATAATTATTTATACATCAGCCAGTCATCGGCAAATAATTATGTTAACGTAAAATTTTGAAACCAAGAACGTATGGGAAAGACGACAAGACTAAAAACCAAAAGTCAGAAAGTATAAAATTTATCACACATGACTAAAAAACCAAAAGCCAGAAAGTATGAAATTCATAACACGACTACCTGTACAGTGTTCACTTCCCGTGCAGCAAAAAATTATGCCAAAACACCGGCTAATTCAACTGGACTGCGCGCTTCGCAACCATCAAACGACATTATCCAGGAGGATGTCGATATTCTGCTGGTAGTCGGCAATATCATCTTGGCCTTGTGCCGTCGCATGCAGAATGTTATTCCGATCGATGCTGTAGGTGACATCAAACGCGCATTCTCTCGCCATCCGCCCGGGCAAATCGGAAATGACAAATCGGCCAATGCGAAATTTGTCCAGACTGAACCCACGTTTACTCTGGTAAATGTTGAAACCCACGCTATCTTGATAATCGTAAGCCGTGACAAAAACTTTCGTGATACTTGAAGGGTACGTTTTTCCTCTGGGAATCAGGTCGCTGATACGCGTAGTGCCCATTAGCAAATCATCGACCACCTCCAGTCCGTAGTGGTAGGCGGTGACTTCCTGGACATTGGTGGCCTGTCGGTTGTTAATCCGGTAGGACTGGATGGCGGCGCCGCGGGCGATCGCCTCATCCGGGTCGGCATCCGCGCACACCACCCCGTCCCGGCCGAAAAACGCCTGCAGGGTGTCCTTCACCACCGGCAGCCGGCTACTGCCGCCCACCAAAATGACCTTGTCGATATCTCCCGGACACAGATTAGCGGCTTCCAGGGCGTTTTCCACGGGGACCAGGATCTTCGCGAGCAGATCGGTGAACATACCACTAAAGGTCGCTTTGGTCAGCGTCGCGTTGTAATCAAAGTTCCCGTGCAGTTTGTGCAGGGTTTCCCGAAATGTACCGGAGTACGTACTGGACAGAGCGATCTTGGCCTTCTCGGCGGTCAGCTTCAGTTTCGCCAGGGCTTTGCTATCAGCTGCCAGCTCGATCATGTGACGGCGGCGAATGTCGTCCAGGAAGTGCTGAACGATCTCACTGTCGAAGTTCTCTCCGCCCAAGTACATGTTGCCGTCGGTGCTCAAGACGCGGTATTCGTTGCGGCCCTCTACCTTCATAATACTGACATCCAGTGTGCCGCCGCCGAAATCGAACACCAGAATCGAGCACTGCTTCTCCACGACGCCGCCGTAAGCGATGGCGGCGGCGGTCGGCTCGTTCAGCAGACTGACCTCCGTGAAGCCGGCCAAGCGGGCGGCGGACAGCGTGGCGGCGCGTTGGGTCTCCATAAAATTAGCCGGAATCGTCACCACCGCTGCGGTCACTTTGCTGCCCAGAAACCCTTCTGCCATCTCCTTTAAATACGTCAGCATCGTGGCGCTGATCTGCTCCGGACGGATAACCTTGGTCCAAATGACTTCGCCGTTATCGCTACACTGTTCCACCTGCAACACAGCCGTATGCAATACAGGCAACAACAGGCATGACTACAGCGGTAATGCGTAGCGCTCCTGTATGCACCAAAAACTAATAAAATTATATAGCTCTTGTACTTGTCTGCCGAAGATTCGTTCATGATTACACAGCAACAGCTGATGTGGTATAGCTATTTTCCGAATTATTAATTTTCGAAACTTCGTCAAAATAATTGCGTGATTGAACTGTAAATACAAAACAATAAATCCAGAAACGATATTAAATAAAATAATAATTAGCCCAGGAGGATGGGAATCCCCGTGATTATTAATCAATATATTTTAGCATGAGTTACTTATTGTTATTTGTTGCTATTTAAATACATCAATAAGGAAAGGTGTTAATGATGCACTCGTACAATAACTGAACCGCTGCACACAATTCTAACGAGTACAGTAACTTGTTGCAAGTAGTGCTCTACACTTACCCGTATCGCCGCGGATCCGTTGTTATCAACGATTGCAAATGGCATCGAACGGCGCTCCGCAGCCACAGCGGGATCATCGAAACTGCGTCCAATGATGCGCTTCGCATTGCAAATGGTGTTGCGGCTGTTGTCCGGGCTCTGGCGCTTTGCATTTTTTCCTACTTCCATCCCGTCACTCTCCAAGCGGACCCATGACGGCGTGGTGGTGTCGCCGGCTGTGTTCTTTATCACCTGCGGACTGCGGCCATATTTGTAGACAAACAGACAACAATGCGTCGTTCCCAGATCGATACCGACTCCATCGGCCATGATATCTAGAAATCCAAAATTTAATAACGAACTACATGCCTTGTATGGGGCTCATGGGCGGAAGTCAAACATTCAAACACTTCGGAGCAACACGTGACCGTAAAGTACAGTACGGTTATAACGAAATAATACATAATACACGAAATAATAATGTACTTACATGCACAGTGATGCACTGGAGAAAACAATTCAATTATGGGATGGAATTCTGATTTCACAATGTGGATAGCAAATTCCGCGACAGGCGGTCGAGAAGCGAGCAAACGCAAAAGTGAGAATTGAGAACCCAAAATTTATGAATGCGAGTCTCGCAGAGACGGCTAGCAAGAACGGTCAAGCACGGTAAGTACTCGTACTCGTGCAAGGCCGTGCATGCGGTCAACGCACCGCGGTTGTCCAGGGTTTTTATGGCGAATTTGGCGAATCAGCGCCTCGTACAACTGCATTCTGAACCGGTACTATTAAACCATATTAGACTGTACTAGTACAGGACTATGTATTTATCACTGATACAGTGCGAGTACAAGAACTATGTACTGTAGTTAAACGAAAAAAATTAAAAAGTAATACAGTATTTACTGGCGCAGTTATTCATATCGTGGAATGTTGTTATAGTCACTATATAAAGTATATATAGTGCCATTGCTCCAGCATCTCATGTTGTATTTTTTTTATTTCGTCTTGCCTTCAGTGGTAACTGCATCCCAAATTCCATAATTCAGTGTTTTCGCATCCGCAGTTTCTGAAGCAGGATGGAGAAGCGCTAGATCCAATCATAATTTTTGGTAAGTGTCGACATGGTAGTTCCTGTACTGTCAACTGGCAGTTTTGAATTCTGCTTGCAAGTCAGTAACATTGTTTCCGCCATCTGCATTGCAGATCTGTGCAGCGTTCTGTTCATTAGTCTGTTGCCACCGTTTACCTGACCAATTTTAACTAGTAAGTGGCACTCACTACACTGTACGTATGAGTTCACTTTTTCCCAACAAGTTGGTTTTACCCTATAATTTACAGGTTACTGATCTTTTGGAAACCATGAGCGGATTACGACTGGGAGTGGAAATCGGATTCAAGAAGATTTCGGTGGCGCTGCTGGAGAACGGCGTGCCACGTATACTGTCCAGCTTTGCATCCATCGCGGCCTGCAGTCTTGATCTCACCGAATGGCATTTTGGTATGGACGCGCACAGCTACCAAAGGGACAGTAACTATCTCACCATCCCGTCTGTTAAACGTGCGCTGCTGGTTTTCGCATTCGGGACGGAGGATCCGCTTGTGCCATTCCTGTTGGAGCGACTCTTCGCTTATATCAAGATGATTGGGGAAACCGAACGCAAGCAGCGTCTTCAAGGCGTTGTTGTTGTTTTGTCGCATGGTCTGCACGCTCGCAAAGTGTTCCGTCAAGCGGTGATGGACGCCTGGCAGAAGAACGACGTTCCGGATGTGCTGCTTATCTCCGACGTGTCAGCCATTCTACTGGCGTATACCGTGCAAACGCTGGATCGGCAGTCCATCAGCACGAGCTCGACCGAATCGGTTTATCTCCTCGTATGCAATGCAGATTCCATGAACTGCCGATTAGGCGTCTTCGAGGTGATCAACAACAACCACGTCGTCAAATTCCTGAGTAAAAACTATGTTGTGTGGAACTGTTTCTGCTGGATGTGGAAGCGAGTTAAAAAAACCATCTATCAGCTGTTGAGGACCGCCGGTTTGCCGCGATTGGATCAGTGTACATCGGAGCAGCTTGACGAGGAGTGCATGGATCAGGTGGCACTGTTTAACGATCCCCGAACCGACAAGGTGACCATCCGCGCTCCGATTCCCCAGTATGTTGTAACGTTCACGCGGGAGATGTACAACGCGGTGGCGGAGCCGTTTATCAACGTCATCCGACAGCGTGTCGTGGCGGAGTTGAAGTTGTTCGGCATAATGGACGCCAACACCGGAGATATCTACGGAAAAGTGGAGCTGCTGCTGGTCGGTGAGAATTCTCGCTTGGGACTGTTGCGCACCGCGCTGGAAGAGGTGACGAAAAGCCAGGTGACTGCCGGCGCGGCGAGTTATGTGGACGATGCGGAGGCGTTTGGCGCGGCGATAGCCAGCAGTCTGGCGGGAAACACTGCGAATATCCACCGACAGCATCAACTCTTTCGACTGCAAGAGGGATACTCATTGAATATGGGAAAGTTATTGCAGACATTGCCACTACATGCCAATAGCGTTCTGGTACAACCGGCGCGGGATATCTTTATTAGTGAGCGCCCTGAGGTTGCCCTATCCGGCTGTTTATACGTCGGGGACCTGAAAAAGCCAGTTTCCACTTCCGGTTTTTGCCTGGTGTTGTCCACGCAGAAGATGGGAGGCTGCAAAGTGCACTGTATTGAGCTGGAGAGCAGCGCTGATGGGCATCCGGTAACGTATATGCGGATGTTGCTGGGTCGGAATGTGCTGCTGCAGTGGTGTGAATCACAGCAAACAGGAAGTGATCAGGCAGACGGTGAACACCTGTGCATACGCTTGCAGACGTCATTTACTTACCGCGAGAGCACTGGCTGGAGTAGTCTTGGTTTTATCGCGGATGACGCCAACGCCTTCAAGACGTTTATAGGGGAATACGACCAGCGGCAACGAGAGATGCTGAAAGCATCTCCTTATGCCGCGAAGGGTACGTATATGCTGTACGTATGAGTTCTATCATGTACGTATGAGTTCTATCATGGAGGTAATGGAGACAGTAGGCAGTGTTTATTACTCCTAATGGAATGCGTAGCGAGGACTGTAGTCGCTGCTGTTAATGTCAAACGCCGTGTATCTGCAGCTTACAAGTTAAGCAGGAAAGCTGTACTGGTATATAGTAGGTACGTATAAATATGTACTGGCATATAGAATTCAATACTTATAGAATTCAAAAGTTTTTGACAGAGTAAGCGCGTCCAAATGTGCAATGGTCATTTCCGGCGCTAAGATCTGAAGGCTTGGGAATTGGGTGTCTTTTCCATTAAATGCAGTATATTGTACGCATATATTTGCATTTCGGTACAATACTTAATATATTATAAGGAAATGCGTTTGTTGCTTTTTAGCGGATGAATCTTTCCCCAAGCTAGCGGGGTCATCATCGTCCTCGTTTGTCGCTCTTGTGTCAGACCAGTTGCCTACCAAGCATTCCCATGGAATCCATGAAGATCAGTATCATCCAAGCCTGATTACCGTAAATTACTTTTCCCCACAGAGCCTCGTTGTGGTGGTTCAACAGTGCCAGGAAGTCACCGGAAAGCTGCAAGTGATGGAAAGCGGTTTCGTTATCGAACGGCTGCATAAGATTTGCAAAGGGTCCGTGGAGAGCGCTACAGCCGTGCTCGAGTTGACTGTGCAAGATTGTGTTCGTGTCAGCTTTCCCAACGAAGCCAGTTGCTGGGAGTTTGTGAAAAAGTATACCGACTTTTGGCAGCACGCGGTGCATGGTGTGACCGGTTAAGTTATCGAAATGCCGGATAGAATGCTTTAGCAAAGACATAACGTTGCCATAAGTGCGTAGTTATATTAATTTTATTTTTTGGAATGCTAATTGGATGGTTATTTTGGCAGTTTGGTCTATCGTTTTTCGTGTTTTCCGCCGGTGTTTTGCCTTTCTGCAGTTCAGTTGACAGGCAGATAATTAGCAAGTCGTCGATGGTGTTGGTTTCAAATTTAAAAAGTGTGATAAATCTTTTAAATCAGTTTTATTCAAAGTCCTTTGCTGTGTTTCCAAGGAAATTAAAGTTTTAAAGTTTTATTTCATTGCAAAAAGCAGTAGACGATGCTAAAATGGTACGGTACGCACTGAAGTCAGTAAAAAGCGAACAAGAAATTTCTAAAAATTGATGATTTAATTGCAACAGAATCAGAAAACTGAATAAAAAAACTAAAAAAAGTTAAGGATGACTTTTCGGTGTGAATGTCGTCGGCGGTCACTCTGCTCTTTTTAATACTGCTCTCTGCTCTGCTTTAATACTGCTCTCTGCTCTGCTTTAATACTGCTCTCTGCTGCTGATCTCTCTGCTCTTTGTCAATTCTGATATGCTGGTGGTATTCCTTAATGAACGGCTACGCTTAAAATTTATCACAATTTCATTAGTTACTTATATATACTCAAAGTAAACAAAACCAAACTACCAATACCTTCGAACAGTGCCATTAAGCACATAAGAAAAGTTGTAGTTACTGCCAACAGTTTTTCAGATATCTATGTAGTTGCGATAAAAGAGACTCCAGCAGAGCTTCCGTTAGTATATGGTACGTTAATTTACGCGTGAAATATTTTATATTGTTGCCGAAGAATTACAAATTTTGTTTTAGGTACATGTCATTCTGTCTGGTACGTATTTGGGAAAGAAAGCTTCGTTTTTTGCTTTAGTAAATGCAGTCGGGTTTCGACTCAAATAGTGCAAGTACGAGTTAAGAGGACAGTCTGTACAGAGTACAGACATGGACAATTGTAGTTGGCTGTTCCACCTAAAAATACCTTTGTAGTTTATCTCGTTATCTGCCGTCCATCCACTGCCGACAGACCACTCAAAAGCCAAAACGATGCTGCTAACGTATGTGGCTCATTGGGTTTAAGTGCTCTTTAAAAAACGCAAAATTTGCTAAACTGCATCAGCAGACACGTGCGACCACTTATTTGCAAAATTTAAATGTGCCACGTACGTATCAGTAGCGAAAAGTTAACAGTCCTGCACCCTTCTGTATTCCTTTGCGTTGGGAATGGTTGCTATTGCGGCTTTTGTTTTATGATGGTAGAATCAAAATCTTTGATCATGGATTAAAAACTAAAGTATCTAACTCGTAGATTTCAAATTGTTTTTTTGCAACTTCTCAACAGCAGAGCAAAAGATCACCATGACCTGACGATGCTCAATGCCGGTAAAGCATAAGTTTACACGTTGACATAATCTACGGATAAAAGGATACAGAAAAACTCCGCAAGTGCAGTTCACGAATGGATTCGAAAGTGAAAGCGTTTCGTGCCGGAGATATTATTGTGGAATGTGAACCCTGGGTGTGGGCATTTCACTGGGGCACGGAAGACAAGTTTTGTGCAAATTGTTTTCAAATCTCCGATAATTTGCGCGCTTGCGCAAAGTGCCAGGTACATCGGTATTGTGGAGCGGATTGCCAGGTGCGATACATTCAGCGTTCGTTGGTGGTACAGAGTATATTCCTCGTTAAGAGCATGTCCAAGGGTTCAAGTGCAACGGCAGAAACGTATGTTGCATACAAAAAACTGCATTGGATGCTTATTTTTTCATTCTGTTTTTTAGCAAAATTGGTTAATCATTTAGTGCACTGGTTGGGCAATTGTTAAAGAATTTAGGTTTATATAAGGCACACATATAATAAAAAAATACGGTCAACCATTAGGGCCGTACAAGCCGGTTTGAATAATTAACACTAATTCAAAAAAATAACAAATATAAATGATTTGTTGCAGCGCAGGGACTGGAAGAAGGAACACAGGCTAGAATGCGCTATGCTGAAACGTATCAGCGTCTACAAACAGCAAATGCAAACTGAATCGCTGCTCGAAGCTTTGTGCATCGCGGAAATGATGATATTACTCAAAGTCCTCAACAAACATGAATTTTCCGCGGACAGTGTCATGAAGAACTTGAGGAACATTCTTGCTAATGCGCCAGCTTCCCACAGAATTCCCATACAGGCGACTTCTTCCGAGCTCCAGTCACCGGAGGTTAGTACATTTATTAAATAGCTTTAGAACGCGTGAAGTAGTTTCTCACATCCGCTGAGTAGCAGTGTTATACTGCAAGAAATTGAACAACTACACATTTCGCGTCGTTCCATTCATGTTTTTTAGAACGCACAATAGCATAGGCAAGTGTACAGGGACAATAACAGGGTATTGGTACATTACCTGATCTTATTATTAACAGACCGCCGGTTCGAACGAGAAAGAAGCTGTAGCGCGAGAGATTATCTCCTTACTTGTATCTGACAACGATGGTCATCTTCCGCATTCGAGCCTGTCCCAAATGGCGGCTGAGTAAGATCGCGCGCTGTAATTACTCATGCCCTTAGGCACTTGATTTTAACTGCTGTATTCAGATTTCAGAAGCTTAGGCAGAAGCCATACTTCCGTGGGTTAATGGAGGCGGCGTTTCCCGGTAGACCAGACATTATCGATAAACCTTTATTCGATTTGGATATTGCCGACATCCACAATCGAGTTCACTGTCGTATGCTGACGATGACCGACAGTTTATCTCTGTCTTTCCCAGTCCATTTTGGAGCAGGCCTGTTTCCCGGCGTCGAAAGAAACCGCATCATTTCGAAATGTTCGGATAATAATGCTGTTATTAAGATTCTTGGGAAGCGTTTGCGTATGGTTGCAATGGAGGATATTCCCAAGTATTCTGGATTGCAAGATGTAAGTCATCGGCTATGGTTCGCTTTCAGGAAGATATCTGTATACGGTAATTCAGTAGCTTGCTCTCGCCAATACTACGCGGTATATGCAGGTCAGATGCTGCAACATGGCTCACTTTCCATTGAGCTGGCCTTTAAAGCAGCGCCGAGAAGTGTTCCAGCAGGCTTACGAAACAATATGCAACTGTCGGAAATGCACGCCAGAATTTGTACGTCAGGGTCGAGATCGTTGGCTTTCTCCTACGACGCGCGACGACCGACTTATCACGCGTCGATTTATCGACTTATCACGCGTCGATTTATTCTTTTACCCGTCGTTGCAGGAAGCGGAGATTAATCCTCTCCGCTGTGTGACAAAAAATTGCTCAGAACGCATACCCAGCGACAAACGCGCCACACTGCGTTGTCAACGTTGTGGAGCCTGCAATGGGTCCAGACTGCAAAAGTTGCAGAAGATCACGAAGAAGTACGAAAAATTGTTGGATACGCTAGCTCTCAATCAGCAACCCGATCCCGATAGCAACGAAATGATGTCTGAACGAATTAATTTTTTGCAAGACTTGGATAAAGCTAGCATTTTACATACCGACGCTCATCTTCGCTTTGTCCTGGGATGGGATGTGGCTAGGTATTATGCGGGGACTAAGCGTTGGCCGCGGCCAACGCTTAGTCCCCGCATAATACCTAGCCGGAAGCAGCACAGTTGTATCGCGAGATAGTCCCCTGCCTTCGGTACGAACGTTTTGCAATCGGTAAAAACTTTCAGCAAAGAGAGATGAGTTCTGCACCTTCCTGTAAGTCAAATGAATTATATTGAAATAATTGAATAAGGATTACGTAGGATCAGACGGAGGTTTTTGAGAATTCATACTGTTTAAAAATGATCACTATTAAGTAATGGGAGACAGTTTTGTACATGGTGATAGTTTTTACAGGAAAATTTACCCTGAATATCACCCGCATTTGGCACTATATCTCCGTCAAGCTGGACTTTTCGCGGCGTTGTGGTTTGGACACCCGCTATCAGATGCCAAGTATTTTGCGGTGCCGCTGATTAAAAAGGCTATGTCAGAGGGAATTAACTGGCTAGCGGAATCCTACAGGATTTATGTGAAACTGTGTGGAGAAAACTCTCACTTGGTCAGTGAACTAGAAGTAACATTCGAAGCCGCAGCTGAAATGTATCGTCAGCTGCTCAGGAAGGAGGAGCAGGACGAGCACTCAAAATTGTTGCGCGTGTTGCAGGATATGAGCTATCACAATATGATGGTAATGTCGGGCAGTGAAAATACAGTAACAGATTCTGAGCCACGCACATACTCGTACTTGCGGACTTTGGTATTACTTTTTGTTTTGGCACTCATTTGGTTTTACGTTTTAGAATAACTCTCACGTAGCACTGTAGTCTACTGCGTGCATTGTGCTCCTGTGATCACATTCTTACTGCTTCATGGAATGCTTCGTTCAAGCTCATATTTTCACCAGATAGGCAACTTAAAAATTGCTGGTTTATTTAAGTACTCGCATGGTTTCATGAATCCCAGACAATCTTAGGACACATGGATATCTGCTTTCCAAACTGGCTGAGGTATTTAAAAAGGAAGATTCGACTTCCGATTGCTTAAACGTCAGAAATCTGGAAGTACAATGTACATACACCGTCCATGACACTACAAGCATCGGACAGAAAAATTATGTATAATCAAATAGCATCTCGAAAAATAATAAATCCTCACCACTGGTCCATGGTCAGGCCGATATTTTTATGGCGATGGAGTCTGAGAGGAGTCCCTAAATTTTCTGTCGGCAATACCAGCGCGGCAGCGCCCCGTACGGAAGGTCATCGGAACGAATAAGTACCTGCTGGATTTTCTTGCCTCCTGCTGGGTTCGCTAACTACATCCAATCACAGCAACGTCATCAAGTATCACGGTACCTTTTACTCTCTGAGGCTGATAGATAATGTCCGCGACATTTTTAAACGATTTCCTTGTCGGTCGAACTGAGCATTAGTTTAGGGTTCCACGCGAACAATGCAAATACGAGTGCGTACGCTCCTGCGCTTAGAATACGAGGACCTTTGTACATAGTTTGTCTGTTTGCATTCCACGCACTAGTGAATGTCTGGCCATGGTATTCATTAATAAGTTCCTCACATTGTTTAAGTGCTCTTCAAAAAAGCGCCAAACCTACATCGGCAAATGCTGACCCCGAGTAAAACAGCTTGTAGGAAAAACGTTAGTTTAACGTGTAACTACCGTTAGGTGAACGGATGTGTGTCAATTTTAGCCGTCTCCTAACGTTTAACTAACGTTTTTTTTGCAAGTTGTTTTACTGGGGGACGGCACTTATTAGTTACTTATTTGCAACTTTTCAATGTGCCACGCACGCATTAGTCAGTAAACAGTCTCGTACCATTCTGGCGCAGGCCTTTGCGTAGCAAACGCTAACATTATTGCTTTGTTTATTATAAGATAAACACTATTTCTGTCTGTTTTAAAGTGCGTCAAATTGTTTACTCAGAAATTAGCAACAGAAGGGCAAAAAATGGGCACTGGATGCGTACCTGTTACAATTTAAGTACGTTAACTTTACTTTGGGTAAAGTTAACGTACTTAAATTATTTATATTAAGGAATATATATAGATATAAGGTATATATATATATACGATTATAATACGAATAACCCAACAAGTACAAATTCCCGGATGGATACCACGGAAAAAGCTTTCCGTGCCGGAGATATTGTTGCGGAATGCGAGCCTTGGGTCTGGACATTTCAATGGGGAAAGGAAGACATATTTTGTGCTGGTTGTTTCCAATATTCTGATAATCTGCGGGCCTGCTCCAGATGTCATGTACATCGGTACTGTGGAGTGGATTGTCAGGTACGTCGATACAATTATACAGTTACAAAATAAAAATAAATAGTCAAATAATAAAGACAGTGTTCGTGGTGGTACGTTTCTCGCGAAAAGCGTCCTCAAGTACAATGTCGGGAAATGCTGCATAACAAAATAAAATAGCCAGAATATGGTGAATCTACGGTTTAGCGTGCTTATTTCGAGGCTGCATTACACCAACAAAAGGTTTTTAATCAGTCCCACTGCTTGGCTCTTTGAAAGATGAAATTTATAGACATAATTTATAAATTAAGTGAGCCGACCTGAATACGGTCAATCAAGAGCAGATAGGACCATATTTGAATATTATAATCGAAGAAGTGACCAACGGAAATAACGTGTTGCAGCGCTGGGACTGGAAGAAGGAACATCGATGGGAATGCGATATGTTAAAACGCATCAGTATGTACAAGCAGCAAATACAACCTCAATCGCTGACCGAGGCTTTGTGCACCACGGAAATGATGATATTACTCAAAATCTCCAACAAGCTCCTGAAAAATTCAGTGGAACAGCTACGAGGATGGGGTAAATGAGCTCGATGTATGGCAGGCCGTTCTATAACGCGAAATAATTGAAACAGCCGTTGAGATCGATAGCTGAAACTTTCCTCCATAGACTTGCATGCTAAACAAAATCCCTTCTGTGACTCTGACTCTGTCTCTGTCTAGCACATTTCGACCTAAAACGACTTAACCTTAGTTTCAAAAGAATGAGAAAAACTTCACAAGATTTCACTACCAAACAAGTTAATATTCATGATGTCAGTGACAAGTTATCGCCATTTCTGTTTTCAACATAGCAGAGTATTTGTGCGTCGAACCCGATCGGGACCTAAGAGTCTATGACCTATGCTATGTCTTCGATAACATACTGTAAATGGCGATAACTTGTCACTGCCAGCATGAATATTACTTGTTTGGTATCGAGCTGTGTTACCCCTTGCTCGGGTATATCGAGCTCAAAGTTTACCATCCTCGTAGTTGATGCGGCAGCTTTCCACGGAATCCCGCTTCTGGACACTTTTGTCAAGCTACAGTTGCTGGAGGTCAGTTAAGTAAGCCTTTGAAGCGCGTGTACAATACTGTCAAGGGCACGGGATGTAGGACGTGCCCTGACGTGGTGGGCCGACACAACTGAAGCTGAACCTTTATTGGCTACTCTCTGCTCTTGCATATAATGCGCTAGTATTATACAGGAAGGCAACAAACAAACAAACTCGTCGAAGGCTAGATTGCACAATGAACGATGAGCAATAGCAGCGCTAAATGCTAATGATTGAATTTTGAAAGCACTCGACACTTGGAACAACGTGAGGATGACACAGAAAACAGAGAATCGCCATATACGGAAGCATCTAAACAAGCTATGGCACGAGGAGCACTCGTGACAGTATATACAACATATGGATATATATTTTCTTTCTATTATATATGGAAAGAAGTTCTCTGTTGCAAGAAACTTAATGAAACATTCCCATCCTTTTCTTGTCAACGTTTCCAGACCAAGTTACTAGCTGCACAGTGGCACAGCTACAACTATAGACAGATATACGTAATACTAGCTGGTACTTACATACCTTCCATGACCTTCTCCTCAACAGATCACCGGGACGGACGACGTAGAAGTTGCCACACGAGAGATTATGTCTTTATTCGAGCCCGATAATGATGACCATCTTCCTCATTCGAGCCTGTCCAAAGTGGCGGCTGAGTAAGCTCGGACTAACAAATACCGTTCTTCAGAACTTACCTTCGGCTTTGAGTATCTATATGAGGCTATATCTGTGTGTTTAGGTTCCGGAAAACCAAAGAGACCCCACAATTTCGCGGCTTGATGAAGGCGACGTTTCCCGAAACGCCAGCCATTGCTCACAGTTCCAGTTTGTTCAGTGTGGATATCGCCGACATCCACGATCGAATTGAATGTCGTATTCTGACGATCATGGACTACGTGTCTCGATCACGCCCCGTTTGCTTAGGAGCCGGGCTATTTGCGGGGATCGAAAGAAACCGTATCATATCGAATTGCTTGGATAACAATGCTGCAATAGCATTTCGTGGGAAGCGCTTGCAAATGTTGGCAATGGAAGATATCCTCAAGTACACTGGATTACAAGATGCAAGTCATCGGATACGCTTCTTTGGCTTCAACATACAGTATATAGATATAATATAATATACGAGATTAACAATATACATATCGATAACACCAAATCGCTAATACGGCGCATTATACAGCAGTTTACTTATTTTAGGCACGGTGCTGCAACTTAGCTCATTTTCCATTTAAACTGGCCTTTAAAACAACGCCGAGAACTGTTTCAGCAGTCTTGTGATAGGATATGCAACTGCCGCAAGTGCTCTGCAGAATTTGTAAGCCAGTGTCATGACCGTTGGAATTTTTGTTTGATCAAGCCCTCGTCTGCAAGTACCGTAATATTTTCACTACTACTGTTTTGCAAATGTTAGCACGTGTCGTTTTAGGAAGCGGAAATTAATCCTCTCTGTTGTATGACAAAAGATTGCCCAGAACGTATACCGAGCGACGAACGTGCCTTACTACCATGCCCACACTGCGGTGTTATTAACGAGCCCAACCTGCAGAAATTGCTAAAGGTCACGAAGAGATACGAAAACTTTTTGGATACGCAAGCTTACAACCTGCATCGCGACCCAAATAACCGTGAAGCGATGACTGAAAGGATTCATTTCTTACAAGAATTGGATACGAACAGCATTCTGCACACGGATGCACATCTTCGCTTTGTCTTGGGATGGGGCGTGGCTCGGTATTACGCTGGTGCTACGCGTTTCCGGGAGGCAGCACAGTTATATCGCGAGATAGTGCCATGCCTTCGGTATAAAACTTTTGATAAATTACTGTAGGTTAAGAGCTTTGATTTCACCAAGTACGTCAGGTACCAGAGAACTGAAAACAGCATTGCAGTAGTAGCACATTTAGAAAATGTTGCTGAGGTTTATGGTATATGATTAATAGCGCGTCACTTCTTGCAGGAAAATTTATCCCCAGTATCATCCGCATCTGGCACGATATCTCCGTCTGGCCGGACGTTTCGTCATGACGTGGTGCGATCATCCCCAGTCGATGGTCCACGGTTTTACTGTGCCGCTGTTCAAACATGCCATGACAGATGGAATAAACTGGTTAAATGAATCCTGCAAAATTTACAGGAAACTGTGTGGAGAAAACTCCCATGTGGTCTGTGAGTTGGAGAAAACAATTTCGGAGATGCAGCGCATATACATGGTCCATGCATCTGCGTATGCATCTACGTATGGAGGTCGTGAGTGCTCATCCCTGAGAGGCTCGGATGGAGTATAACGATTTCCGACCGGGAGATGCATAGTGAATATGCAGTAGCATGCGGTGCCTACCTGTACATTTAGCCATAAATATGCTACTTGTGATTTTAATGGAATCCTTTGCCTTAAACTTCTGAGTTTCGTAGAATCCCCATTCCTTGGTATTTCAATCTTGCACGTCTTGATATCTTAAGAACGCTTTGAAAGAAAAGCCAAAAGAGTTAGACAAATTAAACCAATGTCCATCACAAGCTTATACGGCGAAGCTTTTGCATAAAACTAAATCTACTCCGAATAGCAAATAATTCTTGGCAGGGATGTCTAAGTGTTTGCGGCAATGACGTCTGAAGAGTCGATTATTTTTCCGTCGGCAAATGCCCGGGCCCCGGGCGGGAGATCTTCCGACCGAATCCCTGCTGGAATTCTCTGGCTTCGGTTAAATTTGCTAATGAGATCTACACCCGGATCGCTATCAACGAGCACGGGCACCTGGTAAATAATTTCAGTGGAGCTGGAGTACGAAAAAATGCGAATGACAAGAAAACCGTTCAAAATGTGCGCTGTACGGATGTGTTCTTGGATGAAATCCGAAGTTGTTCAAGCGTCCAAGTTGTTTTTCGAAGGACTACTGGGGTAGCGAGACCATTGTCCTATGGATGATTGGAGGCTCTGCTCCACGTTTCAGACATATACGCTGTATCAGCTCGTTATCTTGGCCAGACTCTTCCTAATTCTGCACTTGTTTCTGGCCAAAGCGGTCGGAAGAAATAAAAAATTACAAATATCACCTATACTTCTGCTTTTTTGGGTAATGCTTACAACTAGCAACTACAGTATGTATTACAACGGTATATTATAGATATAAATGTATAATACGCTGCTACACGCACAAAAGTACCTGTTTGCTATAAAAGGCGTGTATCTGTACAATTTACCTTACATAGAAAAATGAATGAAATTTTATGCCTTTCGGTAGCTACTTTACGTAGTGTCCCCTTGACCATGCACTTCATTTTGTGCTTGCAATTGACCAGCTGCGTTTTCCAGTTTTTCTACTCGTATAAATAACGCTGCAGGCCACAGAAATTTTCTGACGTGCGTGTTACTACCGTAGAATTGGATACAAAGAATTAAGATTAATATTAACAGTAGATGCACAAGTTATCGAAATTAACGATAGAAATCCGGAGTAGGACTACTTCAGTATTAATTTCATGCATCATGCTTTCTGCTTTTAGTGATAATGCTTTGTGACAATATCATGTTTAGTAAGCTTATGAACATCTCCATGTACTACAAACAAGCAATGAATGCAAGTAAAAGCAGCTGCGGCCTGTGCTTCAGCAGTTCAGTTACCAGTAGCACGAAATAAACGAATTTTTGACAAAACGTTAACTAAGCTAATGCAGCATACTCTGTACTCGCAGTTAGTTTCATCTCAGGTACAGTGGGCAACAAATCCCTGAGCGATGGTCCGTCTATAAAGACTACAGATCTGTACTACAAATGTGTGGTACTTACAGTATTTACATTAATGTGTTGTGTGTATGCTGGAGATGACCATGTCGTACGAATAAATGTTCGCTATGACTCTACTTTAGTTATTAGCTTTTGAACTTGACATACTGTTGCTGCAGGCCATAAAATCGACCGGAAGTGAATCGGTACTTGATGTGCTACTGATGCTTATTGAGCGACGTTTCATCATGTAATTGAGTGCGATGAGAAAAAACACATGAATACAAAAAAACGCCCGGATATCCTAAACAATAACCGTTTACACCAGGTGAATCAGAACAATTGGCAAAGGTCAATTAATTGATAATCAACTAAGGAACCACAGACTGTTTGCTACCTCTAGGACATGAGCGTTAGTGGAAATTATTAGAAATTCAGTCTGTAATTATTCTGCCAATACGATGCATGACATCTCTACCTAAGTGTACCATTAAAATCTGTTCTGCGCACAATTTAGTAATTTATTGTTCGCACAAGCTATAGTCGTCGATTGTTTTATTAATTTAAAATGAAAAGCAGGGGTAGTAATTATCATTGGGCAAATTTTGCGTTATTTTGTGGAATTACCTGCTTTTTATTGTTATGCGTTTCTGCCACTAACCGATATTATTTTTCATATTTGCCTTATTCGACGGTATGGACATGGATTTTTTTGTTCTCGCTAGTTTAGGCGTGCTCCCGCGACAATATATGACTACTTATGGATTTATCCGATTGTCTATACTGAGTGGCGCTCGTTGATGTGCATATTGCAAAATAAATTATTAACTATGGATTTATCATACCGCTGAAACAGAATATAAAATTATTATCGTCTCCAAATTATTGTCGTATCAAAAATTCTTTGTGTCTTCTTAATTACTATTGTTTTGTACTTCTTTCTGTTAAACAAAATTGCCTATTGCAGACCGTAGTAGGCTGCTGATTCGAGAAGGCTGCACTACTATTCTGCTAAAATAAAATACTTAAATTTTTGCTTACTTAAATTGCATAAGATTCGTACTCATGAAATGCGTAAACAGAATGTTTAAATTTATAGAATTTTTGCAGGAACGTTCGAATTAAGTTAATCAACATTCGAGTACGTTTCAATTTATAGACTGTTGTAACGTAGGAAAAGGTCAAGAAATGCCGAGGATTCACACAGATGAGTCAACGAGCGATTAAATACTTATGAAGAAAATGCACACTATTTTGTTTTGATATTGATCTTTGGTTTATTTTCGAGTAGTCCAGCCCGTAAACAGGCACTCCCACATACTGTGACTGTGACGTATTTGCATTAATTTTACTACAGGGTGATAATATTGTTACTACATGGCATATGCACGGTGGTCCGACACTCCCGAACCGGAAATGGAACGTAGAGTGCCTTGACGGTAATTTATGCTTTATGAGCTGTAACAGCCAGAGAGAAAAAAGTTACATTAATATGATATCTATATCAGTATGATAAATTGGCTGAATATTCAACGTGTATATTCCGTTATCTTTGTAGGAGAGGCGATGATAGGAATCACGTAAGGATTACTTATTGTAGTAAAATTTTGATCACTCTCAAGTCTCAACGTAACCAACTTTGGGCTAATTGAATTAAAGCCATGATATTTTTCGTGCAGGGACCAGATAGATGACTTTCAGGTAAGGGATTTACAGTTAATCAAACGCTTGCTTTATAAAGCCTACAATTTTTTACGTAGCGTAATCAAACGAAACGGAGTAACCAACCTTAAACTGTAGAAGCTTGGACTGCTGTTTCGTTGCATCCATCAGTCATAACAAATTTTGTTACTGGCAGAGAATAGCAGCAATATGGTGCCGGTTTATGTTTCCTTATAAGCCTCCATCCAATGGAGTGTATCCTTATTATCCCAGGTAAGTATTTCATATGGAGCACAAATCGTATTGTTTTATGTATACTTCTGTGCAAAGTCGTAACCGAACACTTTTTACTTTTTTTGCAGCTGCGTGTTTCGAGAATACCGTTACCAGTTTTTTTGCTTTGACACTCAAAATGCATCAACTACCATCAATACATTTATGACAGGTAAATAGGAGCACTGACACATATCTATATGTATGTTCAGTTCTGGAAGTATCCTGTTCAAAAAGGTGACGGCGAAAGCGACATTTCGCTTCCGGGTGTCAACCAAGTTTTTTAATTTCTTTTGTGCTATTTTAAAGTTTGTTATTAATGTACTGTACTTGAATACTGCGTTATAATTGTACCGATTGCAGGGATCTGGGACAATGAATGGATTTTCTGGGTGGCACGCATTGGAACAACACGCAGTACTGCTAGTGATTACTTTCAGCCGTACAAATGCTGCAAAGTACCGAAAGGTTACTACATTGATTATGTATCATGCTACTACGTCTCCACACACGATCCTTACTGGGAATTCTATGACAATGTCTTCAATTTTGTTGTTTACTGCGGGTAAATCATCAGGACGACCGTTTGTTTATGCTAACTAGATTTTAATCTTGCCTTCTGGGTTTATATGTCGACACAGTACCGGATATGTTATGACCGGTATTGCCAAAAAAATCCATCCTGTCGGCCAAGACTGGTACATTGACTGGATCCAGTGCTGTCGGGTAAAACGTCTATAATCTCATAAGGGAACATTAAGTGCTAAATTATTTATTGATTCAGCCTAATACCGAGGAAGTACTGCGCAGTTAGTACTTTCGCACGATACTCCATAGTTCTGTCAGTACAGATACGAATGGCACCTGCACGCTTAAACTTTTTAAATAGTAAATTTCGCAATTTTGAAGCTGGCTTCGTAAATATGGATTATTATATCAGTGTTTCTAATTCTATCACGAATACATACGTTGATATTAAATTTTGACAAGGTTCATACGTCTCGGCAACAACACACCGGTGTAAAACACCATACATTTCTGAACGTGTGTATTTCCTTGCAGGATAAAATCGCTTCTAATTAACAAATTATTTAAAATTTAAAATTTTTGTGTAATCTAATATTGCATTACGTTATTTTAATGTAAAATTTTACATTTTTTATATAAATATATGTTATTGCATTATTTAAATAATGCAATAACATATATTTATATATGTACTTACATTCATAAATATATATACTAACAAATTTATAAGTAAATTAAGTACTGCACAAATTTAGGATTGACGTATGTTATGCTGGTACTCGTACGTTATTATGAACGTGATTCTATACTACGTAGGTTGGCTACGGCTTTCCCAGCGCCGTATCTCCGCCACTCATTCGCCTTCCGGATGGCCGTACCACCTTCTACGCGGCCAGCAATACCGGCGCCCCGTCGACGCCGGTGCCGCGCGCCTATCAACAACAACACCGGTCTCTATCCATTGACCAGCAACTGGACACAGCGGCCGACAGCTACATGAACGCCAGTGATGTGTTATCGAAGAAGTTCCGCCAGTTCGATGACATCCGCTACAAACGGGAGGCCATTCCCGTAGCGTTACTGGGCAGAAGTCATCCACCGGATCCCGCAGCTCACTGTCATCATGATGGGCGGGAGATCATGTTTAGAACGGATTTAACAATAAGATAAGGAAAATCATGCGAATTACTTTGTCGTTTGTTGTGCCGAGACTTTTGTTATGAATGCATTCTGCATGTAGCATATAAAGTCGCGCATATTAATTGTTTCAAAAGAAAAAAGTTTTTATGCGTTCATTGCATTGAAATGCGCGACCGTTAAATCGGCTTTTGGAACAGATGTTGCGAGACTGAATAATCATACGGTAAAAGTGTTTGAACTTCAATAAATTTTTTGAAAGCGTGTACTTTGTCAAGGTTCTGGAAAGAGTAGACCCAAGTGTAATTTAAGAATGCCGGTATAAGCGATTAGTATTTTATAGTAGTTTACACCGACAGATAAAAGAAGGTAAAAATGCCCGCAAGGAGTTCACTTGGAAGTTATTATGTTGTGGATTAACTTCCTACTAACACATGCACAATGCGCATACGCATATGTATGCGATATTTACAAGGCAAATGTACACAGCAGTTCTCTACAAGTAGTGAACGGTAAAACAAGAGCCATCGGTATTTGCGTTTCATAGAAAATCTAGTTAAAACCTGGTAGTAAATGCTTGCAGGTTGCTGATGTGCATTGTACAAGTACTTGTTATTAAAATAAGGAATAATCGCTACACTGGAAACAACAACCTTAACACTGCTCGGAATCAAGAATGACCACACATGTTAGCGTCTGCGAAAAATTCAGTATTGTTGCATTATTCATTATTGTTGTGCAACTATCTGGAAATTATGGCACCAATCGTTATTATTTCGCATATCTGCCTTATGGGAGTGTAAGTAAGTTTTATATCGGTAACCGAACCGAATGATATTATAATAAACTACATTTCTGACGCGTTATTAATTTGTATCTAATTTAGTTGGAAAACAGATATAGAAGTGGCTCTTAATATTCACCATCAAAAGCTCACATGCATATATATAGTATTTTTATACCTCACATGCAACAAAGAAGTATTTTTTTATTATTAGTTTTTTGTATAGTTTTTCCTTCTTACAGTTAGCTTATGTTATCTGTATTACCCTCCTAACGTTTATACAAAATCCTACTCATAATCAGTAAGTTATACTCATAATGTACATCATAATCATAATCATACTTCGCTCCTACCGGTCATCATATTTCTGCTCATAATCATAACTCATACCCGTACCACTACTCATACGAGTACCAGTGCTTAGTGTTTTCAGCGCGACTTTTTGCTGACATAAATTCATGCCGAAATAACATATTACAAGCTGCGCGCGGATAAATATTGGGCAGACCCAGTCTGGATGGCAAGAATTAAGCCGGCTCTGGAATCGCGACGCAGTATCGGTCCCAGTGCGGCCAGTGCCAATCTACCTGTGTCCTATAATCTACCATTCCTCTACGAATTGAAAACCAAATCCCAGTCTCCTCTTGTCACAAAAAAAAGTTTTGGCGTTGTGCAGGAAGTGCATGATATACAGTGTTTAACTAACCGTTATCGCCGGCATGGATGTCGGTCGATCGCTTCGACGTTGCCGGTGAAGCCCAGTAGTCCAGCGCGGATGCTCAATGGTCATGCTCCGCGACCGCAGTCCATACATGACGGACACAGAACGGAAAGTATTACTACTTTTGGAAATTCGGAGATACCTTTATTGGGGAAAAAACCGCCCCACTTTAATGAATATTACTTCATAATAGCAGCATTTTTAGATTTTGTTTCAGGCTTTCAGCATTGGCTTTTCTTGTTGTCGAACTGCTGTTTAACGGTCAGCTCATCGAAATCATCGTTTTACCACGACCCGCGTGAGATATTTAATAAAGAATTAGAAGGTGACTTCTATAACTTATGTACTTCCTACCATTCTCTCCGTTCACTACCTTTTTGTTTTCCTGCTTTCCATGTTCTCTCATGAATAGAAGTGGGATAAAACGTTGCGACTTTCGAAATTTTACGTTTTAATACAATAGAATATAATGATGATAAATGAATATGAATATAAATAATAAAGAGATTTTTTTCATTTCGAACGGATTTGGATGCTAGAAGCCCAAGTTTAATTTTGAAATGATTTACCTCGAAGAGTAAACTTTGAAACGTTTAAAAGTTCAACCCTAGTATGAGGATCTGTACGGGTATGAGTTATGATTATGAGCAGAAATATGATGACCGGTAGGAGCGAAGTATGATTATGAATTATGATAATGATATGCATTATGAGTATATCTTATTGAATATGAGTAGGATTATGAGTATGAGGACGATTATGAGTATTAGGTAACTACCTACCCAAAATACTGCCTTTTTCTTTGTGTACGATTAATTTTCAGACTGCCGGCAAATATATGTACAGACGTACGGTACGCATCAGCACTTTGGCTAGCTACTTACTCTGGAATTGCCGTTTATGTAGGGTGACAACATAATTACTACCTGGCGTTACGAGGGCGGTTCATTGTCCCTTCACCGGAAATGGAATGTGGAGTGTCTGGATGGTGCGAATTTAAATCGAAGAACACCATAAAAAACAAACCATTTTGAAATTTCGGTTACTGTTATATTTATTATGAAACTTGCTTTTTCTGTTCTACCGTCATATCAGTTTACCAGTTATCTGATTCAATGCTGCAAAAAATTGTAGGTGTATTAAGTCAACTACTAAATCATGATTTCTGTTTTAGGCGAAGCAGTAGTCGGAATTCAGTAAGCTTGCATACTTCTCCGCTTTAAAAACAGCAACTGCGGCTTCATCATAATAATCATGATCAACTAATCATAAGCGCGTGTCACTTGATTTAGGGATTTTGTCGATGATTTTCAGGTACGTTATTGAAGAGCTGTGTATTCTAGAAATTTTTTTAATTATGTTATAGATGTACGTATCGTAGTGCTGCACTAACGGGACAGTACATAGTTTTTACTGCACCACAATATGTCATGTTAATACATAATATTACGGAATAATAATTACGCAATTTACGCTTGTATCTCTTCATACCCGCCGCTCGGGCAACTCGGCTATCTAATTTGAAATACTCGTATTAATTTACGGATAATTGTTTTACTGCAACAGAAAATATATGCCATTTGGTGTCGGTTCATGTTCCCTTACAAACCGCCGTCGGAAGGGAAATATCCTTACTACCCCAGGTAATAACCATGAATTAAAATGCAGTTAGCGATTAACATGTCTTATTTCTCATCCGTTTGCTTGGGAAATTTCTAGTTGTACAGTGATGCGAACTGTTTTTCTAGTTGTATATACCGGGATTACCGTTTCCAGTTCTTCTGCTTCGATCGGCAAAATATCTCACTGACCATTAACACATTCATGACAGGTGCGGCACTAGCGTAACGTATTTATCCGTTAAAAATTACTGGGTTAAGAAATTAATTGCCAGCACTTACGAGTACGCACCATAAGTAGAAGTACCAGCTTCAAGTTGAAATGACGCGCATACCGCATTTGTCTGGGCGAGTACATATTGTATCTGTAATATTACTTATCAAGGGATTTTGCTGCTCGTCGCGATAATTTCCCTTTTCATCACACCATAATTTTTACAGCAATTTGGGATAACGAATATCAGTTTTGGGTCGGGCGGATCGGCTCAACAGTGAGCATCAACAATGATTTCCAGCAACCGTACAAATGCTGCAAAACACCGAAAGGTTACTACATTGACTACGTTTCCTGCTACTATGTTCCGACACACGACCCCAATTGGGAGTATTACGATAGTCAATCCAACTTTATTGTGTCTTGCGGGTAGGTAAAGTACTTTATTGATCGATTTGGTTTTAAACGGCGTCGTAAAATATGTCCTTTCTTGCTCTATAAAATTACAACGAAATTTAAAAATAAACTTTGAAAATTGAATACAAAATGTTGATTACAATTGTGCGTATCAGTTAAAATACTCATAACCGATAATTGGTGCTCTGTGCCTGCAGAGAGTAATTAGTACGAGTACCTGTTGTGTGTAAGCAAGCAAAAAATTTTACGTATCAGTTATTTAATATTGTACGCAAAACTACTGCTAATGTGTATTCCCTGCATTGGTTTGTTTTATTTCGGTATTTTATTTGTATTTTTGATAATCTGTGTTTTATGCCTGTAGAACCGATTATGTTATGACGGGAATCGCCAAAAAGATCAGCCCTGTCGGATTGGATTGGCAAATTGACTGGGTTCAGTGTTGTCGCGTACGTATATTATTCTTCCCAGTTGCAAATACAATAAATTAGACTTTTCAAATCTCAAGAAAAAATTCGTGTTGGGGGCTTAGTTGGGATACGGAGCCGCAACGGCGGTGTCACCACCGATAATCACCCTCCCGGATGGTCGCAGTACATTCTATGCCGCTAGCCACAGTACTCCTATTCCGAAACCGGTCTCCTATGCATCTAATCAGCTACTTTCCCGCTCGACACACGAAACCAGCAGTATAAATATTACCCAACTGCCGGGTAGAAAAGTGGATGATATTGGCAGTATGCGGTACAAGAGACGGAGTGGGATACCGATGGAGCTGCGAGATCATGGGCACCTCGGCGATCACTTGGAGAATGACGGAAGAAATATCGTTTTGCGACAAGAAATACGGTATTTGTCGTAGCGCAATGGCTTACTGGAGAGTTCGTAATAACACTTTGCTAACTGTAAGTGCTAAAAGCACGGTATGCCGTCTAATAAATAAAAATGTATAGCAAAAAAACTGAAAAAGTTGATATTTTTGTTTGTTATTGCTACAAGGATAAAAATGCTAATAAACATAAGCTATGCCAACATGAAAGATCGTACTGGACATTTGCGAGCCAACTGCCATAAAGATTAGAGTTTTCTTTTGCTCTACCATAAATAATTTGTAATTTATTTCCACTGACGAAAGTAGGTCACTGTCGCTTCCAACATCCCAATAATCTCTCAGATCTAACGTTGAAACTAATTTTTAAAATAAAACAATAAACAAGTGCATTCACCCAAGTCTACATTCTAAAAACTCCAAACTTTGTCGGCGGTATTGGTGCATTCAGTGAGGCGCTTAAACTCAGTCCCAACACTTTCCGCGTATCCAGCGGATCAATGACACCATCATCCCATAATCGGGCGCTGCTAAAGTACGGACTGCCTTCCTCCTCGTACCGCTTGACTACCGGGTCCTTCAACGCGAACTCTTCCTCCTTTGTGAACTATAAATCGTAAAAATTGGTAAAATCTTAAAGGATAAAAATTAATAATAATAAATGTTAAATGCAAAATGTCGCATTTTCCTCACTTGTTTATTTTCCCGGGCACGCTGATCCCTCGTGACCTGTGCGAGTACACCGGCGGCTTGTTCTCCGCCCATAACGGAAATACGCGCGTTCGGCCACATGTACAGAAATCGCGGACTAAAAAATCCCAAAATTTTGTTAAAAACAATAAAAACAAAATGAAGGCAATTAATTACCGCTTGGCGTCATCTAAAAAAGTCAGAAAAGACTAGACAGACTGTAAAGTGAATAACCTCAAAAAAGACATAAATAAACTTCATAAAAGATTACCGTGCAACAAAAGACCACAAAATCGTGACGCACTCTGTACAGCAATTAAAAAAAAAACTCAACACACTTTTACAATAAGATCTTAAGTTCTTTTACAATAAGATACACCCTTAAGTTCCGCACCTGTAAGCGCGACCGCACATGCCGTAGTTTCCAGCTCCATACGATCCACCCACCAAGACGGTGAACTTAGGCACTTGGGCGCACGCTACAGCCGTCACCATCTTGGCACCGTTCTTGGCAATGCCACCGGCTTCGGCTTCCCGACCCACCATGAAACCTATAATGTCAGCACTCGATTCTCAGTTTGGTTGTGCTAAAGGATTTAAAGTATCGTTCGTACCGGTAATATTCTGGAGAAAGATCAAGGGGATTCCCCGCTGGCAGCATAGTTCAATAAAATGAGCGCCCTAAAAACGCAGAAAAAAAGTAACTTAATTGCATTTCACATGTCACCATTCGGTAACATCCATAGAATCACTGCATTTAAGGGCACTGACAACGAAGATATGCTATGCCCAATTGCCCATACTCTACGGTATGCGTACTGAAACGTATAATTCATAACGAACAGGAGTACGTACTTTTAACGCGGATTCTGAAAACAGCACTCCGTTATTGGCGATAATACCCACTGGGTATCCATATAGCTTGGCAAAGCCTACAAAGGAAAAACCTTATGTAACATTACAGCAAAATAAGTAATTTATCTCTTGCGCAAGCTCAGGCAAGTTTCTCTTTACAGCTGTGCAGCCCGCAAACCCCGGTGCACGTTTGAAATAAGCGGAATTACTAAATTTAAAAAAAAAACCCATTTAATTGTGCTGGCCTTGAATAATCTAATCAAGCCACTTCCGGTCAACATAAAACCGACAAAATCAGTGTAGTTCTCGTACCGGTAACGAGCGTTTCCCCGAACTTCGCTTTAAATTCATCAAACCGACTGCCATCTACTATCCTGGCAATAACCTGAGAATAACCCAAGCACAAAATTCATTACAAAGCTAATTATGCCGGTATAGCAGCAAAAACAATCGTACTTCGCGAATATCGTAAGTCTTTTTTAAATCCTCGCCAACGATCCCGTAAAGATCATCAATCGGCAGAAGCGGTTCCTCCGGTCGTTCTGTCGCCATCTGCAAGTTTTCCAGCATTAGCGACACGTTGTTACAAACGCAGTAAGAGTGAACGCACCGATACGGTTTTGCGAATGTTGAGATTGGCCACCACCCGCCTGGCCAGATGCAGCGCGTGCAGGTCGTCCTGCGCGTAATGATCCGCCACACCGGAGCGCGAACAATGCAGATCAGCACCACCCAACTCCTCCGCCGTGACGTCTTCCCCGGTGGCGGCTTTGACCAGGGGTGGACCGCCCAGGAAGATCGTGCCCTGTTGCCGGACAATGATGCTCTCGTCGGCCATGGCGGGAACGTACGCACCGCCAGCGGTACATGAACCTAACCAAAAAGCACAATTTCTGTGCCGCTGGATTTTATGCATCACTGTTGCGTGTTAATTTGAACAAAGAAAACGTAAAACAAAGGGAAACCGGGCAGAATATAACCAGCATCTGCCAGTACGCGGTTTCGAAACGAGAAAGTATGCTTCGTATCTTATTCAAGCGCTAAATACTACACCCGCATTCTGGTTTTTAAAACCTAACAGTCTTTAATTTGCTATTTGCCTTGCTGTCATCTGACAGTACAGAAAACTAAGTACCTGATGACGATGACCTCCTAAATAATTCAGAAACACAAATGATTGTTCTATGATAAAGTGCTGCACGTCTCTGAGTGGCACAAAATCTTAGATCAGAAACGTAGTGCAGGGTGATTACAATTTGAACATTAGGTATCGCACGATTAAAACATAGCGCTCCAATATATGCATTCCACGGTTAATTTGCTTGGGAAAATTTTTTTAACAAAAGCCTAACACATGTATGGGTATTTCGACGACAATTTTCAGCAGCTGCCGCTCTTTTACAGAAGCAGTGTCAACTGAGCTTTTAACAGCTGTGACTAAATCTGGCGCCGCTTTCAGTTTAATGGATAATACACTAACTAAATTCACCACCTACCCATCACAACAGCGACCTGCGGAATTCCCTGCGATGACATGTTGGCCTGATTGAAGAATATCCGTCCGAAATGTTCTTTGTCGGCAAATATGTCGGCTTGTCGTGGCAAATTGGCACCACCCGAGTCAACTATAATGACTGAGTATATTCGCAGTGATAGCTCAACAATGCTGATAAATTCCAAAAAGCAGCAAGGCCTATTACCCAGATAAATGCATGGCAAGCGATTTTGCAGGGCAATTTCCTGAGCGCGAAGGTGCTTTTTGACGGTTATCGGATAATATGTCCCGGCCTTGACGGTGGCATCGTTCCCGACAATCATGCATTCCGTACTGTAGTTAAACACAAGCGATGTCACAACAAAAAATCTGGAAATAACTGTAACGTTTAAGCACAGAGGTGCGCACTGATGTATTACATTGTCAAGAGATACCTGCATATTTTGCAAAATCCAAAAACATCGGAAACCATTACCTTATAAAAAAACCTGATTTTCAAGCATGGTTTGAAAATGAAATACGAGTATGTTAAAATGCTTCCCCAGCTTCCCAAAATTAACGGATGCTCGAAATCACAATCAAACACCACCAAAGACAATTCCTCAAAGCCCTTCCACTACAATCGCACTACCCTAGCTGTAATAGGGTGACAACAAACAAACACCACAGGTCCACAAGTAATCTGTCTGGGGCCGCACAGATGCGAGAAAAGTGGTTTTATAAAAAATTAGACTCCAATCACACCGCTCATGCTGTCAAGTGCATAAAGCATTTAAAATTTAACAGAAATAATTTACGTTACCATCCACCCTCGATAAACAGGAAAATAACCAAGTTACCCTGAGACACGCCCGATCCCGGTAATTATTCCTCCAGCTGGAACGTCTTCTTTCCCGTATAATTTGTAGCCAGCTAACTGAGAAAATTCAAGAAACGGCGACCTGTCGAACAAAGAAAGCAAATTCAACACAGCAATCATTAAAATAAAAGAGTAAAAGCAAACACATAGGCTACTATGTATACCATAACGCTAATCGGAAGAATAAGTAAGTTTTTCATACGTATCCCATAAAAACATTTCAATCAAAATGTAAAATTATTTTTGATTAAAATCAAAAGTAATTTAATTTTTGAATTAGTAAAATTATCCTTAAAAATTCGTATAAGATGCTGATAACAACAGGAGCAAACAAAAAGCAGAAATATCTCTTAATCAAAAAATACCGGAATTTTTTAATTTTTTTTTTAGCAACAGTCGCCGTGCCATACGGGAACTCACCCAGGGTCTAGCAACGCAGAGATCCTTTCGCGAACCAACAGCTTCCCCTTGGACGTGTGCCTCTGTATGCTTTTTTCATCCGTACCTGCGATGAATGGCACAAACTATGAGAGCCTAACTGCGAATCTCTAGCGTTTCCAATGCGAATTTCGAAAGAAAAGCGTTCAAAAGGTGAAACGCAGTCATTGATTGGCGTACCTCTGACGATCTGGTCCACAGTGCCTCGTAGCTGTGTCACCAACTTCTGCATCCGCTCGGAGTTATTCTGCAATCAAGCCGAACATGCCATCTTTTCCGTTAAAAATGAAGAGAAGTCAGAAGTGCACAACGCACCTGGAAATCCTCGGACTGGCTGTCAACAGCTGATCCGATGCGAGCAAATTTGCTGCTCATTCCATGATAACAACGTTGCTGGCATTTTGCACTCACCAGAGTGCGATACGTTAGCAAACGGATCCGATGTGACATTTTCGAGAGCTGAAGGGATGAATGCACAAGAATTCAACAAGAACTTCGAGTTTGGTTAACGGAAGCCTAATCAAATCAAAACCAAAAGCACGAAAGAAAAAGTTTTTCTATTTGTGTCTGTCAACTTGTACGAGTACAGATACCTACATACCAGTGATGTCCCGTTTTTTTCACGGGCTCGGTAAATCACGGGAATTTCCCGCACCCCGCACCCGCTTTTGCTCGGAAAGCGGTGCGGGAGATTTTCTGCTCGGATCGGGTGCGGTCGGGATTAAAGCTTGATAAGTACGCCCGCCCGCTGCTCGGAAAAACTCGGGATTTATTTGAATGGTGAAAAATTAAATTATTTGCAAATTAGAAATTTAAAAATTATTTTGTAAGCAAGCCACCGTAGCATGTAGCAGTAACTTGCTGTAACTAATTCCACTGCTCCGCATTCCAGTAGCTGTTGTAATCCCATTGCCGCTGGCTGGCGGCTGCAGACTGCAGTACACTTTCAGTACCGTAACTTTCACACTTCCAGTATTGCGCTTTGTCTCGTGCCTTGGCACTGGAATTAACGAAAATTCAATTTTACTGCCAACCATCTGTTTTTAACTGTTTGGCTAGAGACCGTAAACTGTAAAGTGGAGATCAAACGTGTTATGATTTATCGGGAGTTTAGAGTTAGTTAATTTTAATTCCATTTCTAAGGGACTGAAGATTGTTCTTTTATTGCTCTAAAGCAAGGCTGGGTTACTGTGGTGAGTGTGTTCTCATTATGTTAGACTTCTTGAATCTTGATGATTGAAAAGCCATACAGCAATCTATTGTTATTGACGATGATGACGACGGCCAAGAACCCGAAACCACCGCTTCTTCTCCGAGTTCTCCGACTGCCCCGGAATCTCCCCAAGCGCCGAATAATTCCTCTGCTGCAAAGGTTTCCGCAAAAGAATACTATGAGGCATTCTTCGTTAACCCTGAATGCAAGACTGAATGTGCTAAAGGACAGGCGAGAAGCTGGAAAAAGTACTCCGCGACGTGTAAACTGTGTGCTGAATCGGATGCAAAGAGGCTGGTGAATGGAGGAGCGGATAGCTTTGACGCGTTCAAAAAACATGTTACGCGGCATCATTCGAAGACGAAGGTACGGTTTTTATTATGCATTTCTGTATATCAGCTGATACAGAGTATGTAGGACAAATGCAATCTAGAAACTAGACGGTATATTATAGCTTGCCGTCGCGTTGGCACTATTATTTCATTACTCAATGGCATTTTCGTGCTTTGCAGGACTATACGGAGTTTATTGCCAAGAAAGTCAAAGATAACGAGATCTCGCAAACTAAGCTATCCAAGGAGCAGCCATGACCGAATTCGTGATACAAAAAGTTGAACCGTACGGTGTGTTTTGTGTTATAGTGATTTCTTGTGTATTATTCATCTTTCGTATTTAGTATTTACGCAAAAAGTTTAGTTTTTCTATATACTCGTTTGTTGTATTTGTCCTCGCGCGTACTGCCGCATAGTTTATTTGTGATTTTTTTAATTTTGATTTGTAATCATTTTGTTTTTCGTATAGGTCCGGTGCGCGCCGCACCTTATCTTTGGCCATTGGTAGCGCAATGGCAGATGCGCAGGTTATCAACCAAGTTATTGAAGGTCTTGCTGGGATCGTTAACCGTGTTAAGCATTCGCAGTCGGAGACAACCATTCTGGAGGAAGCGTTCAAGAAAACCTTTGTCAGCCGCAATCAGACCAGATGGAACTCGAACTTTTTAATGGCCAAGCGGGCGGCGGAATTTGATTGGGAAAGATGTGGACTCTCTCAGAAAAATATTTTGAAACCTGCGCACCGCCTTGTATTGCAAGCGTTTGTAAATCTTATGGAAGTTTTCAGTGCATCGTTTAAGATTCTGCAGACGGCCGACTATCCTGTAATTGGAGACGTTATTCCTATTTTATGTGGACTTCGCAGGCATATCAAAACATGCCAAAAGAATATAGACTTCGTGTTATTGCAAGATTTTATGAAAGGCTTGCTGAAACAACTAGACGAAAGATTTGGTGCTGTGGAAAAAGACAACCTGTACCTTGCCGCTGCTTTTTTGGATCCCAAATATAAGCTTCTGTGGTGTAATAGCTTTGGACCTGAAAAATCTGCTGAGATGGTTATCAAAACCAAGGCGCTCATGCTGGGTATGATGCAAGAAGTTGGCTGCAGTCAAGACGTGCAGTTTAAAGAAAGTAAGTGAAAAAGAATCACAGTTAAACTAATTAAGTATTAAGTCGTGTTTGAATTTTACTGAATCATTCGTTTATTCTTTCCGCATATTGATTATTTATTTATGTTTAGGCAGGAATAGTTTTGTCGGTCCGGATTTCCTGAACTTTTTATACAGAGGATAAAGTAGCTTGAGCGGCCGTTTGTCGATGCAACAGGACAGCGGAAGTGACAAAGCTGCAACGTGCGAAACTGAACTAGAGATGTATATTGCCTCTTCGTGGATAGGGACGAACCCCCTGGAATTCTGGAAAAGTGCTGAAGCGGCCTGCTTGCCACGTTTGAAAATTCTTGCCAAACAAGTTTTATGCGCTCCAGCAACGACCGCTGACGTCGAACAGATGTTTAGTGTTGCGGGAATTTTGCTCAGTAACAGGAGATTAAAAACTTCGGATGAGCATTTCGAGAGATTACAGTTTTGTAGTATTGATACGCGGCGGTTAGATGGTGATTTAAATGTGGTGGTAAGAGAAAGCTGAATAGTTGACGGTGATAATAAAATGTACGGCGATACTATAATTTCAAGCTAAGGGTGAAATTTCTTAAAAGTAAGATTTACGATGCAGGTTGAAAAAATAATAACTTTCCAAACGTATGGCATACTTGAAACATTTTAACAAAAAAGGCTGTAACAATAACATGGTTAAAAAAATTATTTTATTGAAAATCGGGAGTCGGAGCGTGGTGCGGGACTGTCCGAGCGCTCGGGTGCGGGAGCGGGTGCGGGAAAGTTTTTGATCGGGAAAGTGCGGTCGGGACATGAAAAATTGTAAACGGGACATCACTGCTACATACTCGGGTAGTTGTCTGCCAGTCAGCTGGAACGGAAACCGCGCGGCAAGGCTCTCTGCACGGGGCCACGCGGCCAAATAAGTAATGACCCTTGATTATCACCTTGGCACCCTACCCCACCCTAAGTGATTCACGCGTGTTTTTATTGCTACTGAAAACCAGTCGCCGTGTTTGCAGCAGCGTGCATCATCGTTTTCTTTTGCTCCATTTTTGCGTGATATGACTTGGTAATCGGCGCACTTTTATCGCGGAATGAAACAGACGCCATTATTCATTACGATAAATGCGATGCGCCGTGCCTTTGGAAAATCATCTCGTTTACTGGTGGTATCTTGATGGAAATTGAACGATGTGTTGCCTCGTTTGCGTGACGTACTACGGCCCATAAACGACTCATTTGCTTTGGCGGTTCTTTTCCCACTAAACCAATACAGGCAGGTAAGTCTGCTGCCATTATACGGCCGGTACATTTTCATGCCAATCACTTGTTGTTAGAAAAAGAGCGATCGCTGTCTGTGAGACTGTAGAGTTAGTTGGAGCTGTGCAAGCTTTTTGAGACGCAGGTAAACAACCGGATTTCAATGGCATTATGCGTCTGAATAGGAGTGTCGCTGTATGACAGTGCATTAATCGTGTGTGGGTGTACGGAGAGGTTATTAGTCGGTGAGGGTTTTGCCGTGTATGCATATTTACATGTTGATAAATCGGGGAATGTAAGATCCCTCCCTGTAGCCGGCCGTGTTATTCACATGCCATTACAGGGAGTTGGAGTTTATTCACTGTCCGGCGTTTGTTTGTTGTTTATTCTGGATATCATTGCTCTTTGTAATTTGTCATCTTTTTCTGGTTGCAGTGAACTAATCCCGTTTTGTGCGGAGATTCACGGAAGATTAATTTATTTATTATTATTTTATGGCTTTGAATCTATCGAAAAATCACGATTCGATCGTGAATGCCTGGAAGGATGTTGTGGATGATAAATCATCCACGAACTGGTAAGTTGCAGACTGCTGCGCTTGTGTTGCACGAAGTGGGTCACGTTTTCGATTTGCTACTGAGGCTGCTACTCGTTTTTTTGCCAAGAAATCAGAGCAAAATGACCATAATTTATACATTAAATTATCTGTTTTATCTGTGCTATTCTAAATTAGAAATGTAGTTTTTTATACTTATTTTAGCGGTAAGAAAGTTAAGCTGATCAAACATTGAGATCTGAAAGACGTTGCATTTTGTGAAGTTTTTATATTTTTGAATTTAAAATAAAGCTTTACGACGTGAATTTTACGTTCAAATACGATTTCATGATACACGCTGTCAGGAATTTAATGAGTTGGTTTCTTATCGCTACAAATGTGGCATTCTTTTTTAAGCAGCCTATTTAGTGTGCCAATAAGTGCAATTTAGAAATTTGTGCAGTATGCATCTGTTAAATCACCGAAACACAAACTGATTTATGTATACAGTTTATAAAATTACTATTAGCCGTTAGCGTAAGCGCTTTTAGAATATTTTCCAGTGCTGCTGAATTTAGTTGCAGTTTATGTTTCTTTTTTTTAGATCTATTTTATTTAGATCTGAGAAGCAGGATTGTAGCGGTTTTTTCCTAAACTCGATTACCAGAGATTGGCATTTCCACTCTTCGGTTTGCTTTTTTTATTCGCATTAGTAATTATGCCCGTTGAATTATGTATTAAGCATACAATTTTCGTTAGAATTTAAAGTTCTTTAAGTTCGGAAAATTTTTTCTGACTATGTTAGTAGCCGATTTTGTTTGTTTACGTTAAAATTCACTTTCAGTTTATTCTTGAAAACCGGATATTACGGTGACGCAGAAAACTGTTTTGTTAATACATAAAATACTCACCTGGCGTTTCTTTTGAAGTGAACCGCTTTTTGCCAGTACAGTGAAATTGGATCAGGCTTGTTGATGAGTTGATGTGGGTCAGCTGTAGTGTTATGATTATTCCTCGTCATTCTCATTATTTTTTTCCAGGGCTGTCTTCGGATATGAAGGCCAGACAAACACGCTGCAGGTAGTCGCGACGGGAGGTGCGTGTTTCGCTGTCTAATCAACACTCCGTGTGTTGTTTATTTATTCGTTCACTCAGTTTTTTCTCATTACGCCATGCAGATGGGTCGCTGGAAGATATGACCGAGAATCTGAGCGCGGGAAAATGCATGTACGCGTTCTGCCATGTGAAAGATCCGAAGACAACGCTGTCAAAAAACGTTTTTATCATCTGGGTGAGTCGAGTGTAAGAGTTATTAATAATGACGTTTTCTTTTATATGATATTATTATATGTTTGAGTTTTGGTACATTTAAAGTTTTCTAGCTGGTTCGTTAAAGTTTGTTGCTGTCAGAGCGATTCGCCTTGCTTTGAATATTTCTTCAAGTTTATTTGGAACCGACAAATCCTTCTGTTTATTACATTCTTTTCTTGATGATAAAAATAGTTCAGTACCTTTATCTGAAGACGTTTATAGTTGATCCACGGTATAAAGGAGTTCTCTTATATCTCTTATAAAGGAGATATTTATCTCTTATATACCTTGGTTGATCGTTTTTTTATACTTACAAGTCTGTTATATACAACTTAAGTTAACTACTTAACGGAAATGAAGTTTTCTTTCAGTTTTATGAAAATATTACGTAGAAAACAATTGTTTCACTTGTGAACATTTTTACGATGCCATAATTGTTTGCTAATAGAGCTGGAAAAAATTGGGCCAGAAATATTGAGACACTACAACGCATTGTTAAAATTTTTTTCTTTCTCTTGAACGGTATGTATGTGTTGTGTGATGTGGTGTTTTTCATTGTAGCAAGGCGAAGGTGCGCCAGATACGAGGAAAGGTGTGTGCGCTAATCACGTCCGGCCGATTGGTGACTTGTTAAAGGTACCGCTTTTGCGTAATGCTTGAATTTCCATCCGATAGACTGTGATGATCTCGAGTAGTGCCTGAATAGTTCAGGTTGTGTGTCAAGCGGAAATAATTGTTATATGGCTAGTCCGTTTCATAACCATTTGTTTTTTTCTGCAACTTTATTATGGTAATAATGTCTTTGATATGTGAAAATGTCAGCTTTTCCTTCGATGTCCGAAGTGATAAACAATGAGCGTATGCGTTCAGGTTTAAAGAGATTTACTAATAGTGGCGAAATTACGACCAATACAAATGGCATGTAATTCTGTGATTTGTGTCGATTATATAAACTGACGTTTTTCGAAATGAAATTTTATTGGATAGCAGTTCGTCAGTTGTATGCTGTGTATCGTAGTGAAATGGCAACACAGTTCTGTTAACGCCTCATCTTTGCGTTGGACTGTAGAAGTTGCAGCGGGTGTTTCAAAAATTATTTTTTCGGTTTTGGGATTAAAGATTTAATACCGTTAAGAGGAGATTTAATCCAGTAAGAGAAGTAAAAATGAGTGGATTGCACTAATTTGAACAAATACTTAGTCTTATTTTCTATACGTAAATATACGTAAATACTATTCGCGGAATATTGGCTGTAAGTAGTTCAGATAGGAATTTTTAGCGCACCGGATAGGCTATTATCGTACCTAATACATTTTCCAGGCCTTTTATGCGCTACACGAATCGTGTTTCTTTGCGATCATCCATTTTAATGGCATTCAAATGGCAGGGTACACATGTAACATTCACCGCCCGCACGGACGATGAAGTGGAGCCAGAGTTCATTATGGATAAAGTCGTCAAGGCCTCTTCATCGAAATTTGATTTCGACAGTTCACACCGTCCGGCCTCACCGCCTCCCGCTCCCGTCGGCTCCGTGTACAAAAAGATCGACCCGTCGCTGATTCTCAAGGAGCGCGATGAGTATCTGCAGAATCAACAACGGGAAGATCTGGCTGAGCGGCATCATGCTGAAGTGCAACGCCGGAAGAGTCAACAGGAAGAGCTACAGCAGATCAGTCGCAATCGACAGGTCGGTAGTAGTAATAAATTTTTTTTGTTAGATGAGACTGAAAATTTTATTTTTTGTAATATTAGATCACTCCTTTATATCTTGTATTGACTGTTTTTCGGATTTGCATTAAGTCAGTTCGAGCGTTGCTAACCCGAGCCGAATGTTTATTGATCTGCTGTACTCGTATTGCAGTGACAGATATGTGGATAGCAACACCTTCTCCCTACTAGCGTAGCTGGTTCAACATCGGATGAGATAATCCATGTTTAAAATTCTGAAATTTTTCCTCAATTTATTTTTAAGCGTTTAGAAAGTATGGTTTGGTAATTTTGTTCAGAATTTTTGCTAGAAAGCGGCATTTAAAATCGGAAATTGGCTACGTTTCTTGAAGCCGTATTTCCTGTTTCCGTAATGTTTAGAACGGATGTTTATATCAGCGTACGATGGTAACAAGTCATATTTATTTTGCGGGAAATTGCTGGCGTTCGTGTTCAACAGTTCAAAGTCTTTGCTGTTTTTCGCTTTAAACAAGCCCATTCCGCATGTTTATCCTACAGGCCAGCCTGGACGACGACAGTGAGAAACGTGCTTCGCAAACAGCGATAAACGCCAGCAGTAATCCGGTGGCAGCTGCGCTGGAGTCAAAGAATTATGTCAATCTGCAAAAGAAGAACTGGGAGGAAGCACAGAAGTCATCGGCCAGCAGTGTCAAACCGCAGGTGGAGAAGAAGCCGGTTAAACCATTTAATGTAGCCACACCGCCGCCCAAACCGCCCCATCAGATGCAGAAACCGGCGGCATTCGGACCGAAAGGGACACTGTCCGCTCCGCGAGTTGTGCTGTAAGCAGAATATTTTCGATCGCTTGTGGATTTATTGATGATGAGATTTTTAACAATTGGTAAAATTACTTAATGCGTCCGCGATGAAGTATGTTAACTTTCTTAGAATTTCCACGGAAAAAGATTCAGTTGATCGATTTTAGCGTTATAATTCTAACAAAATCTTAGACAAATTTTGTGGCAGCCTGTGTTAGGTCGCATATTTGTAAGAGTATCAGCGGGAGCCCTTATTATGCCATTAAACTACGAGTGATTCCGAGATTTGGGGCTTTGCCAGTTTGCCATACATTGACTTGTTTGGTTCTGATTTGAAATTCGCTCTGTTGAACAGCGTAAAGGTAGCATTAAAAGAACAGAAATAATTGTTTTACCGTCTAATTCAAGCATATCCTGAATTTTATGTACGAGTAGTTTGATTTGTGAATGTAATTTTCGATCAGAGCTCAAAAGAAAGTGAACGATCCCGATACGAAAGCCCGTGAGGAAGAGGAGCGCCGCCGATGGGAACAGTCACAGAAAGAGGCGGAAAATGAGGAGAAAGAGCGCAAACTGAAGGCGGAAAGTATGCGACAGGAGCGTCTGAAAGAAGTCAAAGCCTTAGTGTCCGCGCGCCGACAGAGCGAAGACTTGACGGATGAACACCAATACAGCAATACTAAAACGTAAGCGCTGCAGTTATAATTACGGAAATCGTAAAAGTCGGTTTCTCACGTGGGCTGAATTGATAAAACGTGACCGAAATCGAATCCTTCACATGCATCTAAGCCTGGTTGTATTTTAACGATTAACCTCTTTAAAATGTGAAATTGCTGTGATAGTTTGAGTTTGATGGGTGTATTTGATCGATGGTTGTTGTTTTAAAGGCGAACGGTGAGTCAGGCCAGTGAAAGCAAATCACGCTCGACGTCGTCGGTGGGTGCAGGCAGTGATGTGGCCATGCAGGCCTATCGTGAAGAAGAGCGACGGAAATTCGAAGAACAGCAGAAGGAGTCAGAACGGGACGAGCAGGAACGCCGACACCGCAGTGAATCGCTACGGCAGGAACGGCTACGGGAACTGGCGGCGCTGACGCAGAAGGATGCCAGCAAGGACAGTTTCACTACACTCGGGTAAGTTGACCGATCCAGTTGCTGCATTGATTGTTATAAACCCGCTCAGCTTGGTGCCTGGTGGTTGTCCCCATGGTACGGACATGTGGCTAGGCTTAAGACAAAGTAATCTGTTGCTTGATTTATTGATAAAAAAGTTAATGTTGACAGTGTTGTTAATGGAAATCAATTATAATTTGGCAAAGTTAATATTTAAATCATACAGCGCCAGGGCAGCTAAAACGGGCAATGGAAATGCCATCCCACTACTGTTTCTACCCAATACACAGTACGTTGCACACGGAGTGTTAGGTGTGCGCACGGCCACGGTAATGTCATGAAGCAGACTCAAGCTGAAGCAGGGCTTTATTTTAAAGTTTATTAACTTTGCCGTGTTATATTATTTTGTTGGAAATTAATTTCGCTTAAAATCAGGATTGCCACAATTTTTGAACTAATAAATTCAGCTTCATTGTAAGCGTCCACTAGCCACATGCCTTTCTTTACCTTGGGACAACTGCCCAGCTGTGTTTATGGGTTTGTAACTTTGTAACTTTTTTGGCATTCTCGGTTTGATCAGTGGTTGCCTCAATTTACCATACGGAAATCTGATGCCCTTATGAGTGCAGAACGTAAAATATGTATTAAGCTGCGTTTTATTTTTCTGTTTTAAATTCGGTTTAAATTTAATTAAATGAATTATTTAATTGAATTTAAGTTTTTAAATGATGCTATCTGATACTTTAAGAATTTTTTGATTATTTTCTTACATGTGCACACACTTCCTTAAGTTTCCTTAAGCTCTCTTTTTATGTTGTATTAAATTTACATATATTGCATGCTCTGTAGACAAACTGTGAAGGAGAATCGGACAAAAGGGAAGAGAGGCGAGGATCCGGACTTGCTGGCTCGGCGTGAAGAGGAAAAGCGCCGTTTTGAAGAGGCTCAGCGTGAAGCGCAAGAGGAAGAAAATGAACGCAAGAACAAAGCGGAAATGCTCCGTCAGCAGCGCGCTCAAGAGGCCGCCTCTCTCGTGGCTCATCGTACAAGCAACGCGAAAGCACGCTTCGAGCAGACCAGGTATGGTTTATCAGTCATTAGTGTTGGTACTGATTTTGGAATTTATAAGTGTTTGAATGTACTAAAGATTGAATATGTGTCAGTTCTGAGAATTGTTCCGTAGCAGATGCCCGAAATCACATGATTTCTGGCATTTCTAACGTTTTAACGTCCTTCAGCGCATATAAGTGTGAATGATGATATTAAAGTAAGTTCCGGACGTTTTTGCAGTCCGAAAGAAGAACAGGCTCCGTCGAGTTTCGAATCCCGACAGCGTGCCGGATCGGCGCAACAAGCGGCCCGGGCGCTGTTTGAGCATTCTTCCGCTGCACAGCACCACCCGCACACCCCATCCACGCCGTCGTCACATTCGAAAGCGCCCTTGACGCCGCAGACCAGTCAGAGCAGTGTTGGTCAAGAGCAGCCGGAAATACCGCCGACCGACACTGATTACGTGCATCCTTCGCAGCGTGCATTGCCGCCGCTGCCCCACGAAGAGCACGGACAACTGAATGGCAGGTGGGTACTAAATCACTGTTAAGAAACATTTTGGTAATTAGAAACGTACTGTGCTGTAAAGGTGCGATGCTCTAAAAACCTTCGGAGAAATCATCCCAGAATCTTAAAAATAATTTAGGTCAAGCTGGGTGGTATTTAAGCGGAGGACGTAGCGTAACGTAACACTTGTTTAATAATGTTTTTCTTTTAATCAGGCTTTCAGTTAGCAGAAGTAAAATCTTATTAGATTTGCTGCTTGCCTTAGCAGCGTAAGGATTTTAGCAGGTGTTAAGATTCTGTCGAGAACGTTGTAGATTAGTGGCGAAGGGGTCATCCTTAATTGCTTAACATTGCCAAAGATAATGTACTAGTAGTTTGTACGTTAAACTTAAAAAATAAAATGATTTTTTGAGCAATGATTTGTAGAAAATGTTTGTTTCTAGTGCATAGTTGCTTCTAAGAAGTACGGCAATATTCTGCACCGCTCCATGAAGAGCGAATTTCCAAATTTACTTTAGCGTTGTATGATTGTGATGAATGGTGATGATCATGTGTTTATCAGGAGACGACTAAAATACGAGTAATCGACCGAAGCGAAGCGAAGGTCCTCTATGTTCAAGAAAACGGAAATTTTTGTGCGTCGGTCACGCACTAAGTTGTCGGTCACGCCCTAAGAAGTTAGGGCGTGACCGACGCTTAGGGGTACTTAGGGGGACATCTAGGTGCTCAATAACACTTACGCACGACAGCATAGGGAAACCGTTAACCGACCATTCAGGCAAAACACTAACGGGCATACTAATGTGCTTATACGGTCCTAAGGTCACGTTTTACTAAGCCCTGTACTATGTAATACAATGTCCTCAGACTAACTACCAAGTAACAGCGCATAGCTTACTAATTTATCAGCTAAAGCGATAGCAGACCTTTTATATTCAAAAAAATAAACCCTTATCTTTTTTCCGGTAGCATATTTACCACTGAGTTTAGAAGTCCACCGTTCTAGGCTTGCACTATAAGACCAAACCGAAGCTTGGGAGTCGGAACAGTAAAAGAGAACAGTAACTAATGCAACCCAGCAAAGTCCTACGTTCAGCATGATTTAGGTCTCTTTGCTAAGAAACAATGGATTGGTAGGTGTGTAGACACTAAGAAACTGCAGAGTTGTGAGCGCGTAATAGGGCATACTGAAGATTGTAGGTAGGGACCACGCTCCCATCGGGGACAACTTTTGCTTTATATGGCGCTCAAAACAGGCGCATGGGCGCTCAAGCTATCGGGTTTTTAAAAGCGCAACGGGCGCTACCAGCAGCAGGTTGGTGACGCAGTGATTCCGAAGTTTTGCATTTTCTTTTGCAATCTACGATAAAGAGTTTGCGCGCGCAATAAACGTCACAAAATATAACAGGATAACATTTTATATAAGCAATAGGAATGTAATTATTGTATTGGCTGCTGCCCCGCAGCTTCTACACAAAATTACTTATTCATAGGTTTAGTAGTAATTAGTGGTGCTAATATTTCATGCATCCTGTACTAATTAATAAACGTTGTTATAGGAATGTGAGGAAATGTACTTTGCTAACCAATATTATGATCAAAAGGCCTTCTCGTATCACTTGCAGTTTAAAGAGAAGCGGTATGTACGGTTGCAACTTGAAAAAGACAAGCGTCGCTTACTAGCGCCTTAAGGGAAGTGGCCCGGTACATGGTGCAAAATTCGTGTACATGCACGAAAACTTTTCGCGCACTCCCAAACACATTTTTGTTTCGGTTTGTGACATTCTGTAGCCAGAAGATTTGTATACACTGGTGTGAAAGCCGTTGGTGCGCGCAACATCCGGTTAGAAAGTTATGGCTGTTAGGAAATTCAAAAGTTTAAATGCGTTCAGGTGTACCAAAGTCCATTATGGACCGATCTCCTTCAAATGCGCACGTCCCTGAAGATCATTTTTACACCGATCCAGACTTTCATGATTTTTTTCAGATTTTAAAATGAATTTTAAAATTTTTGAAATTCATTTTGAAACTTGAAAAACATGCTAGAACAGTGGATCGGTGTAAAAACGTTCTTCGTGGTTACGTGTATTTACGTGCAAAATTTGAGGGAGATCGGTCCATAATGATACTTTTGGTACACCTGAACGCATTTAAACTTTCTGGAATTTCCTAACAGCCATAACTTTTGAACCGGATGTTGCGCGCACAAACGGTTTTCACACCAGTGTATACAAATCTTCTGGCTACAGAATGTCATAAAATCGAAACAAAAATGTGTTTGGGAGTGCGCGAAAGTGTAAGTTTCGTGCCTGTACACGAAATTGGTACCATTTACCGGGCCACTTCCCTTAAGCAGTAAGCGGCGTTAATATTCCATGCACCTTGTACTAATAGTGAGTCACGAACGTCAGTAGAATGTTACGGAAATACATTCTTGTAGTTGTAACCAATATCGTACTCAAGGACTTTGTTATATTACCCGAGTAAAACAGCTTGTAGGAAAAACGTTAGTTTAACGTGTAACTACCGTTAGGTGAACGGATGTGTGTCAATTTTAGCCGTCTTCTAACGTTTAACTAACGTTTTTTTTGCAAGTTGTTTTACTGGGGTTACTTACATTATACAGAATAGTTAGTACGAGAAGTACTGTTCCAATGTGAGCAACTACTTAAACTTATGTCTTAGTACGAGTAGTCTTTGCAAGCAGACCTGAACGTGTGACCTTTTTGGGCTATATTCCTAGCTTCGCTTCGGTCTTATAGTGCTAGCCTGAAGCGGTGCACTTTCCTAGTTTATCTTGAGAATTTATTTTCTTTACGACGAATGCAGATTTGTATTTGCAGTGGTCGATATGAACGACAGAATAGTGGTCATGAAAACGGCAAGCACGAGCACTACCACACCAACGGGCATAACGGAGTGGCAAAGCACGAGGAACACGAGGAATACCACCAGATCAGCGGCAGAACGCAGGTGCGCGATGCCGATACAAAGCCAGACAATGTGCAAGTCAGCCCGACAAACGCGGTGAATGCGTGGAAACAGGGACTGCCGGTGCGCCCGCCGAGTGATGATGAGCATGAGCATGACGAAGACGCATGGAATGGTATGTCCGTTTTTTCCCGCGATTTAACGGGGCGAAGATTTTGGCGGCAAACGTTTCTTGCAGAACTTCCCTGAAGTGTGTTAGAATTTATTGTATCTCCATTTCATATGGGTTTTGATTTCCGCGCTAGAGTTGAATAAAAATTTTGGCAGTAGAATTTTAGTGAAGAACTGAATTTTTACTATACCACTGAACTTTAACTAAATTTACCGAATTTTTACACAGTTTTTTATTGTTCTGCGAAATTGTGTTGAAAACTGGTAATTATTTTTATGCGGTCTTTTTAATTTTGCAGAGCCGGAGAAAACAACGCATCACGGCGTAACCAGTCCGACATTGTCCAGCGCCAGCAGTTCCGGCCAGAATCAGGGGCTGCAGGCGCGCGCTCTATATGATTACCAGGCTGGTGGGTTTAGTTGGTGTTATTCACAGTTTCGAAGGTGTGAGGCTGACGATTGTGCTGTTTATTGCAGCTGATGAAACGGAAATTTCCTTTGATCCTGGCGATATCATTACGCAAGTGGACAAAATTGATCCAGGTAAAAATTGCGCATTTTTCGTAGATATTCTAGCAGGTAGAGTTATGAAAAAGTTTTTTGGGAGATTTACTTGTATTCCAAAATTGTGTTCGAAAATATTACCGTTTTTTGAAGCGTAACAGCTAAGCTCAGTTTGTTTATTGTTGTTATATTTTTTAGTATTATGTTTTGTCGTTGAATGTTTTAGTATATCTTTTGCTGAATTTTGGTTATCTGTCTTTTAAGTATATGCTTTTGTTCAAGATTATAATTAAAAGTGTAGCAGGTTTTCACAGTTTGCCTGTTGAAAAGTAAATCGACAGTGTTATGTTTTTCTGAAATTAACTTATTTTGATACAGGTTGGTATCAAGGATTGGCACCCAGTGGCCAGTACGGATTATTCCCGGCGAATTATGTGGAAATGCTAACATAGATTTACTCCATCTGACTTCGCCATAGTCACTATTGTGCGGCTTTGAATGTTTGCGCTTTATTTCGCCGGATCATCTTGGACTTTCTTTTTTGATTTGTTCCTGTGCCTCGTTTTGATTGTGGGACCATGTTTTATTGCTTGTTTGCACTTTGGCGTTTAAAACGTTAAACGACAGGATTTGCGCGTGCTTCTGACAGTTCTTGTCACGGATTTACATTTGGCTTCAATAATTTAAACATTTTTTTGCCTTTATTCACCACTTTTGATGTGTACATTGCCATTTTTTACATTTTTATCCCTGCGCTGAACACGCTGTTGCTGGTTGTGCGTGGAGGATTTGTTTGGTTTGGAATGACTTTTTGGTGTGATTTGTATTTTGTAGAAAGCAAATTTGGCAGGCTTGCATGGCAGCTTTTGCTGGGAAATCTTTTACAGATATTTTGATTGAGCGAGTTCGTAATAAATGGAAAGAAACTACATAGAAGAATTGAACGTGTCGTGAAAACAGTCTGCTGCGCGCGCAACACCGGGTCAGAAAGTTATAGGTGCAATAATATTCCAAAAAGTTCAAACGCACAGAGGTTTGCATATTTTAAAATTTATTTTAAATTTTGAAAACAAGGGTAGAAATCTGGTTTCGTGCAAAATAATCTGTATGTTAATGCGCGTTTTCTTGCAGAATTGGAAGATGATCGGTCTATACAATGAGACTTTCGGTACCTCTGTGCATATACTTCTGAAATATTATTTCACTCATAACTCCCAACCCGATGTTGCGTACACAAACGGTTTTCGCGGCAATGTATAAACATTATTTAGTACAAAACTTTATAAAACAATTTAAAAACTCTGTGAAGATGCTTCCCATTGATGTTATTGTATTTAATTAATATAGCCACCGGGGAATGACCGTAACTGCCGTTACATTTTGTTATGACACCTATCATTTCTTTTGAATGGCGAAAATAAAATATATTATATGACCCCTAACAAAGGGTGAAACATTAATGTGAATAGAGCTGGTGCGGGGATAGGTCGAACATAACCGAAAATGATAATATTTGAAAGTGAGGTGGTATGTTTTAATCTTCTTAATGATCGCAAACACCCTGTCCGATGATGCCGCGCAACATGACGTTAAGCGGACGTCCCGCGGAGTGCCGACCGCTGAAAGTCGCTAATGGACAGGTGATTACATTCTTATAAAGAGGTTCGTGTATCTGCAAGTATATATTGAATACTTGGACGGTGTTGCTTTGCCAACGTACCTTGCACAGTTTTGAAATGATCAATTCAACGTACATGTTTTCAGTTTTTATTCCACAGACCGCAGATCCTAAATTTATATTTCGATAGCCTGATATTCCCAACTTTTTATGTACTCGCACGTAAATGAAGCTTGTAGTTAATTAGGTGCAAACAATTTGAATAGAGGGTGCTGTTTTTTACTGTACACGCATTTGTTACTGTTACTGTATACTGTATTTGTTTACTTGTACGCCGAGGATCAGTTGTACATTTAATACACAATGAAGTTCTCTAAAATTAATACAGAACTAGAATAAAAAGCTACGCGGATAAAAGACGGTAAATATTTTCAAAGCAATGTACCATTCCGGCATGTTTTACTTTTAGTGGAGACTACGTACTCAGCACTTATTAAACCGGCACAATGTCATATTAATAATAACAGAAAATATACGGTAAAACATGCGTAAAATCCTCCCTTCTGGACAGAGTAAACCGATCCGGCTGAGAACAAAGTGACTACTTTTAAAATCCTATCAAGCACTCCACGCTCAATAAGCGTAACTGGGTGGCCGCCGCTGCTGCTCGTATATATAACATGTACTGCCACCGCTGACCACTCCAGCTATAACAAACGCAGCCGACACGGCTAATGCCAATGCGCGGACAATTTACAATTTTCCATCTTAATTTGCCTGCTTCCCCGGTAGCTTGTGCGGTGCAGTATATACTAATCACGGGCGCCCGAGATTATGGGAATTTATTAGCTGCCCGATTAAACGGATCGCTGGATCTGGATTTGCCATTTCGCTAAACTGATGCATTCTTATGGTTATTGTGCTGCTGCTGCCGGTGTTTGAAAACGCATTTCATGATGGCGGTAGAGAGACCGTTATGGTCATTTTGTGTATATACAATGTACACCATCTTTATGTACCCCACACGATTGTATTGATGAAACGCTTATTTATGGAATGCGCAGTTGGAATAACATCGATAACATTAAACCTAAGAGCTTAGAAAATTGATTTCCTTAATTCACTGCATTTTTCTGTTACTGCATATATATTTGCAGTAAAACTGTGTAGCTTGAAATTTGCAGTGTGGCTTCTTTTAACCAACAATAATGAATTCTTAAATTGTTTTGCAATGACAAAACAAAAATTAATGCATTATTGATTGCTCAAATTTGCAAAGATCTTGTGGTAAAGTGTTTGATATTTTGCTGCAGATATGTACTGTATATGCGCATTTAACTTTAGCGTAAATAGCAATGATTACTATAATACACAATAATTAAACTGCTGGTATGTCTTTCTACCGAACCATGACGAGTTCAAGTGGTGCGCATAAAAGGACCGGGATCGTTCAGTTGAAATTTAATTGAAATTTCCTGCAGGTTTAAGCATTTACATTGTTTTAATCAAACCACGCAGACAGTCAGCTGGAACGGAGCATCTCCAATCCCGGCAAAATCCGGATTAGACAACATTGTAAAACGCACAGTGATGGCCAGCATTCTTGGCAGATTAAGCAACGTATGCACCGTGTCAGCCGCAAGGTGGACACTGTCCATTCATCGCCGGTGTTTGATCCATTGTACTGCAGAGGTAATCATGCAGGACCCGCACTTTCTCAACAACATAATTTCACCTTTTCATTATTTATCTACGCCCGCCATCGTTTAATAAATCCCCGGTAAAATGCTTTCCAAATCTAAATTTTATATATTTATCTATCTGCGATTTTTTGCAAAAGCATTATATGTGTAATTCAGTTTTGAGTATGTATCTTAAAATTTCATTTGTGCTATCTTAAATAAATAACCAAAATTATTGAAAATATTTGTAGCACAACGCAACCAAAACATTTGGCAATTACTAGTATTAAGGCACGAAATTATGTGGATAAAATACGCGATACAAATTCATTTGCTGTAGATTTGGGCTTTATTGTTTTGATTTTATGGTTGCGACTGGATTTAATTAAGTACTTAATCAAACAGGTTAGACGAATAAAATTTCCATCAGGTTTTTCTGTGGTAAACTCTTTGAACTGGTAATCGTGGGCGGTTACCGTGCGCCCAGCGCTCCTATTCCTAATCTGCCTTTCACAGCGGACTTTCGCTCAGCGTAAACGCCGACGCGCCTCTCTTGATCGCTCATGTCAAAACTGAAAAGGTAAGAAAGAAAAGATGAAATCAGAGACGATGCACGGAGCAATGAAAAGAACAATTATCGTTCCTTATAATCTTTCTTTAAAATGGCCCGTCGATTGGCTTAGGCCACGAAGGTCGCACGGGATAACTGACACTCGCACGAGCCGCGCCTGCAGCACCGCAATAATCGTTGTCATAACCTTGCAGCCTGAAGACCATTGATTATGATACCTACGTACGCATGTATATGCAGATTCATTCTTCTTGTACTTTCTTTGAACAGTTTTCAGCGAAACTGGCGGTGCGTCTGCAACTGTCCTTTTTTGTACAATTTTTTTAAGAAAAACTTAGAACAGACCACACAAAAACTGGGAACATTATCGTTCAGTATTTAAATTAAAACCCGGACATGCATTCTGAGTTTTTAATACGTATAAACATAAATGTAAAATTATATTTTAACTTACCGACGAATTATAAATTGTGTGATATGTGCATTACTAACTGCCTCCCAAAGTCCTGCATAAAAGGTGGAATCGTCTTCGATAAGACCCGTGACCTTTATTGTTATTGCACATGTGGCGCGCAAGCCGTGTCTGCTGTTGCACTTACAGATTATGTAAATACACATGCCAACAGTAGATCTTGTATATCAAGAATAGTAATCTCTGTATAATACAGTGTGTGTCAATAGAGGATATTTTCCATAAGGAATATTTTCCATAAGACGTCTGCTTATTTGTGTTGGTCGAGCAGGAAAACAGCAACCTGTAAATTGTGCAATATTGACACACATTCCGCCGTGGTATTGTAATTCACAACGGATACACAGCCTATTAGACAGCAAAAGTGACCACTGTCCACTAATGGCCGTAATCGACTGACCAGTGGTCAGTACACAAATACACTGGAGATTTGTGGCATGTCGGTTACATAAAATCAAACACCTGCGATCACGCAGATATTGGTGTCTGTGTATGTTCAGCGGTGCTCTATACGCGTAATTTGTACATATGGTCAAGAGGCCGGGATGTGAACGACATTTATACGGTGACAGTTGAAAGGAAGTCAAGCTGTGATTAAGAAGCGCACACTACTCAACGGATCCGCACATATACACACAACACTGATAAGCGCACAGATGCAATATTATATTGTCCACCAATGTCCGCTGGCGCATAGAATGTGGGTTACTATTGTCAGACGGGATATCGGGGCGGGTGAGCAGAAATTAGGGGCGCCTGTATTAATGTAAACATTTAAGTGGAACTTTGTAAAATATGCCGGGCTACAAAAGGGATTACAGCGAGTTGTGCCCTACTTTAACGTTATGACCATAAGGAGCGGAAAGTGTGGAAAAGATTCTTGGCCACTGGCTAATATTTTAATGTGTTTACTCAGTGGCCACATTTACCGGTTAATTTAGGATATATATGCATTTTGGCTTTAACATCAACACATGCAGGTTCACAGTTTTGGCGTCCTATTTATTATTCCATTATTTAACTGCTGTCACTCGTAATTTTGCAGAAATGATTTATAATGATGTAAAAAATTCGTTGGTAATGATGCTTTTCGTACCAAGCAGCAAGCCTTCGTAGAGCAGTGGCTGGATAATTCTCACGATCAGTCAGAATGTCTTTGCACAGTTGCACTTAAATTAAAATGTGCAACCCTTTTTGGAACGTACTGGTTTAATTTTTGAAGAGAAATCATTAAATAGTGGCCATAAATAACATTTTTACCAGAATGGAAATGTTTTCAATGAGAAAAACCGTTTTTGCGACCCTAAAGAGTCCGCGACAATAATTTTCACGTCAGACAAACTGCGGTGCGAATACTCGAATTTTCGAGAAAGGTGGACCGTTGGCAAAGCTGACGGCTTATCATGCGATGTTGACTAATAAGTATCCTATAAAGCTCTATAATTCATCCTTGACCGCCTGTCAAATTCACAACTGACCTAATCTCATTTAAAATTTTGAACCGCTCCTAGAAATCCAAGGGCGAAAAGTGACGGGAAAATTATAATACACAAATGGAGAGTGCTTTCCATTAAAGGCCAAATCTG